TGTCGGTAGCTGTCAGTGTGCGGCTCCAACTGTGCCAAGCAACGGCCTGAAAATGAGAAATAGTTTGCCAGTAGATGGAAATGTTGCGACATTTTGTTTTGCCCCCCCCCCCCCCCGCGTTTAAGTCATTGGGGACTAATTTAGCACGAACCAAGTGGCAGCCATTGTTAATACCGGGGGTTGTGTATCGACTGTAACACTGGGGGTGTGGAGTCGGCCTTGGCAAGGTAAAAGGTAAAAGCAACGAGCCTACCTTTACCCTAACTTTTACCTTACCACAATACAATCAATCTACCCTTACCTTTTACCTTTAGCAAGGTAAGGTAAAAGGTCAAAGATCAAAAGCAACGAGCCTACCTTTACCCTACCTTTTACCCTTACCCCATACAAATTACCCGATTACAGGGTAATTACTGGGGTACTACTACACATGAACAAGGTTTATAACAGGTAAATGCTAGGAAGAGCGCTTTATTCATAGAGAACAATCTCGATTATTCCAATTTTAAATGAAGGCCACGGACATTTGCCAAGGAGCTTTTAGCGAGCGGTAAACAAGGTATTTACCGGGTAATACTTCGCGCTACCTTTACCCTACCCTTTACCTTACCCCTTGGCATGTCGACACCTGTACACTTTACCCTTTTACCCGGTAAAAAGGGTAAATCACCTTACCTTGCCGAGGCCTAGCGTGTAGTAACTATAACGTATACACCAGTCTTGGGTCTTCCCCTTGATGAAAACTGGGGCGATCGCCATGAAGTGCAGTCACACAACCCGCTTTGACCAACACAGCGCGGAGAGGGTTTCATCCATTCCAGCAGCGCTTCGCCAAAGAGCTGTTAGATATCAGTGTCCTGTGAAGTGTCCGTCTTTTACAGATTATTTGTCTTTCCCCGTACAGGATTATGCCAAAACGAGGAGACGTCTATTGCAGAGGTAAGCGATATACAATGTACACAAATGACATTTAAAAAGGCTTAGTAGAAAATACACCTGATTTCAAATGGTGGCGTTGGGCTCTTGTCGTTAACATTGCCGAATACTAACATACAGCAAGGCCGTAGCCATGGAGTCAACATTGGGGGGGGGGACCAAATCTTCCAGGGGATCTGGGGGTCCCCCCCCCCCCAGAAAAAAAATCAAAATTTGAAAACGAATTTCCTGCCTAAAAGATAAAAAATTCACTAACACATGGGATTGACTTTTTATTTATTTCTAACAATAATGTCTAATAGTGTTATTGTATTACATTGCTCTGTTTTTTCTTTTTTACCTTTTCTTGTTTCATTGTATGTAACGGCAGAGATTAGGGATTAATAAAGTACAGCCATAACCACAATCATATACACAGGAATCTATTTTATAGCAATATATGGGGGGGGGGGGGGGGTGGGGACATTTTGAGAATATTTGAATATGGGGGGGGGTTGTCAAGAAGAAATAATAAGGTGATATATCATTTTATTTTACTATTATTTTCGACCCACGTGACTTTACCGAAAGAACCAAAGAGTATTTCCAAGTTTAATGTGTTTTTTTCTCATTCATTTGTACCTGATGATGATTGCTTGTGTTGCAATCGAAACGTCGTATTCTATTATTGTTTAATTTAATTTCGTTCTCCGTGACTTTACCGAAATAACCAAAGAATAATTCCTGCAGTCACGAAAGCTTCGAATCTAGTTTGAAGGTAATTATAATTAAATTGCAGTCTCATCTGTGCGGTTGAAATGTTGAAAACATCTACTAAGCATGTTCCTTATATCGGTGTGTGTTTCACTGCCGGGCCCCTGTAGTGGCCTTGCAGTGCAACTCCTGACGTGCGCTTCCCGACAATACGCAAAGAGCAAAAACACCCCCCATCATCATCATCATGGTGCTGTCACAACCCCAACAGTGGTTCCCAATGTGTGGCGGCCCTCGCACTGATGATGTCTTATTGGCGAAAGCGGCCACCCCCCTCTGAAAATGTATGAAGAACACTGAGTTAAATTTTGATTTAAAGCTTTCGTGACTGCAGTAATTCATATTCTTAGTTTTTTCGGTAAAGTCACGTTGAAGAGAAACAGCAAAATAATAAAATATATATAACAATAAAAAAATTCTCACGACGTTTGAGTTATGGTCGAAACGTCGTGAGAATTTTTTTATTGTTTTTTATATATTTTATTATTTTGTTGTTGTTTCTCTTCAACGTGACTTTACCGAAAAAACTAAGAATAACACTGAGTTAGTGATGCAACAATTATTGATTCCCATCGCTCTGATGCTTCAGCGTGGACATGGATTGATCCTTGCTACTCACAAACTGGGAATTTACTCAGCCTGCACTGGATATCCGCTCACGGGGCCAACACCAGTTACGATTATCTGAACCGGTCCTGGACCTCCCCTCCTAGGTCGGCTCAGCCTCAAATGAGTACCTAGTTCGGTGTGTCAACATCGCCACTGGGGAGACAAAGGCGGCCGGGCGTGGTGCTGGCCACCCACCCCCTCGTGTGCCGTGCCGGCCTTCATAGGCGCTCGCTAAACGGCACTTGCCCCAACAGTCTGTTAAGGCTATATGGGGCATCTTTGTCTTTTTAGATTTAATCAACATAGCTCTAACTGACAATGTTTTCAAAAATGGATAAACACCCTGTATGTGCGAACTTGAATTGACAGTCCGGAGGATCCGAACAGATGCTTCCAATGCCTAAAGATGGCTCAGCCAAAGCTGACACGTCCGCCTCCAAGCGACCTGGTGTTGCTCGATCCGGCACAAATGACGCACCACACTGGGAGCAGCATACCGAAGACGAGGCTCCATCATCATCATTGGCGTCGTCTCAGAGCTGTGAGAATGACGCCACTAAAAGCAACAGCATCATCAGCGGCGGTGGCAGCGGTGGCAGCGGCAGCAGTGGTGGCAGCGTTGGCAGCAGCGGCGGTGGCAGCGTTGGCAGCGGTGGCAGCGGCAGCGGTGGCAGCGGCGGCAGCGGTGGCAGTGGCGGTGGCAGCGGTGGCAGTGGCGGTGGCAGGGTTGGCAGTGGCGGTGGCAGCGGTGGCAGTGGCGGAAGCGGTGGCAGCGGTCGCAGCGAAGGCGACGCGCCCACGTGTGATGTGGGCGCGGGAAGAAAGTCAGAGGGAAGCGTGGACCAGCAGCCAATTCCGCGTCCCGTCGGCGACCTTCGAGCGGCAACGAGCGCCGATCGGCGGGCTTCGGGTGAATGGGAAACACCACCGGCAGGTGGGGTCAGCCAGATGACGAACCGAGAGCCGAAGGAAAAGAGTGGCTCGAAGCAGCCGACGTTGTGCAGCACCCTGTGTAGTTTTTGTTAAATGCGAGCACCGTGACGGAGTAGACACTGGAATGGTTTTGTGCTAACGCTTTGACGTCGAATGACAAATGGGCGTATCGGCGGTACACCGGTGCAGCATAACGCACCGGGTCGTCATGACGCAGTGTGAAATAAAAAAAAATGTAATCTGCAAATGTGTTTGTTGGTCCTTAATTGACCCTGTCGCCAGGTTTGACGCGTTTCTGACCGAATTCGTGAGCACAAATCAGATTTGAAACACGGCAGAACGAATTATTCTGCCGTAGCTGATCACTGTTACAACGCTGTGGGTTATCACGATATTGTTTTCTCCGATGCCAAGGTACTCTGCAAGACATCTGGATACCACCAAAGGTGTGTCCATGAAGCCATACAGATATACAAACATAGACATAACGTCAACCGAGAAGATGGATTCAAATTGAGCAATCATTGGAAAGATGTGATTAACAATGTTAAACCTCAACCGCTACTCTCCCCCGCTCCGCGCCCCCCCCCACCATCCGTGTCTCCGATGTTTTCTAGGACGAGCTTCACCCTCCTGGCTCCTCCCACACCCCAAGCCCCCCCCCCCATGCTGCGCCCGTCCTCCCTGGCTCCTCCCACACCCCAACTCCCCCCCCCCATGCTGCGCCCGTCCTCCTTGGCTCCTCCCCCTCCTCTTACCCTATATAAGTCTATCATCACAAATAGCTCTCTCTACAGTTATTTTGCTTTAAAGCTTTCGTGACTGCAGTAATTCATATTCTTAGCTCTTTCGGTAAAGTCACGTTGAAGGGAAACAATAAATAATATTTTTTTTATTGTTTTATATATATTTCATTATTTTATTGTTTCCCTTCAACGTGACTTTACCGAAAGAGCTAAGAATATAGTTATTTTGCTGTGCATTTTTACACCTGATGAAGGAAGCTTGTGTTGCCTCCGAAACGTCGTGATTTAATTTAGTTGTTTTCATTTACTTTATTTTTTACCTACGTGACTTTACCGAAAAAAACAAAGAGAACGTATTATTTGTCAACCACAAGTGTACTGTGTCCATGGTAAGCCACTTCGTTGAGCTATCATTCGTGGCAAGGTCACTTCTAAAGAAGCTAATAAGTTCAGTGGGCCTCACCTAGTAAAATGAAAAAAATATTTTTTTTCGTGGTTTTATAACCTTTCCTATACTTTGAACTCCATTGTTTGTTGTTACGTTGTGACCCGCCCCTTACTGGACATGTGTGCATAAAGAGCTTCATAGCTCATCGGATTTCTCCATCATAAACAGAGATTGTGACAAACCATTCGGGTTGCACCCTGAGTAAGATGGCGGCTAAAGAAACGCGCCTGGACACCGGCAACCCCCTGACTAAGATGGCGGCTGCTTCCTTACGGAAGTTGCGTCACAGTGAGGGGTGGGGTGGTCGGGGCGTAGGGTGTGGATGGGGGGGGCGCTTCCAGAACGTTCGCGGCCCGTTCTCCCTCGTCACGTGACGCCTAAGCGCCCCCTCCCTCCTCCGTTGCCCCCTCCCCCTCCACTATGACCCCACCCCCATCCCATATGCCCCCCGCCCCTTTATTCCTGAGCGCGCCCCTCATTTGTTGGCCCAGCCCTCTTTACCCCTGACCCCGCCCCTCCCAGTTGCCCCCAGCTCCCCTTACGTCCCCGCCCCTTCACCCATGACCCTACCCCTCCCAATTTGGCCACGCCCTCCTCCCATATTGCCCCCGCCCCCTTTACCCGCTGACCCCGCCCCTCCCAGCCTCTCGTCTCCTCGTGCTGCGCGTCTGAGTGCCGCCATGGTGAGTTTGTGCCCTGGCTCCCCCACCACCTCTCCATTCACTCTCGCGGCATGCCTCCCAAGCGCTCGCGAGGCATTCGCGAATCGCGCGGGGCCCTAACGCGGCCCCGGCCACGCACCACACCGGGAGGCGGCGCCGACGCGCGTGGTTTCGAGGCGAGGAGGAGGTGCGGGTAGCCCGAGGCCTGTGCTCGGATAGAGCCCGGTTTTGGTTGTGTTGAAATTTATAACGGGCGCGCTTGGGCTCGTTGTGCGGTGGGTTCGCGTTGTGTGTTCGCTACGTCGCCCCGCTCGCGCCTGTCCTCGGACTCTCGCGTTACGTCGAGAGAGGCGAGAGACGCGGCGAGTATATATTTTTTTTATTCGAGAGATTCTGAGGCGAACTGCGCAATGAATGGGAGGTTTTGACGGTTGATGCGGATCGATTCTTCTCCCGTGCATCGATATCACGACGAGCGATTTTCCTCTCGTCGCGAATCCAGCTTGGGCGTATTTTTTAATTCCAGTTTTTTTCACAATTGGTTTTTCATTTTCACCCGTCAGGTTCCGTCTTTTACCTCTCCTTTTTCAAAGTTTTGTTCACGCCGCGAGCATGAGAGCCATAGCGGTGTTTTAAAATACGCAAGAGTTGCGTGAGTAATCGATTTGTGTACGCGCACGTTTCCATCCAGTTAATCGATTCATCAATGTCTGGATAGTGCCGTTTCATCAGTGTTACCATCTTTGGCACAATTATCTTTATATTAACGTAGCGCTTTTACCAAATTCGCCTCGTAAGGTAACGTGGGCGAATAGTCATTAACTTATTTATACAATAACAGGCGCGGCTCTACAATTGCTCTCACGCCACTGCTGGAGGAATGTTCTCGAAGGTGGAATATCTCGCTATTACATCGTGAATACAATATAGATCATGAATACAATCAATAGCTATAAATCATGAATACAATCAATAGATATAAAGCGTGAATACAATAAATGGATAAAAAATTCCGAATACAATCAATGGATAAAAAATCGTGAATACAATCAATGGATAAAAAATCGTGAATACAATCATTAGATATAAAGCGTGAATACAATCAATAGATATACATCATGAATACAATCAATAGATATGAATCATGAATACAATCAATAGATAGATAGCGTGAATACAATCAATGGATAAAAAAATCATGAATACAATCAATGGATAAAAAAAATCGTGAATACAATCAATAGATATAAAGCGTGAATACAATCAATGGATAAAAAATCCTGAATACAATCAATGGATACAAAAATCGTGAATACAATCAATAGATATAAAGCGTGAATACAATCAATGTACGATCGCAGTCCAGTACAGCCTCATTATGTAGAATTCGTTCTGTATATGAATTCGCCCAAAGCAATTTATATATAAATGCATTCATCTATAATTGGTTGTGACATTCATTTGATTACCATACTTGTCAACCCCTTATTAGTGCCTACCTTATCACAGACCAATTCAGACCTTATTGGTCACCCCGTGCTCCTTATAAATCTCAACGTTCATTTAGTTTAGTTTCATTTATTTGGTATAGCCCTGTGAGCCATTCGGCTCTTGAATCGGGTGCAACCTCAACAAACAAAAAAAATAAAAACATGAACAAGAAAACATCTTAAAGTGACTATGTGACTGTGCAAACAGAAAATCTAGGAAAAAAACATCAAAATATTCCTGAAATAGCACCGTACACCAACGCTGTGTGCAAAAATCCCAGTGGGATGCAAGTCAAACAACAACAACCACAAGACAACTAAGATTAAGGCCATCAGTCTAACTCCGTACTACAATAAACAAAAACATGGTCAAACCAAAACACTTTTAGAAATCACCAAAATATAGCCATAAATGCAATATAACAGTGATCATAGGAACTGTGACAAGGGAGAAACACAAACAAATAGACAAAAAAATGCCCTATTGAAACGGATATACACTGTATGGACCTGAGAACTAAATTTCCCTCTACAAGAATACGGGTAAACCATATTGGTTGACACCTATGAAGGCCGGCACGATACACGAAGGGGTGGATGGCCAGCACCACACCCGATCGCCTTTGTCTCCCCAGTAGCGATGGTTTTACACTGTACCAGGTACTTAATTGACGCTGAGTCGACCTCGGGGAGGCCCAGCGGGAATCGAACTAGGGTCGCTTCGCTACCGCTCCCCCAAAGTAGCCTACCCAGTGTTACACAGCGTACAGAGTGACAGTCGGTAGCCACAGATCACCAAAACTAGATGGATAATACTGGAGGAGGAATCCGATGAGCTATATCAAGCTCTTTTTTTCCACAGATGTCCAATAGTTTTCACAGATTTCTTTATCATGCGTTCATAATGAATGCGTCCATGGACGTAGTGGCTCGTATGCAATTGGGACCCCCTCGACGTCATGTCGCGAGGAGTGGATGCTTTCTCGAAGCGCATTCATTCTAGCGCAGTGAAAGGGTTAAATGTTCTGTTTATTGTCGCTTACGAAAAGGTGTGGCTGTCGTCACGGTGAGAAATCCAGAGGTCGCCGATTCAGTCTCCCGGCGCGGAAGTTGTAACGGTGGGAACGTTTCTTGCATCCCGCCAAGCCTTTATCCACTCGGCAGTATAAATGGGTGCACCGCATGTTGTCAATTGTCAGGTCGCATGTGGTGGGGTAAAGTGTGAGTACTCCCACCTTTTGCAAGACGTTTGATCAGATTGAAAGAGTAGGCCAAATACTCCCTTTACGGCCTCTATAGAGCTTCGTCGAGTGGATGGCTTGTGTGTAAAGGCCTACTCGGGCCCGATAATCGATTAACAACCTTACTTGCCACCCAGCCGCCTCAATAATGACCGTGTGTGTGAACGATGCCAGAACACGCCAATCATTCTGCTGAAGGAGGGCACGGATACGTCCCAGGGGATTCCACAGCTGCTGAGTAACATCACGGCGTGCCTGGTGGTCGCCGATGCGGTTCGCACCACGCTCGGCCCGCGGGGCATGGACAAGCTGATCATCGACGATCGCGGTACGCGGGGGGCACATGCGGGGGACGTTGGTGTGGCTTCAGCAGGGGAGGACGTGGAGGCAATGCATTGCAACTCTATCCTTCGCCCACCCCCTCCCCCCCCCAAATCCCTCATCTCCGAACTCTGTAGACGATTCAGAATGCATCCAGACTTCTCCCCTGCACTTGTACATGAGCGAGCACCTCGGTGGCGAGATGTTAACTACCTCGCCTGGTATAGAGGAGGTTGTCAGTTCAACCCCAACCCTGATACCTGTATATTTGGAGTTTGCGTGTCTCTCTCCCCGTGGTCGTGTGGATTTTTCTCCGTGTCCGGTTTTTCCCATCAACGTGCCTTTAGAGTATTTGCCTGCTTTAAATTTCCACATTATGATAAGCCGCTTCGTTGAGCTATGATTTGTGCTCTGGTCGCTTCTGAAAAAGGATTTGCTGAATCAATGGCAGGGGAGTGGTAAAACTTTTTGTAATACTTATAACATTAGCGTATCTTGTGTGTTGTGCAGGAAAATCCACCATCTCCAATGACGGAGCCACCATCCTGAAGCTTCTGGAGGTTGTCCACCCCGCTGGCAAGACTCTGGTGGACATTGCTCGCTCTCAGGATGCAGAGGTGATGCGTGTGGTGTTGTGTGTGTGTGCGCGCTGCGGCATGCACACAACTACTTGGCCAATCTGGCTCACTGGAGGCTGAGTAAATTCATAGCTTGTGAGTACCATGCATTAATCCGTGTCCACACTGAATCATCAGTGTGATGGGACTCAATAATTGTTGCATCACTAACTCAGTGTTAATTAATTTTCAGAGGGGGGGTGGCCACTTTCGCCGATAAGACATCATCAGTGCGAGGGCCGCCACACATTTGAAACCATTGTTGGGTTTGTGACAGCACCATGATGGTGATGATGGGGGGTATTTTCCACACTAAAGGCCACCAGGGGCCCGCCAGTGGCCCGCGGCCCTTGCACTGAAGAACGCTGCTCTAACCTGTACCACGTGGTCACCAACTTGACCATACACATTTCGAACATTGCCCTAAGCGTGTTGCTCCAATCTCCGGTGTCTGAAGGTGACGGACGTGTGCGCGTGCGTGGCTTTCACGTACAGGTGGGCGACGGCACCACGTCGGTGACTCTGCTCGCCGCCGAGCTGCTGAAGCAAGTGCGGCAGTACGTGGAGGAGGGGATGCACCCGCAGATCATCACGCGCGCCTTCCGCAAGGCCACCGGCCTGGTGCGTTTGGGGAGCGTCGAACAACGCTACGTTACCAACCTATGAGCACAGCTCTTCGGAGTAGTCTGTTCCCCTATAACGCGGTGGTGGACGCATTCCTAAAGAATACCACGTTGTGGAAAAATGGCGTTAAAATAAATTATGTAGGGTAAAATGCAGTCCGCGATGACACGTGAGATGTCGAATAGAGGGGAATATGTAGTTGCTCACCTTTTCTAAAAACGCGTCTGTGAACTTATCATGCATCTAATTTTCTCTGGAAAACACCACTCTCACTCACGTGAGTGATCGTCGTCAATGTCCTGCCGTTGCGTGTGTGTGTGTGGTTCTTAACCAGTCATTTGCACCTTTCAGGCCATCGAAAAGATCAAAGAAATATCTGTGCCCGTCAAGAAGGAAGATAAAGGGTTCGTAGTTTGATTTTTATTTACACTTTAAGAAAATTAAATTATTTTATCACCGGACCATATAAAGCAGGGTTGCCGCGATATAGTTTTGTACGATACAAAATAAAATGTCAATGTAATGATTTTCGCGATGTCAGTTTGCATGCATGTACAGTGAGGGAAAAAAGTATTTGATCCCTTGCTGATTTTGTACGTTTGCCCACTGACAGAAATGATCAGTCTATAATTCTAATGACAATAACAACAAAAATCCAGAAAAACGCATGTCAAAAATGTTATAAATTGATTTGCATTTTCACGAGGGAAATAAGTATTTGACCCCCTCTCAATCAGAAAGATTTCTGGCTCCCAGGTGTCTTTTATACAGGTAACGAGCTGAGATTAGGAGCACACTCTTAAAGGGAGTGCTCCTAATCTCAGCTTGTTACCTGTATAAAAGACACCTGTCCACAGAACCAATCAATCAGATTACAAACTCTCCACAATAGCCAAGGCCAAAGATCTCTCCAAGGATGTCAGGGACAAGATTGTAGACCTACACAAGGCCGGAATGGGCTACAAGACCATTGCCAAGCAGCTTGGTGAGAAGGTGACAACAATTGGTGCAAATATTCGCAAATGGAAGAAACACAAAAGAACTGTCAATCTCCCTCGGCCTGAGGCTCCATGCAAGATCTCACCTCGTGGAGATGCAATGATCATGAGAACGGTGAGTAATCAGCCCAGAACTACTTGGGAGGATCTTGTCAATGATCTCAAGGCAATTGGGACAATAGTCACCAAGAAAACAATTGGTAACACACTACGCCGTGAAGGACTGAAATCTTGCAGCGCCCGCAAGGTCCCCCTCCTCAAGAAAGCGCATATACATGCTTGTCTGAAGTTTGCCAATGAACATCTGAATGATTCGGAGGACAACTGGGTGAAAGTGTTGTGGTCAGATGAGACCAAAATGGAGCTCTTTGGCATCAACTCAACTTGCCGTGTTTGGAGGACGAAGAATGCTGCCTATGACCCCAAGAACACCATCCCCACCGTCAAACATGGAGGTGGAAACATGCTTTGGGGGTGTTTTTCTACTAAGGGGACAGGACAACTTCACCCCATCAAAAGGACGATGGATGGGGCCATGTACCGTCAAATCTTGGGTGAGAACCTCCTTCCCTCAGCCAGGGCATTGAAAATGGGTCGTGGATTGGTATTCCAGCATGATAATGACCCAAAACACACGGCCAAGGCAAAAAAGGAGTGGCTCAAGAAGAAGCCCATTAAGGTCCTGGAGTGGCCTAGCCAGTCTCCAGACCTTAATCCCACAGAAAATCTGTGGAGGGAGCTGAAGGTTCGAGTTGCCAAACGTCAGCCTCGAAACCTTAATGACTTGGAGAAGATCTGCAAAGAGGAGTGGGACAATATCCCTCCTGAGATGTGTGCAAACCTGGTGGCCAACTACAAGAAACGTCTGACCTCTGTGATTGCCAACAAGGGTTTTGCCACCAAGTACTAAGTCATGTTTTGCAGAGGGGTCAAATACTTATTTCCCTCATTAAAATGCAAATCAATTTATAACATACTCTTTGGTTCTATTCGGTAAAGTCACCGTAAAAAATAAAATAACAAAAATCACGATGTTTCGGCCACAACCCAAGTGGCCTTCATCAGATGAAGGGACCGTGCTGTCATGAGGACAGCTGACTTTACCGAATAGAACCAAAGAGTATGGATCCTTGCAGTCACGAAAGCTTCAAATCTAGAATTTATAACATTTTTGACATGCGTTTTTCTGGATTTATTTGTTATTCTGTCTCTCACTGTTCAAATAAACCTACCATTCAAATTATAGACTGATCATTTCTTTGTCAGTGGGCAAATGTACAAAATCAGCAGGGGATCAAATATTTTTTCCCTCACTGTATATTGAACTTCTTTCTCACTTTACATAGCCATCCGTGCCAATCAGATGTGTGATTAACACTAATTTAGTGCTATTAGCACCTCCTTATGTTTGCAATGATGGTCTGCTTTAGGATGCGCTTCTGCGGCCGTCTGGAACGCCCTTCTGATATTAGGAAGTCACTGGAGCTGTGCACTTTTAGATTGAAAACTAATTTCTTTAAAACCTGCAATTTGTGTTTAGTTTGTCCTCCCGCACCTCCAACGATTAGCACGGTTGGCTACGTACGGTGCGAAAGAAGTTCAACGCACATATTTATTCATGCATGACAATAAACGATGATGACGACGAGGATCTCCTTGTGTGTCTTGCGTCGCAGAGAGCTCGGTGCTCTGCTCGTGAAGTGCGCCACCACGACGCTCAACGATTAGCACCTCCTCACATTTGCGATGGTAGTCCGCTTTTGAATGCGCTTCTGCGGCCATTTGGAACGCCCTTCCCTCCAAAATTAGGAAACGAATTTCTTTAAAACTTGTTTGGTTTGTGCTCCCAGCACCTCCGATGGGCACGGTTGGCTACGTACGTTTGCTAAAGAAGCTCAACACGCATATTCATACATAGATGACGACGACGATGATGAAGATGATGACGTTCTCGCGTGTCTTGCGTCGCAGAGAGCTCCGTGCTCTGCTCGTGAAGTGCGCCGCCACGGCGCTCAGCTCCAAGCTGGTCTCGCAGCAGAAGGACTTCTTCGCAGCTATGGTCGTGGACGCCGTGTCGATGCTGGATGAGCTCATGCCCCTCAACATGATCGGCATGAAGAAGGTGCAGGGAGGCGGTCTCGAGGTACTGCTGCTACCGCACGCACGCGTGCACACGTACGCACACGCGGTGTTCACTTTTAAACACTTTCCCGACGAAGGTTCCCCCAAGCCTAGATGCATTTTTAGAACTCTGTCGTGTAACGGGGGGAGGGGGGCGAGGGCGGTCACAATAATATTCGTTAAGGTTATCGAATATTGGATAATAGTTGAGTGCTGCTGTTGGGGAACTTGCCCTGTTTGAAAACTGGCCACGTAGATCAAAAGGTTGCCCAAGAATACACAAGCAGTGATGATGATGATGACGTCAATCATCAATCCCCCGCCGCTTGGACCGCGCGTTCCCGCACCATTTGTTTGACAAAAATAACTGACGCACAAATGGTGCTTGTGCTCATTTTGAATGCGATTAAAATCATAACTACGACGGATATTTTCAGCGATTTTCTTTTTGCCTTCTCCCCCCTCTCCTACCCCTTGGGATGGTCAGCAGTTGTTGCTGCAGCGATCGTAGCCGTAGTAATGCTCGTACGTGCGACGGTGTCCCGCCTGTGCCGCGTGAACAATCGACCGTTTCGTCGCGCGTTTTCAGGACTCCCACCTGGTGGCCGGTGTCGCGTTCAAGAAGACGTTCTCCTACGCCGGCTTCGAGATGCAGCCCAAGACGTACGCGCAGCCCAAGATCGCGCTGCTCAACGTAGAGCTCGAGCTGAAGGCCGAGCGCGAGAACGCCGAAGTGCGCGTCACCAACGTCCAGGTACTGGCGGCCCCGCCACCGGCTTACGGAAGGGTTATGGTTCCGTAGATCTGTGACCCGTACGTCGGAAACTGAACAATTTTCCCCAAAAATCAAGATAAAATCTCATAGCCGGAAATCGTTGTGCCTCCCCTACCCGATTACGGGTTTTGTTTTCTCTCCGTACTATGTCGCGCTGTCTTCTTACACACAGATGCATAGACTCGCACAGGGACCCATAGTTTGTTATCCCCCCCCCCACCCGCACCTCCTCCGATTAGCACGGTTGGCGACGTACGGTGCGAAAGAAGTTCAACATACGTACATTCTTGGATAATTCTAGGGTGGCATATGCCCCTTTTTTTGTGTTACCTTCACGCTGGGTTTACATCGGGAAAGCCTCGCCGAGTGTCGGTTGACCACGTGCCTCGTGAAAGAAGCTCGACACACTTCACACGCATTGCCGTGCGTGCGCGCGCGCGTCTGTCCGTCCACCCCCCAGGACTACCAAGCGATCGTGGACGCCGAGTGGGGCATCCTGTACGACAAGCTGGCGAAGATCGAGGCGTCGGGGGCGCGTGTCGTCCTCTCCAAGCTGCCCATCGGCGACGTCGCCACGCAGTACTTCGCCGACAGGGACATGTTCTGCGCCGGCCGCGTGGTCGAGGAGGACCTGAAGCGCACCATGATGGTATGGGCCCCACCCGTCGACATGCGAGCCGCCCCCCTTGACGAGCCACACGAACCGCGGGGTGGGGGGGGGGGCGGGTCGGCGGTGGCGCAAGCGATTTGGTGCCAGTGATTTGCCTAGACAGGATTGGAATATTATTACCGGAGAAGGAATCCTATTAGCAGTATATAAAGCACTTTTCAACAGATGTTCAGTCAGAGCATGGGGTAAGAACGTTATCAACAACAAACAGTACAAAAACACGATAGGAGTGGAAAGTACAAGTAATGTAAACAAATCACCCAATCGCATACAAATGAAACTAAAACCATCCCCATCCTACCAGACACAGACCTAGGTCGACTCAGCCTCAAATGAGCACCTGGTGCGATGTGTAAACAGCATCGTCACTGGGGAGACAAAGGCGGCCGGGTGTGATGCTGACCAATCCCATCCCGATTGCGAGCTTAGCTGGCCTTCATAGGTGCTGCTCACTAACAGCACTTGCCCCAGTAGTCTGTTAAGGATGTACGGGGGATCTGATAATTCATCATGATGCATTTAGTGGCATTGTAAACAATGCGATTTACCTAATGGGTATATCAATGACCTCTCAATTTGCACAAAGATTAATGTTATGATTTAATTAATATTGTTTTGTTTTTCATAAACTAAGCTTTTAATTTTTTTTGTGTTTTATTGCACCATCGTGGACACTGGAAACTTATAAAGTTTTGATGTCCATAACAATATTTGGTACTGGTAACTTGTTTACATATAAATGTGTTGTGATCAAGTGCCTCAATCATTTTTCTGTAATACCTTATTGTGGATATAAATATTATAATCCATTATTTTGAAATATGTTGTCTTAATGTAGCTTCGATGTGGATGGTTTTAACCAATTGTCATTTTGCATGTCTGAATTAAAACCTGGTAAAAAAAAAATCCGCTTTGGTCACATTGTGTTTGAGAATGTAAACATGTCTGTAATATTAAAGGCACAAAGTTAAACTAAAGTCATCGCATTTCTTTTTTGGTTTTAAATGCTCAGCTCTGGCGCATCCTGCGGAGTCCCACAAATAATGCTTTTTTTTGGTTCCTTTGCTTAGGCTTGTGGCGGCTCAATCCAGACCAGCGTCAGTTCCATGACCGACGACGTTCTCGGACGATGTGAGCTCTTCGAAGAGGTGCAGATCGGCGGGGACAGGTGAGGAAGCGGGGAACGGGCGGCACGGTGGCGCGGCGTCCCGCGGCGTATGAACACGGCGGAACGTGCTTTGAAACTCGCGCCATGCCGTCGCGTTCCGGGGGGACGCGCATTGTGGTGCTGCCATGCAGCGGCGGGCTCCATCGTGTCGCGCGCGGCAAGCGAGTACGGGAACGGCCCTCTTGCCCGTCCGCCGCTGGGGAGAGGCGCCCCTGCGCGACGTGTGGGTCATCGGGATATAAAAAATATGGCAAAACCTATTTTGTTTTATTTCGATTTTCGTGACTGCAATGATTAATCTTCTTTGGTTCTTTCAGTAAAGTCACGTAGAATGAGAATAAAATAATAAATTGATAAAATAAAATAACACAATAATATTCTCACGACGTTTCGGCCACAACACAAGCGGCCTTCATCAGGTGAAGGGAGCGAGACTGTCTGGTAGGACAGCGCTGGAGTGAGAGAGCCACGTTCAGATCACGGCTTTTAAGCTGTGTGAGAGGAACAAAGAGCCTTGACGAAGGAATTAGCATAAAATTTAGCATTGAAAAGGCTGAATGATTAGCTTGTGACTGGTCACAGAAATAGCTATGTTAAAAGTTAAAGCATACACATCCGCAGAGGCACCCATTGTTAAAAGGAATTAGCATAGAATTTAGCATTGAAATAGCTAAATTAAGGCATTCGCTTGTAACTGCTACAGAAATAGTTACGTTGAAGTCAGAGCATACACATTCACCGAGGCACTTAGTACAAATCAAAACAGGAGAATTTAGCATTGAAATAACTAGGCGAATTTAGCATTGAAATAACTGGGTGATTTGCTGGTGACTGGTCACAGAAATGACTACAAATCTGAGCTATTCACAGTACTATATAGTGAACCAATAAAAACTAAAATATAAATTACCTTCATGTTATCAATAAACTCTATATTCTCCAATCAGCTAAGCTACCAACCATAAGTCGTTATATATCACAATGCTATATGGCGAAAAAAATTTGTTTTGATACTGGCAAGGGAGGTCTCACGATGTATCTGCTCAACCGGAGCTCCCGGTGTCCTGATAGTGTCATTGTTTTTGTGCTGTTCGCCTTTGGCGTCCGCTGGTCTAACACTGTTTGAGACTAGGCTCTAGAGAAAGCTGTCTTTGGTGTGGACCAATCAGTTTCAAAGACAATGCATGTATTTCCAGAGCATGTGTTTTTTATTTGCAAATTCACAAGTATATGTGGTTAATGCCGTCATGGTTCCTTGCAAGAAGTTTCTGTTTGGTATTTTAACATCTTAACACCTGTTTTATTTGATTTGAAGCTTTCGTGACTGCAGGAATTACTCTTTGATTCTTTCGGTAAAGTCACGTAGAAAGAAAATTAATTGAATAATAGAGTACGCGACGTTTCGATTGCAACACAAGCAATCGTCATCAGGTAGAACTACATTTGAGAGAGACAAAACACAGACACGGAGACACACAGACACACAAGCAGACAGAGACAACACAGAGACACAGAGAGAGACACACAACATAGACACACAGAGGTGTTTTATTGCCAGAAAGAGTAAAACCTATTCTTACACGTGAGGGTTGTTGGATCCGACCGTCATCCGTCCCAAGTGCTCGCCGAGCAGCGTTGGCTTCCGGTTGCCGAACGAATACATTGTTTATTATATTTTGGTACTGGCAAAGGAGGTCTAATGATGTAGATGCTCACCCCGAGCCCTCAATACTTTGATAGTGCATTGTCTTTGAGCTGTACGCCTTTTGGCGTCATCTGGTCGAGCACCAATTGGGTCGAGGCTCAAAAGAAAGCCGTCCCTTGGTGTGGACCAATCAGTTTCAAGGACAATGCATATATTATCATAGTATGTTTTTTGTTTGCATTTTGACTGCAGGTTTTGTGGTTAATGCAGATATTATTCCTTGTAAAAAGGTTTCAGTTTTGTTGCCAGAAAAAAGGGGAAAAGCCTATAATTATATTTTGGTACTGGCAAAGGAAGTCTAATGATGATGAATACATTGTTATGAAGTCACGCTCATTGCACACAAATTGCTTGCCACAAATGAACCACAATACCTTGCTGATCTCGTCAAGGAACATAAACCATCACGTGAACTCTGGTGGTCATCCTGGTAGCAGCGGCTTTTGGCTATCCCATGGAACAAAGACGGTCATCGCATCGCGCGCTTTCGGACGCGCTTCTGCGGCCGTCTGGAACGCTCTTCCAATATTAGGAAGCCACTGGAGCTATGCACTTTTACATCCAGATTGACAAACTAATTTTTTTAAATTAGCTTTTTGTGTTTAGTTTGTTGTCCCTCCCCCGTATCTCCGATTAGCACGGTTGGCTACGTACGGTGCGAAAGAAGTTCAACGTACACACACCAATAGATTTTTTGCTGAATTGACCACCAATTGGCAAAGGGCCCGCAGCCACCCATTGACAACTCTGGCAATCTTGTGGTGGTCATTCATCCTGGCACTAATCCAGACTCCACCGTGCTTAGTCGCCAAGGTTTGGTGAGATATGGGACGCTTTCTGGGTTATTTGGAAGAGCTGGGAGTACGAACGCTTTCCCCCACCACGTTTATACCGCTGGGTTTGCAGAGGGTGCGGGGATGGGTTTTTACGAAACTGGCCTATTTTTTTTTCAACTTTAACTCCGCTAATTTATGTGCTATGAAGAAGGGCCATTGCCTGAAACGTCGCCTTTGATATATATTTTTTTACCTTTTTCAGCCCGATTGTTTATTGTTTCAACTGCCATGGCGCGAACACAACAATTTGAACCGGCGACCACTTGTGCCAACCGTCACAGAATGAAAATTAGAATATTTTGTTTGGACTGGAAGAGCAATCTGATGACCTTATGAAGCTCTTTCACACGTAGGCTTTCGCGACCAATATCCATAATATAGTTTTGTTTGGGTTAGATCGCGTAAATATAGATGTGTCGTTAAACAGAACATGCCAATTTGTTAACAGTACAGCGAACCGGTGTGTTGGAGAGCAAATCCACAGTCTTGTGGATTTGCACAACGGTGTGCTGTATTCGTAACTAATTGGCCACGTTCTGTTTACCTGACAAAACTTTCTAATTGGCTGTGTCGGGTGGTGGCGGGTTTAACGACACACTTATATTTGCGCGATATAACCCAAAAAAACCTGTACCTTTGAAGCTCTTTTTCACGGATGTCCAGTATAGGGCAGGTCAGAAAAGTTACAACAACAGACAGTGCACAAAAACGCGATCGCAGTGCAAAATAGCGAAAATGGTAAGCAAGTCACTAAATATAAATAAATTCTGTAAGTCCGGTTTATCGAGATTGGCCACAGCAGCAAAAATGGAAACAGAACGGTCGCAGACCACACCAGGATAACACCACACGTCGGTAGTAGTAGTAATCCCTCAATAAAGTTGGACATTAACACTGAACTATCAACACACAGGAGCATCCCTTCACGAGTACATGGGCATATTTATTTCCATGTGCAGTCCGTTCTCCTGTAACGCCGCGTGTTGATTTCCTGACGTGTATTTGCTGTAACGCGATGATGAATCTGTTGGGGAACACATTTTTTATAAGGCGGATGCGAAATGGATACAACGCGATCGAGTGAATGGAACTACGGCCCGCGAGTAAGAATAAGCGGTCGTAACGGCCGCATCGACGTAGCATCGCGCAAGGCATTGGTGTGCTGCTGGATACTTCTAGACGCTACCCATGCCCACGTACGCATCTCACGTATGTTATCGCTGACTGTAATTTACCCCTCTATTGTATATTATAACTCGATCTTTCCGTAACGCGGTGTTCTTCAGGAACGCAACTACTGCGTTACAGGAGAACAGACTATATGTGTGTGTGTGTGTTTTCACTCGTGTGTGCAGGTACAACTTCTTCAAGGGCTGCCCGCAGGCTAAAACCTGCACGATAATCCTGCGCGGTGGAGCTGAGCAGTTCATGGATGAGACGGAAAGGTCTCTGCATGACGCCATCATGATCGTGCGGAGAGCCATCAAGGTACGCTCCTTGCCTCGCATAGCCAGACACAATCATCATCGTCGTCGTCGTCGTCATTTTAATATTCATACCATGCCTCGGTACCATGCAGTGCATCTCAAAGTGCCAGAGCAAAGGGTTATACGAGATACAGAGATTCCTCTACTTACGAATGAGTTAGGTTCCAGGGGTCCCAGCTTTACTCCCGTCGATTCCAAACGCGCTGTACGGCGCGTGTACACTGAGCATGGGGAACGGCTTTAAAAGTTGTATAATCTCCTGTAGATGTAGATGCCACCACCACCATCTATTGCGCGGCGGTTGAACTTACGACTCTCAGTCTGAACAGGCAACTGGATATACGGACCAGGTTTTGTCCGTATCTCTGAAAGTTCGTAAGTCGAATGTTCGTAAGTAGAGGAGTCCCTGTACGAAATCTATATTTGAGTACCAGTGCAAAAAAGTATGAAAAATAAGAATAGGTTTTACCCTTTCTGGCAATAAAACAGTAGGTGTTAAGATGTTCACATACTAGATTGAAAACGAATTTCTTTGGATCTGCTTTTTTTGTGTTTAGTTTTTTGTCTTTCCCCGCGCACCTCCGAATTGCGCGGGTGACTACGTACGCTGTGAAAGAAGTTCCAACGCACGTACGTGGAAGCGATCGCAATACCTCGCGCCCCAACGTGTATCCCCTTTGGCAAACCAAACATAGCCACCGGTGGGCAACGTTTTCCTTTCTGAAGGGGCCGACCCGGCCTTTCACATTCCTTTGGCACGTTAGCACTGGCTCGGCGCGGCCCTCGGCATAGCCCGGTTGTCCCGGGGTGGGGGGGGGGGGGTGGAAAATGTTTATCGATTTACTGCTATAACAAACAAAAAAACCTTGCTGTCGTGCGTGCTTGCCTGCGCGTAGAACGACTCCGTGGTGGGCGGCGGTGGCGCGGTGGAGATGGAGGTATCCCGCTACCTGCGGGACGTGTCCCGCACCATACCCGGCAAGGAGCAGCTGTTGCTCGGCGCGTACGCCCGCGCCCTCGAAGTGATTCCGCGCCAGCTGTGCGACAACGCCGGCTTCGACGCTACAAACGTTCTCAACAAACTGCGGGCCAAGCACGCCCAGGTACGTGCGTGTGCCCCCCCCCCCCCCCCCCCCCCCCCCCCCTTTAGCGTTGCTCAGTCCTCACCGTTTGCTTTGCTCGCGCGTGTTTTGAGTGTGTGTGTGTGTGTTGTCTGCGTCTCCCAACTCTGTTACTCTTATAGTAATAGGTTTTTAACCTTTTAACTGGCACAAAAACTGACACCTTTATTCAAGGGATCATGTTTGCAATAACTACAACACAAGCAGTCAACATGCAAACAAAAAAGACAACTCTGATAATAATCATATGCGCACTGTCCTTGAATTTGATTGGTCCACACCCGAGACAGCTTTTCTTAGAGCCTAGTCTCCACTGGTGTTGGACCAGAAGATGCCAAAAGTCTCGCTAGCTGTTGTCCCTGTGTGTGTGTGTCTCTTATCTCAGTGTCTCTTTGGTTGTTGTCCCTGTGTCTGTGTGCATGTCTCTTATCTCAGTGTGTAGCTAGCTGTTGTCCCTGCATCTATCTATATGCGTGTTTTTTATCTCAGTGTCTTTCTGGCTGTTGTCCCTTGACTACGCACGGTGCGAAATAAGTTAAACAAAAAAGTCTTTCCGTGTCATTAAAAAGCGCATGCGTTTGTCATTTGCGTAATAACACAACACTCTCGTGTAGTTCACGCCTCTTCTGGTATCGCTTCCGAAAAGGAGCTGGCTATACAGGGACTCCTGTACTTACGAACGTTCAGAGATGAGAACAAATCTGGTCCGTATGTCCGGTTGCCCGTTCGGACCAAGAGTCGTAAGTTCAACCGCCGTGCAATAGATGGCGGCGGTGGTGGAATCTATATCGGCAGAACGTGAAGACCCAGTGGCATCTCCCATCTACAGGCGATAATACAACTTTTAAAACCATTCCCCCGTGTTTAGTGTACACGCCGTACAGCGTGATTGGAATCGACAGGAGTAAAGTTGGAATAAATCGACTTCCAAACAAACCTCTGGAACCTAGCTCATTCGTAAGTAATAAAGAGTCCCTGTACAGCTCAGCAGGCCCTCACCTGGTCAAAATAAAAAAAATAGAATAATAAATATCCACGCGACGCGCACGCGCGTCTCTCTCCGCGACCCCCAGGGCGGGCTGTGGTTCGGGGTGGACGTGACGACGGAGGACGTCGCCGACAACATGGTGGCGTGCGTGTGGGAACCGGCCGTCGTGAAGATCAACGCCCTGACGGCCGCGTCGGAGGCGGCGTGTCTCGTGCTGTCGGTGGACGAGACGATCCGGAACCCGCGCTCCTCGCAAGACGGCGGAGGCGCCGGCCGGGGCCGCCCGCACGCGCACTGAGTTCAACCGCGGCGCCGGCGGTTGACCGCCGGCGCCCAGGCCCGATGTGATGAAAGTGAGGGGGGCAGATGAAGTCGACTCGACGTTTCGGGCACACAGCAAAGGCACGCGCGCGCGCGCATGCCCAGTATACCCACGTAGAAGTTTGAGCGCACACACCCGCGTTGTCCAATGGCTGTCCCACGCTTTCTCCGCGTTAACCTGCTTAACAAGCGTCAAGAACTGTCCGGTCCTCGTCAAATCAATAAAGAAGTACTGTTTGGTTGCATTGTTGTCACGCGTTGTTTCCGCCCTTGTTCATGCTTCTTCACGTGGTCTTGCCCGAAGTTAAAAGTCAGCCAGAATGCACCAAATATTGTTCGTTAATCCTCTTGTCCTGGCGAGGGGTGTGGCGGCAGCATGTTTAGTGGCGATCCACGCCTCCCTTTCCCTGGCGACAGACTCTAGCACTACTACACTATACACTACTTTACACTACTACACTATACACTACTATACATTAATATACACTACTACACTATACACTACTACACTATACACTACACTATACATTACTATTCATGACTACACTATACATTACTACATACTGTACTACTTACACACATACACTACAAGACTCTAGCTCTACATTACTATTGCACTAAAAACTTGATTTGAAGCTTTCTTTACTGCAGTAAATATTCTTTGGTTCTTTAGGTAAAGTCACGTAGAAAGTAAATAATAGAATACGACGTTTTGATTGCAACACAAGCAACCGTCATCAGGTGTGAATGCAAACTCGGAGAGAGACAAACAGAGACAAATATACTATACACATTACTATACAATGAGGGAAAAAAGTATTTGATCCCCTGCTGATTTTGTACGTTTGCCCACTGACAAAGAAATGATCAGTCTATAATTTTAATGGTAGGTTTATTTGAACAGTGAGAGAAAGAACAAAATCCAGAAAAACGCATGTCAAAAATGTTATACATTGATTTGCATTTTAATGAGGGAAATAAGTATTTGACCCTCTCAATCAGAAAGATTTCTGGCTGCCAGGTGTCTTCTATACAGGTAACGAGTTGAGATTAGGAGCACACTCTTAAAGGGAGTGCTCCTAATCTCAGCTTGTTACCTGTATAAAAGACCTGTCCACAGAAGCAATCAGATTCCAAACTCTCTACCATGGCCAAGACCAAGGATGTCAGGGACAAGATTGTAGACCTACACAAGGCTGGAATGGGCTACAAGACCATTGCCAAGCAGCTTGGTGAGAAGGTGACAACAGTTGGTGCGATTATTCGCAAATGGAAGAAACAAAAGAACTGTCAATCTCCCTCGGCCTGGGGCTCCATGCAAGATCTCACCTCGTGGAGTTGCAATGATCATGAGAACGGTGAGGAATCAGCCCAGAACTACACGGGAGGATCTTGTCAATGATCTCAAGGCAGCTGGGACCATCGTCACCAAGAAAACAATTGGTAACACGACGCCGTGAAGGACTGAAATCCTGCAGCGCCCGCAAGGTCCCCCTGCTCAAGAAAGCACATGCATGCCCGTCTGAAGTTTGCCAATGAACATCTGAATGATTGAGGACAACTGGGTGAAAGTGTTGTGGTCAGATGAGACCAAAATGGAGCTCTTTGGCACCAACTCAACTCGCCGTGTTTGGAGGAGGAGGAATGCTGCCTATGACTTTAAGAACACCATCCCCACCGTCAAACATGGAGGTGGAAACGTGCTTTGGCGGTGTTTTTCTGCAAAGGGGACAGGACAACTTCACCGCATCAAAGGGACGATGGACGGGGCCATGTACCGTCAAATCTTGGGTAAGAACTCCCTTCCCTCAGCCAGGGCATTGAAAATGGGTCGTGGATGGGTATTCCAGCATGACAATGACCCAAAACACACGGCCAAGGCAACAAAGGAGTGGCTCAAGAAGAAGCACATTAAGTTCCTGAAGGTGGCCTAGCCAGTCTCCAGACCTTAATCCCATAGAAAATCTGTGGAGGGAGTTGAAGGTTCGAGTTGCCAAACGTCAGCCTCGAAACATTAATGACTTTGAGAAGATCTGCAAACAGGAGTGGGACAAAATCCCTCCTGAGATGTGTGCAAACCTGTTGGCTAACTACAAGAAACGTCTGACCTCTGTGATTACCAACAAGGGTTTTGCCACCAAGTACTAAGTCATGTTTTGCAGAGGTGTCAAATACTTATTTCCCTCATTAAAATGCAAATCAATTTATAACATTTTTGACATGCGTTTTTCTGGATTTATTTGTTGTTATTCTGTCTCTCACTGTTCAAAGAAGCCTACCATTAAATTTATAGACTGATCATTTCTTTGTCAGTGGGCAAACGTACACTATACACTACTACACACATACACTACAAGACGCTAGCTCTTCTGGGGGAATTCCCAGGCCAGCCGAGCGACGCGGTCCCAACCAGCACGTCCTGGGCCGGCCCCAGGGTCTTCGCCCGGTGTGGGATGTTAAACAGGGCAGGGAAATAGCTCCTGCTCGGATGGGTGGCCACAGGCTGTGTGGGACGTCACTACGGAATCCAATGCACGTCTACGCTCTGCTCATTCTCTAAAACCACATCGCCCATCGTGGTCGACTTTTCTAATCGATGTCACTCTGTGGTCTTAAAAGTGTGGCCGATCCCTGATCGGGCGCTATAATCATACGCCTCCCCCCGCCTCGTTTTACGTCGGGGGATGCGTGACTGAAAGGTACGACGTATATCGAAACGGCGTTAAATCGAAGCGATGTATGGGGGGGGGGGGGTAGCAGTAGTGGTTGGTGGTGGTGGCGAAGGCTGAGAGAGGGGTGGCGGGTGACTTGCGATGCCGTGAGCGACGGCGAGGGGGGTGCAGGCGATTCAAATCGGGTGGCGGTATCTCCATATATATAAAAGGCAAAGTTGTGATTATGTGTCTGTTCAAAACGTTTAGCGTACTTCCCGACATGCAACAAACTTGAAATTTGCCATGTGGGTACTTTCCAGACTGTGCACCATGCAAAAATTATAAAAATACACTTTTTTTTGGGGGGGGGGGGGGGTGAGCTTAATGCATTTATATTTTTGCACGGCAAGTGAGCTGTGACGTCACATCTGTCACGTGACCCGCGCACGTGGAAGCGTAACGCATTGTGGTGTAGTGGTTAGCGCGCCGCGCTACGAACCCGGCGACCCGAGTTCGATTTCCGCTCACGGCCACCACTGGTGACGATTATTTGAATCGGTCCAGGGCCTCCCCTAGGTCGACTCAGCCTCAAACGAGTAACTGGTGTGGTATGTGAACATCGCCACTGGGGAGACAAAGGCGGCCGGGCGTGATGAATCCAAGTCCCGGGCGAAGCCGGGTAGTCAAGCTAGTCGGTAATTGAAGCGACAGCGTATTTGCGAAACGACGTGCAATAGGGGGGGAGGAAGGCGGAAATCTGGGTATGGCTGTAGAGTAAGCTTGTACAGCACCGGTTGCTGTTGTATGTGAATAGTGTACAGTACTGAGTGCTGTTGTACTGTGTGAATAGTGTTGTGTGTGTGTGCTGTTACACTGTGAATAGTGTGCTGTTGTACTGTGTGGATAGTGTGCAGTACTGTGAATAGCGTTCTGTGTGTGCTGTTGTACTGTGCGAATAGTGTTGTGTGTGTACTGTTACACTGAATAGTGTGCTGTTGTACTGTGTGAATATTGTGCTGTACTGTGTGAATAGTGTGACTAGCGTTCTGTGTCCTGTTATACCGTGTGAATAGTGTACAGTACTGTGCTATCGTCTTGTGTTCTGTGTTGTTGCACTTTGTGAAGTGTTCTGGTGTACTGTGTGAATGGTGTTATGTGTGTGATGTTGTACTGTTACTCGTGTTCTGTGTGTGCTGTTGTACTGTGTGACTCATGTTCTGTGTGTTGGTGTATTGCAGTGTGCTGTGGGGAGCGGTAGTGTAGCAGCTCGAGCACGCATGGCATCCAACACCAGTGGCGATTACCTGAACCGGTCGTGGGCCTCAACTGGTGCGGGTGTGTAAACAACATTGCCAATGGGGGGAGACAAAGGCGGTCGGGCGTAGTGTTAGCCAACCCCCACCCCCTCATGTGGCCGTGCCGCGGCTTTCAAAAGTGCTCGCTAAGAGCTCTTTGCCCCAGTAGTCTGTCGAGGCTATACGGGGGATCTTTGTGTGTACTGTCGAAGCCAGTGCAGGGAGCCACGGTGGCTATGAGATGTTAACTACCTCGCCTGGTACGCAGGAGGTCGTGGATTCGATCCAGACCCAAACGACGCCTGCTGCTGCTGTATATTTGGAGTCTGCGTGTCTTCCTCTCTCTCTCCCCGTGACGAGTCTCTGTGTGGCTGTAGTCTCAGTGACACTACCATTCCTCCCTGGAGGGAGAATCCTCCACGTGGCTCCTCCTCCACGTGGCTCCTCCTCCACGTGGCTCCTCCTCCACGTGGCTCCTCCTCACTCTTGCGCGTGGCTCCTCCTCCTCGCTCATTGTGGCTCCTCCTCCACGTGGCTCCTCCTCGCGGCTCCTCCTCATTGTGACTCTTCGTTCCTCATCGTGCCTCCTCGCTCCTGCTCGTGGCTCCTCCTCTTCGTGGCTCCTCCTCGTTCCTCTTCGTGGCTCCTCCTCGCTCCTGCTCGTGGCTCCTCCTCTTCGTGGCTCCTCCTCGCTCCTGCTCGTGGCTCCTCCTCTTCGTGGCTCCTCCTCGCTCCTCGTGCCTCCTCGTTCCTCCTCCTGCTCGTGGCTCCTCCTCCTCCTCCTCGTGGCTCCGGCTCGTTCGATCGCGTGGGACCCGGCCTCACCATCCCAGGGTCTCTCCCCTGTACATCGCAGGGCAACCCTGCCCCCCTGCCCCCCACCACCGCCCCCCCCATGCTGCGCCAGGTGGGGTCTCTGGTCCCGCGGCTTCTGCGGGGCCGCGGGCTCCTTGTGGCCAACACGGCGAGTTGCGGGGCTCTCATGGCCACGGGCGATGCCGTGCAGCAGTGGAGGGAGAGGCGCGCAGGGAGCCGCGAGCACAGGGACTGGGTGCGGACCGGTGAGACGCGGGCGGGGGCGCGGGGGGGGGGGCACGGTGAGACACAGTGGGGAGACAGTGGGGACACACGGTGAGACACAGTGGGGACACGTGGGGACACGGTGAGACACAGTGGGGACACGGTGAGACATGGGGAGACACACGATGAGACACAGTGGGGACACGTGGGGACACGGTGAGACACAGTGGGGACACACGGTGAGACACAGTGGGGAGACAGTGGGGACACACGGTGAGACACAGTGGGGACACACGGTGAGACACAGTGGGGACACGTGGGGACACGGTGAGACACAGTGGGGACACGGTGAGACATGGGGAGACACGTGGGGACACGGTGAGACACAGTGGGACATAGGGAGGGACACGTGGGGACACACGGTGAGACACAATGGGGACACGGTGAGACAGTGGGGACACGGTGAGACATGGGGAGACACGTGGGGATACGGTGAGACACAGTTAGACACAGTGGGACATAGGGGGACACGGTGAGACACAGTGGGACATAGGGGTGGGGACGCGGTGAGACACAGTGGGACATAGGGGGGGGGACACGTGGGGACACAGTGGGACATGGAGAGACACGTGGGGACACAGTGGGACATGGAGAGACACGTGGGGACACAGTGGGACATGGGGAGACACAGTGGGACATGGGGAGACACGTGGGGACACAGTGGGACATGGGGAGACACAGTGAGACATGGGGAGACACGTGGGGACACAGTGGGACATGGGGAGACACGTGGGGACACACGTGAACACGTTGAGACATAGGGACACAGTGGGACACAGGAACAGAGACAGGGGGGGGGGGGTCGCAGGGGTCCACTGGGGAACACGTGCACTTGGAATCTGCCAGTCAGACACGGGCGGACACACACGGGGACATTGTGTGACACAGTGAGACGCACAGTGTGACACGGGGACATTGTGTGACACAGCGTGACACAGTGTGAGACACAGTGTGAGACAGACATAGCGTGAGACAGACATAGCGTGAGACAGACATAGCGTGACGCATTGTGAGACACACGGGGACATTGTGTGACACAGCGTGACACAGTGTGAGACACAGTGTGAGACAGACATAGCGTGAGACAGACAGCGTGACGCATTGTGAGACACACGGGGACATTGTGAGGCACTTGGGGACACGGACAGCCGACACGTGGTTGTGAGTGACCTCTGACTGCAGGATTACATCACACTCCGGGGTTTTAATGTCAGGAGGTCGGAGCTGATGCACATTCGGCAACTTTGACACGCAGTTAAGGCTTTCGAGAACAATATCATCCATGATGGATCGCGTAAATATGTAAATGTGTCGTCAAACCCGCCACCATCCGACACAGCCAACTAGTAAGGGTTTGTCACGTAACCAGAACGTGGCCAATTCGTCACTAGTACAGCACTAGTGTCTAGTGTAGTGTATAGTGTAGTGTATAGTGCAGTGTATAGTGCAGTGCGTAGTGTGTAAGTGTAGTGTATAGTATAGAGTAGTGTATAGTGTAGTGTATAGTAGTGTGTAGTAGTGTGTAGTGTATAGTGTGTAGTGCAGTGTATAAGTGCAGTGCGTAGTGTATAAGTGTAGTGTAGTGTGTAGTACAGTGTATAAGTGTAGTGTATAGTGTAATGTATAGTGCAGTGTAGTGTGTAGTGCAGTGTATATGTGCAGTGCGTTGTGTATAAGTGTAGTGTATAGTGTAGTGTGTAGTGCAGTGTATATGTGCAGTGCGTAGTGTATGTGTAGTGTATAGTGTAGTGTGTAGTGCAGTGTATATGTGCAGTGCGTAGTGTATAAGTGTAGTGTATAGTGTAGTGTGTAGTGCAGTGTATATGTGCAGTGCGTAGTGTATAAGTGTAGTGTAGTGTGTAGTACAGTGTATAAGTGTAGTGTATAGTGTAGTGTATAGTGTAGTATACCAGTGCAGCACACTGGTGTGTTGGAGAGCCAAGCCACAACATTACCAATCTGAGTACGACGTTTCGTGCTGTACTAGTGACGATTTGGCCACGTTTTGTTCACGTGACAACCCTTACTAGTTGGCTGTGTCGGGTGGCGGCGGTTTTGACGACACATATATTTACTTACACGTTCTGTTTTGTGTGTGCCCTCCGTTCCAAGTCAGTGTCGGGGTCTTCTTCCCTTGGTGTGGACCAATCAGTTTCAATGACAATGCATCATATTATCATAGTATGTTTTTTGTTTGCATTTTGACTGCAGGTATTGTGGTTAATGCAGACATGAATCCTTGTAAAAAGGTTTCAGTTTTGTTGTCAGAAAAAAGGGGAAAACCCCTATTATTATATTTTGGTACTGGCAAAGGTCTAATGATGTAGATGCTCATCCCGAGCCCTCATTAATTGATAGTGCATTGTCTTTGAGCTCTACGCCTTCTGGCGTCATCTGGTCGAGCACCAATTGGGTCGAGGCTCAAAAGAAAGCCGTCCCTTGGTGTGGACCAATCAGTTTCAAGGACAATGCATATATTATCATAGTATGTTTTTTTGTTTGCATTTTGACTGCAGGTATTGTGGTTAATGTAGACATGATTCCTTGTAAAAAGGTTTCAGTTTTGTTGCCAGAAAAAAGGGGGAAACCCATTTATTATTAGAGATTGTTGTTGTTGTTTTGTTTTTCCGCCACCAAACGGCGTTGTCCGTGTGGGCCCCCCAATCACCTGGTCATCTGCCAGCAACCTCAGGCAGTGATCCCAACGTTTCACGTGACCGCAGGTGCACCTAGCCTGGCACGGGCGCTCTAGTGGCGTCGTCGCCACTTAGTGACGAGTTTGTTGTTGTTGTTGTTATTGTTGTTGTGTTATTGTGCTGGTGCCGGGTCTTTGTCGTAGCCGCCGCTGAATGGCTGCGTTTGCCTCGGGGTCTGCATCTCCGTGTTGCGACCCAAACCCGTCAACCCCTTTTCAGTGCCCCCTCCTCTCCCCACACTCATCACAGACCAGTTCGGACCTTACTGGTCACCCGGTGCCGCTTGGAAATCTCAACGTTCATCCTACAAAGTCCCATCACAAGGGAGAAACACAAACACATAGGGGGGGGGGCGTCCATAAATGACGTCACGCGATTTTTGACGATTTTTTATCCCCCCCCCCTCCTCCACCTCGTCACACGGCGTCACAAAAAGTCAGCCCCCCCCCCCAAATATGTCGTCACAAAGCTCTGCCCCTCCCCCCCCCCCCCCAAAACAATATTTCCATTTTTAAAATAAAACATGCTTCAAATCGCTTTAAACTATTGTCATTGTAGTGCGTATTTAATTAATGTGGCGCTGCACTCTGATGTGGTAGGAGTGTTGTTATAACAATGAGTGTTGTTATTTTGATTTAAAGCTTTCGTGACTGCAGTGATTCATATTCTTGGTCCTTTCGGTAAAGTCACCACGTAGAAGGGAAACAATAAAATAATACAAATATAAAACAATATTATTTTATTGTTTCCCTTCTACGTGACTTTACCGAAAGAACCAAGATTATAGTGTTGTTATAACAATTCTTTTTTCAAATTTTCTTGCTGTGGTTTTCACACCTGATGATGATTGCTTGTGTTGCAGTCGAAACGTCGTGCTAATTTTATTGTTTTATATTTTTATTATTTTATTGTTTCCCTTCTACGTGACTTTACCGAAAGAACCAAGAATATAATTCTATATTTATTGAAAGTTGCGCATTTTGATGTGAAGTCACATTTCTCAACCCCCCCCCCCCCCCACCTCGTCACACATCGTCACAAATGTCTGACCCCCCCCCCCCCACCCCCAGGTGCGTGACGTCATTTATGGACGGCCTCATAGACAATGTTTTTGCCCATATTGAAACGGCTGTACAAGGATACGGGGTAAGCCGTGTGGGTTGGCAGCTTTGTTGACGTCTTTCGTGTGCGGTCAAGTCTAGCGTCAGCGTGGCTGTAACAAAACAATTTACCCGCTGCCGCTCCGAGACAGCTTGGCACGGCATCCATCACACGTGCGTCCCCCCCCTCCACCTTGTCCGGGACAGTGGCGTCTGTTCCCCCGCGACACGACGCGTTTGCCTCCGTGGAGAAAAACAAAAATGGCTTGGCTCCGGCGATGTGGAGTCGCTTCGATAATCTGCACGGTGACCTAGCACCCCCCGCTGCCGCCCCGCGCCCACCAGAACGTCGCTCCGTTTGTCGCTCGCGGCATCGAGCAAAAGTTTGTCGTCGGTTGTGGTGGTGGTGGTGGTGGTGACCGCTGATTGGGAGCCGCTTAAAATCCAGCCGCCAAAAAAAAAAATCTCCCCGCGGCTGGCCGACGCCGCAGATGCCCCCTGCCCATTCTTGTCTCTCACGCCCCTTCGTCCGCCCCCGCCCTGTGCGCGTGTACCGCGCGTGTGTGTGTGTGTGTGCGCCTGGCGCTCCACCCCCCCCCCACCCCCCCCCCCACCTCCCCCCACCGGCGCAGCGCGCATGTTCTCCGTGGGCATCGTGATGGGACCCATCCTCCACCTGTGGTACGTCTACCTCGACAAGTTCCTGCCGGAGAGGACGAGGAAAGTGGTCGCCAAGAAGATCCTCGCCGACCAGCTCATCGCCTCGCCGCCGTTGGCGGCTCTGTTCTTCTTCGGTGGGTGTGACGCGCCGGGCGAATGCCGGCGGCGGCGGGCGCTGCCCGGCGAGCGTTTGACCTGTAAACGGGACGCCTCCGGGGGCACGTAGCCGGTCGCGAGGTTCGTCTTGCCGGTGGCCCCGGGCCCTGTGCAAAAAGACCCCCCCCCCCCCCCCCCTGGATTTGAACTTCCACGGAGGTCATGGTCCCACCCGAATGCGCATCTGCTGCGCAAACCGTGGGAGTCGGTTCCGGATACCTGATGCACAAATATGGGGGGGGGGGGGGGGGGGAAGTCCGATAGTGGTGCGACTGTGGTCATCCAGAACACAACGTGAAATGACGCAATTTCTCCGGATCCACAAATACGAAGAAGACATCACGGCGATGATGCACTAATCCGCTGCTCCCGATGCGGGTTATCTTGGCTTGACCACCCGAATGTGAATTTGTAGTTTGTTCATAATAGAGTGTTTTTTTTTGGGTTAGATCGCGTAAATAGATAAATGTGTCATTAAAACCCGCCACCACCCTATGCGGCCAACTGCTAACGGTCGTCACGTAAACAGAACGTGGCCACGTTCGTCACTAGTACAGCACAACGGTGTGTTGGCTGTGTCGGCTGGTGGCGGGTTTAAACGACACATCTATATATTTACGCGATCCAACCCAAACAACCTCCACTGTGGATGATATTGGTCGCGAAAGCCTCCTACGTGTTGTAGTTTGTTGCTCACGTGGCTGCCTGCAGTATGGCTGCTGATGTCGACGCAGAGCAACGATTACAATCTCACTTGCAGGTGGTCAAACCCATACAACCACGTCAGGAGCAAGCGGAGTCGTGTATCATCATCGCTGCGATGTCTCGTTCGCATTTGTGGATCGTGACATTGCGTCTTCATGCGTTGTACGGTCTAATTCCCGGATGACAACAATCGACACGCTACTGGAGAGTTTAAAATGTTCCACATTTGTGCGTATGTTTGGTGGCTCACCGCACGTGTCGCCAAACTTCCCATCCCATGGGCATCGAGGTAACAAAGGTGCGAGCGACACGCGCCTGTGACACCAACCTCGCCATTACTTTCAAAACCGGGTTATGTCAGTGTAACGCGTAGGTAAAAAAATATCTGGCTGTTGCCTGATGAAGCTGGTTGTGATTACTGGCGAAACGTCGTACTCAGATTGTAAACGTTGTGGCTTTGCTCTACAACACACCGGTGTGCTTTACCAGTAACGAATTTGCACGTTCTGTTTCCGTGACAGACATCACTAATCGGCCGTGTCGGGTGGTGGCGGGTTTAACGACACTTTTATATGTTTACGCTATCTTACCCCAATATTACGGGTTATGTCACCGATCAAAAAGCCAGTCTGCTAAACGAGCGTCCCCGACTTCTACGCAATACTTTGGTTCTTTCGGTAAACTCACGTAGGTAGAAAAACTAATAGATCACGACGTTTCGATCGCAACACAAGCAATCGTCTTCAGGTGATCAAGAATGGGAATCTGCTGAGGCTTGGCTGTTTATAAAGGTTTAGAGATGGGGGCGGGGCAGCTAATGTTGATGTAGGAGCGAGCAGGAGAGAGCGAGTAGGAGAGAGAAATTTGTTTGCAAAATGTAAATTCTACGCAATCCCGTAGCATCGGATATTAATCACAAATAAACTCAACACGTCCGTCAATAACACTGTGGCCTTGGGAGTAAAAATGTAGAATAGGCAACGTTTCGGGCGATGGACCTTCATAGCTCACCAGAGAGCCATTGCCCTGAACGACGCCTATTGCCGGTACTTATTTTTGTTCTTTTAAGGCCACACGCAAAATAGCCCGACACAAATGGTGGCGAGATCCATTAAGAGGTTTTTTTTAGGTTCGATTGCGTAAATATAAACGTGTCGTGAAACCCGCCACCACCCGACGCAGCCAATCGGTGAATTTTGTCACGTAGCCAGAGCTGTAGAGAAATTATCCTGTATTGGCGAGATGTTAACTACCTCGCCTAGTGTGCAGGAGGTCGTGGGTCTGATCCCGACCCTGTGACGCCTGCTGTGCATTTGGAGTTTGCGGTGTCTCCTTCTCGCCCCGTGGCCGCGTGGATTTTTCTCCGGGTTCTCCGGTATTTCCCTCCACATTTTGAACCAACAACAAACGCTTCGGAGAATTTGGCTGCTATAACTTTCCACGCGATGCCAGTCCACTTGGGTTGAGCCATCGTTTGCGATGGCCAGGTCGCATCTGAATAAGTAATATTCTAAAAAACTTTTTTTAAAAACACGCTTTTATGAAATGTACCATACTAGTAATGGAAGAACTCCACCACTCCAGGAAGTGGACCCGAAGCTTGCCATAACGTAAGGGACCGTGGCCAATTACAGCCAACGTCAGTTGAGCGTGGACAAATAGACCCAAGCCGAAACATGATATGTAAAATATAAAATATGTTTAAATATATATTAACGATAGAATATAGTATTGCCATCAGTATGACATAAGTATACCAAATTTTGCAGTCGATATCACATTGGGAAGTGGGTTAAAATTGAGTTACAAGATTTGAGGATACAACAACAACAACGGACAGAGTAAGTTAAATAAAAGCGCGTAAAAAGAGCTTTACAGCTCCGTGTGGCTTCTTACCTGGTAAAATAAAAAAGAGAGTCTTTTTTTATTTCTCTCGCGTTGGGCCCCAAAGCACCATCATCGCCACCAAATCGCGAGTTTGATTCCTACCCACGTGACTTTACCGAAAGAACCAAAGATTATGGATTCCTGCAGTCACGAAAGCTTCAAATCAAGATGGAGTTTGATTCCGTAGCGTCAGCCAGGTGAAGTCGCGCAACCTGAAGGAGGCTTTTCGGCGGCCACTCCTCCCGATGTTCAAATTCTATCCCTCCGAACGTCCCCGCGTGCAGGAATGGGAGCTCTGGAGGGACAGAGCGTTAAACATTCCGCCCACGAGTTCGCAGACAAGTTTTTGGAGATGTATATGGTGAGTATTGGGTTCGTAAATCACGGCCCCACCACCCCCACATACGTCTCGCTTTTTTACGTGAATGTGTTCCACTGAAGGCAACGGCAATAGGTGCCACGGTGGCTAGGAGATGTTAACTCCCTCGCCTGGTATGCAGGAGGTCGTGGGTTCGATCCCGACCCTTGACGCCTGCTGTATATTTGGAGTTTGCGGTGTCTCTCTCTCTCTCCCCGTGGTCGTGTGGATTTTTCTCAGGATCCTCCCATACACTCGTACAGAGACCCATGAACGCATCGCGAGTGCATAGGTCTCTGTGTCAGTCTATGTATGTACGATGTTGAACTTCTTCCGCACCGTACGTAGCCAACCGCGCTAATCGGAGTTTGCCGGCGGGGGGGGGGGGGGGGGGGGGTGAGAAGGACAAACAAACTAAACACACAAACAGCAGCTCTAAATAAATGAGCTGCATCCGGAATCCAACGCAGCTCGCCGGGAGGGACTTTTGCGCCCGCAGTTTGGTGATTGTTTTTTGTTAAATTGCGTTTTCGTTATTTTGTTTTTTTGCGCCAGATGGATTGGACCATCTGGCCGGCGGCGCAAGCGGTCAACTTCTTTTACGTCCCGTCGTCCTATCGGGTCATCTACGTGAACGTGGTCACCCTGGGATGGGACACATTCCTTTCCTACCTTAAGCACCGGGTGAGGGTTGCTGCCGATTGGTGGTGGCGGTGGTGGCGGCGGTGGCACGGTTGGCACAGTTGAAGGGGCGGCACAGCTGGGTGCATCTGCCAGTCATCTCAGTCGGTCAACCCCCATGGCAGCAGCTGGGTCTGTCTAATTCACATACCTGTCAACCCCTTATTACAGACCAGTTCAGACCTTATTGGTCACCCCGTGCCCCCTTATAAATCTCAGCGTTCATCCGACAAAGTCCCATCACGAGGGAGAAACACAGACAAATAGACACAACTAAATCCCGTGTTGAAACGGCCGTAGGCCGTATGGACCTGAAAACTCAATTTCCCTGGAAAATAACACGGGGTGAGCCGTGTGGGTTGACAGGTACGTGATGGCATCAAAAGTGCACCTGGCCTGGCACAGGCGCCGTGGTGACCTCACCGTCACTTAGTGACGTCACCGTCACTTAGTGGCCAATGGCGGCTGTGTTGGTATTGGCACTGGCGGAGCCAGTGGGGGGGATGGGGTGGCACGTGCCCCCCCCCCCCCCAATGATCCGATCGAAATCCCTAATTTCGATCGGATCATTGGGGTTTATTAGTAATAAATTGTCATTTTGCGACCTCCACTGCCACTGTGTAGCGTATTATTACGTGCCAGGGACTCTATGAGATGATAGGACAATAGTCTGAGTCCATAATTTGCAATAAGTAACGGCAAAGCGGTTATAAGCGACTCACAGAATTGTGCGCAGTTGCGTCTACAGTACACGACTTCCCTGAAGGCATCAACACCTTCAGCGAGCGCGGTGCCGATCACTAACAACGCGGTTCCAATTCGACCCTCGATCGATGTCTGCGCCATTGCCGCAAACGCGTCAAATAAAAAGCAAGGAACAAGTCCTCACTAAATAACAACTCCTTACTTACTAACAACTCTTTGCTTACTAACAACTCCTCTATCATTTTTCATTGTTGGAGGGGTTGCCCTCCATACCTACCTGAAAATCCTGGCTCCGCCATTGGGTATTGGCAACAGTCAGAGGCGTAGAACTCTGTTTATCTTGGGCTTGTCAGGCTAAATGGTACCACATATATAGATACGAATAACATAACAAGACATGGATTCATATTTCGATTTCAAGCTTTCGTGACTGCAATGATTTATCTTCTTTGGTTCTTTCGGTAAAGTCACGTAGAATGAGAATAAAATAATAAATTGATAAAATAAAATAACACAATAATATTCTCACGACGTTTCGGCCACAACACAAGCGGCCTTCATCAGGTGAAGGGACGAGACTGTCGTCGCTGTCCTACCAGACAGTCTCGTCCCTTCACCTGATGAAGGCCGCTTGTGTTGTGGCCGAAACGTCGTGAGAATATTATTGTGTTATTTTATTTTATCAATTTATTATTTTATTCTCATTCTACGTGACTTTACCGAAAGAACCAAAGAAGATGGATTCATATTCTTAGCTCTTTCGGTAAAGTCACGTTGAAGGGAAACAATAAAATAATAATATATATATAAAACAATAAAAATTCTCACGACGTTTCGACCATAACACAAACGGTCATCATCACACCTGATTGTTTGTGTTATGGTCGAAACGTCGTGAGAATTTTTATTGTTTTATATATATTTTTATTATTTTATTGTTTCCCTTCAACGTGACTTTACCGAAAGAGCTAATAATATGAATTACTGCAGTCACGAAAGCTTTAAATCAAAATTTAAGACATGGATTCTTGAGTGTTGTGCATTTCAACATTTCTTGTGCTAATATCAGTTTTTTTTTTATTTGAATACTGCACGGTATAGAATTGCAATTTAAATATACATCGTCTGTTTACAATATGAGTGGCAAGTTAGGAAGCGTTCTATAGTTTGAATTGGTAAGTTACGCATCCTGGCGGCACCAGCGTTACCGGTCGCTCAACGTGTGACGCTTCGATTTGCACCTCCGTATCGAGGTTATCTTTTTTCTCGTACAGGAGAGCGCGAAAGCGACGTCCACGCGACGTCCACGCGACGTCCACGGGAGACCGAGCAAGGCGGGGGGTTGGGGTGGGGGGGGAACCACGTTGGCGAAGCACCACCGAAAGCGCGGGGCTCGCGCTGACCCCTTGACCTGTTGACCTCTGCAGGACGACAAGACGGACGCGGGCGGAGCGCCGGCCGAGCGAGACGCCGGCGAGCGGAGGGAGGCGCCGCACGCGGCGGCCTCTCCCGCGGCGGCCGAGCTGTGCCCGGAGAGGCCGCCCCTTGCCGAGGCGGCCGTGCCGAGCTTGAGGCGGGAGGTTTAGTCGTGGCCCGGGGGGAGGGGGGGGGTCGGGGCGGGGGGGGTGCAAAATCGCCCATCGGCCCGTATATGGAAGGGAAGTGGGCGTGCAGTTTGCCCGTAGTGGCGTTTCTCTGCCCGTACGTGGCCTTGCGGATCGTGAATCGAGGCGTTCTGCGTGCGGTCAATCTGACAGCTGCCCCCCCCTCCCCCCCCCCCCCGTTGGCGTTGGAGGGTTAATCGCCGCGTCGAATAATTCGCAAGCGAGCCACGGACGGGCGCAGTAATCCCATTGGTTGGTGCAGCGTTCGTGCGGAGTGCTCCACTCTTTTTGTTGATTGGCCAAATATCTCTCGGCACGAACGGTGATTCGCTCGCGTTCAGTTTTTTTATTGCACGGCGGCATGCTTCGGAGGAGAGGCGCTCAACGGAAATCGGCAATCTTCCCCGGATGGTTCGCCTTGATGTCGCATTCGTGCCAAAAGAACGATTATTTGACGTGGGTTTTATTATTATTTTTTTTTCTTAATTCGAGAGGGAACACTTAAGATGAGAAAAAATATATTTGGGGATTTTTTTTGTATTTGCACGCCACTCTTCAGGAATGTAGATATATATTAATTTATGTGTACCGAACGGAGACGGCCAATTGATAACAATACGATTGTTATATTTTAAAGACACGAAAAGAGAAATATCAAAGGTAGGTTTCAAAATAAACCACCACTGGAACCATCGGTCACGCCTGAGTCGATTCTAGAACGTACAGTGACAACGATACAGCGTTTACCGTACAGAACATTATTACAGTGCACCATGTTGCGGTCGAGATGTTAACTCCCTCGCCTGGTGTGCACGAGGCCGTGGGTTCGAACCCCGACCCTCACGATGCCTGCGCATTCAGAGTTTGCAACGTTCATGCCGTGGTGGTGTGGATTTTTCTCGGGGGGGGGGGGCCCTCCATTATTTTTTTACCCTCCGCATTCAGAATCAGAAGCGCATTCCAAGTATTTTGGCCGCTGCTGTGAATTCCCTCGCGATGGGCCCACTTCGTTGAGCTATCGTTTGTGGTCAGGTCGCTTCTGAAACGCGAGCTATACATAGCTCGTCGCCGGGCGGGTGGTGGCTGTGCCACGAGGCTGCCTCTGATCTTTTGGAGGCAGTCAGCCGGGGTTGGTGGATCGCACGTGGAGAATGTTGCGAAACCCCCTGATGGGTGCAGGCGTCGAGGAAGACGGCGGGGACGAGGTCAGTCGTCGACTCCACCGTGTGACGGTGTTTTCTCACCGCCGTGGGGGGAGGGTGGGGGGGGCTCTCTTCCCAGGTGCTCCGGTTTCTAGTCAAAGGTGAAGGGGGAGGCGGGCGGGGGGTTTTGTGTGTTGGGGTGAGAGATCGCGTGAATGTAAATTATGCCGTTAACCCACCGCCGCCGCCCCCCCCCCCGACACAGCCAATCGGTGAGGTTCGTCACCGCAAGCGACACTTTTACATCACGGGACCTCCATTGCCAGTATCAAAATATTAGAATCGGTTTGACCCGATCTGGCAATGAAACAGTTGCGTGAAGATGTTCACGCAAGTGGTTTTATATAATAAAATAGTTGTGTGAAGATGTTAAAACACCAAACAGAAACCTGTCGCAAGGAATCGTGTACTGCATCAACCACACGCATGCTTGTGGTGATTACTTGCAAAAGGTGTCCGTTTGGTGTTTTAACATCTTGACACAACTATTTTATTGCCGGGAAAGGGTAAAACCTGTTCTTATACAAAGTACAACCTTGGTCTGCGAGTGTTTTGCAAGACGAGCAAAATTTTTTAATGAATATAAATTTGATAAACGAGCGAGGGTCTTGCAATATGAGTAGTGTACGTATACGCTTTGTTTGCCGAGCGTCACGTGATCACAACTGATACACGAGTGCTCTGATATACGAGTGCTTTGGATTACAAACACGTTTCCAGAACGAATTATGCTCGCAATCCAAGGTTTTACTGTATTTTGATACTGGCAAGGGGGAGGTCCCATTAAGTAGCTGCTCACCTTGAGCTCTCAATGTTCCTGATAGTGGCATTGTCCTGGTGCTGTTCGCCTTTTGGCGTCCTCTGGTCTAACACTGAGACGAGGCTCTAAAGAAAGCTGTCTCTGGTGTGGACCAATCAGTTTCACAGACAATGCATCATCACACACTACCATAGCATGGTTTTTGTTTGCATGTTCACCACAAGTACTGTGTGGTTATTGCAGCACCACGATTCCTTGCAAACGGTTTATGTCTGGTGCTTTAACATCTTAACACAGCTGTTTTATTGCCTAAAAAGGGTAAAACCTATTCTTACGGGATCTAACACAACAACAACAAGAACAACCTGTATTACGAATAATATTGGTGACAAAAGCCTACCAATGTGTTAAAATGTAAACACTCATCGATATGTAGAGGACCGCAGAGCTTGGGCAATTGTTTATAGCGCCGGGTCACCAACAACCTTCCAGGTTGGCAGGGGGCCTCCTCCTCGGGCCTCTTGAGTAGTCAGCGTTGTCTCTCGTCGATAGCGAAATTCTGTGCGGCTGGACTCCTCTACTTACGAAGATTCGACTTACGAACTTTCAGAGATACGAACAAACCTGGTCCGTATGGCCTCTTGCCCGTTCGGAACGAGAGTTGTAATTTCAATCGCCGCGCAATAGATGGCGGTGGTGGCATCTACATCTGCAGAACGTAAAGAACCAGTGGCATCTGCAGATCGTGAAGAACCGGTGCCATCTACATCGGCAGAACGCGAAGAACCAGTGACATCTACAAGAGCTTATACAACATTTAAAGCCATTCCCTGCGTTTAGTTCACACTCCGAACAAAGTTTGGAATCAACGGGAGTAAAGTTGGACTTGCGAACAAATGGACTTACGAACAGACCTCTGTTATCTTGACGGCTTCGCGCTTCATCTGGTTGAGCGTCATCTGTGACTCGGGTGATGTGCAACGCCACGCCAAGGTAGCCCCTCAATAAACTTCGCTCCAAAGACGAAGATCCTCCTCCCCCCTTTAACAGGCTGTTGGGGCAAGCGCTGTTAGCGAGCGCCTATGAAGGCCGGCACGGCACACGAGGGGGTGGGCGGCCAGCACCACCCCCGGCCGCCTTTGTCTCCCCAGCGGCGATGTTTGTACGCACCGGGGTACTCATTTGAGACCGAGTCAACCCAGGGGAGGGCCAGGACTGGTTCAGATAGTGACCGCTGTTGGTGGTGGCCGTGAGCGGGAATCGAACTCAGGTGGCCGGGTTCGTAGCGTAGCGCTAATACAAAGACGCTAATACAAAGACACGCACAGACATTCATATTCGTCAAGACACAACAGCTACCGTCACCCAGTGGCATCAATGGGTAACAAAGACAAAGATCCCCCGTGTGGCCTTAACAGACTGTAGGGGCAAGTGCTGTTAGCGAGCACCTATGAAGGTCGGAACGGTACACGAGGGGGTGGGTGGTCAGCACCACGCCCGACCGCCTTTGTCTCCCTAGTGGCAATGTTTACACACCGCACCAGGTACTCATTTGAGGCTGAGTCGACCTTGAGGAGGCCCAGTACCGGTTCAGATAATCGTCACCGGTGTTGGCCGTGAGCGGGAATAGAACCCGGGTCGCCGAGTTCACCTTCGCAGCGCGCTCACCGCTGCACCACCGCTCCCCACAATGGGTAACGCCACCACCGCAGGTGATACGTCGCTTGTGGTGGGGTGAAGTGTGGGTAACTCCTCGATGTGTGGCCCACGTGGAAGAGTAGGCCAAGGAGATCGTGGTGACGGCAGCGTGCCACGCGCCGGGACACGGCGAGGAGCAACACCAGAACCAGAATGTTTAATTCATGCTGGAGGAAATCCGATGAGCTATAAAGCTCTTTGTTTCACAGAAGTTCAGTAGCGGCGGGTCAGAACGTTACAACAACAAACAATGGAAAAGGTACATACATCGCTTAAAACAGTAGACATTAAACGAAATTATGTTGTTGTTTTTGTCACGTGAAGCCCACTGATGTATTACGAACTTGGGGGCCGTCCATAAATGACGTCACGCACCTAAGGAGGGGGCGGGGTCAGACATTTGTGACGATGTGTGACGAGGGGGGGGGTGAGAAATGTGACGTCACATCAAAATGCGCAACTTTAAATAAACAGACAACACGTTCTACTTAATTAAATAGACTTTAATAAATGTTTTCTCCTATAACGTCAGAGTGCAGCGCCACATTAAATACGCACTACAATGACAATAATTTAAAGCAATTTGAAGCATGTTTTATATAGTTTTTTGGGGGGGGGGGGGGGCAGAGTTTTGTGACGTCATATTTGAGGGGGGGGGGGTCTGACTTTTTGTGACGCCGTGTGACGAAGGGGGGGGGGGGGGGTCAAAAATCGTCCAAAATCGCGTGACGTCATTTATGGACGGCCCCTTTCGTTTCAAAAGCGACCTGGCCACAAATGACAGCTCGACAAAGTGAGGAAACCCCCGGGTGTAAAAACCTTTCCCTCGCGTGCTGTGTTAGAAAGGCCGTTGTCCCGAAACGTCGCTCATTATTGTGGAAACCCGTGCAGTGTTATTCTCGGCCGGTGGTTCTTCTTGAGCTGGGGGTGCATCACGCACTCACTGGGGGTGCGTGACGCCACTTTCTGGGAGGTAGTGAGACATGGGCAAAACAAAAAATTTCGAAGGGAAATCATCGGAAGATAAATTAGGCACGGACACGTTAAGTAAAAGGGCTGCAGTAAAGGTTTAAGAAGCACTGTACTACACTATATATTACTATACACTACACTGCTATACACTTCACTATACACTACACTACCGTACACTACACTAAACGCAACACTACTTTACACTACTATACACTACACTACTATATACACTACACTACTATACACTACTATACACTGCACTACAATATACACTACACTTATACACTGCACTACACTATACACTACACTATATTATACACTACACACTACACTACACACTACACTATACACTACACTATACAACACACTACACTATATTATACACTGCACACTGCACTACACTATACACTACACTACACACTACACTATATTATACACTACACTATACACTACACTATATTATACACCACTATACACTATATTATACACTACACTATATTATACACTACACGATACACCACTATTATACACCACACTATATTATACACTACACTATACACTACACTACTATACACTACACTATATTATACACTACACTACTATACACTACACTACTATACACTGCACTACACTATACACTATATTATACACTACACTATATTATACACTACACTACACACTACACTATATTCTACACTACACTATACACTACACTATACACTACACTATACACAACACTATACACTACACTATACACTACACCAGTGGTCGTTAACCTGGGTTGCGAGATGCCCCTTTCTGGGAGGTGGCGAGACACGGCAAGATTATTTATATAGAAGGCAAATCATCGAAAACACAAATTAAGCACGCGACCAATATCATCCATCATAGAGGGGTTGTTTTTTTTTTGGGGGGGGGAGGGGGTGGTTAGAGTCGCGTAAACACACATGGTGTGTCGTTTACCCCGCCACCACCCGACGCAGCCAATGTAGTGTGGTTAGTGTCGCGTGTACATTACGTGGCCCCAATTCGCCACGAGCACTGCGCGTTGGGAGGGCAAACGCTGAACGTTGGCAGCCTCAGCACGACGTTTCGCTGGAGGTAATTTACAGCCGGCGTAATCAGGCGGGCAAGTCGGCGTTGTTCGTGACGCGGTGAGTGGCACCCACGTGGCGGCGCCCCCACGTGACCCCCCCCACGTGGTCCCCGCGTCGACACCGGCTGGGCCCCGCTTTGCCGCGGTCCCTTAGTGCCGAATCGGCCGCTGCGAACTCCACGGCGCTCTGCGCGATCCCTGAGAGGTGAGAGCCGCGTGCTGTCTCGCTGCGTACTGTCGGTGTGCTGTGTGTACTGTCAGTGTGTGTACTATCTGTGTGTACTGTGTGTACTGTCTGTGTGTACTTTGTGTACTGTCTGTGTGTACTGTGTGTACTGTCAGTGTGTGTACTGTGTGTACTGTCAGTGTGTGTACTGTCAGTGTGTGTACTGTGGGTGTGTGTACTGTTTGTACTGTGTGTACTGTCAGTGTGTGTACTGTGTGTACTGTCTGTGTGTACTGTGGGTACTGTCAGTGTGTGTACTGTGTGTACTGTCAGTGTGTGTACTGTCAGTGTGTGTACTGTCAGTGTGTGTACTGTGTGTACTGTCAGTGTGTGTACTGTCAGTGTGTGTACTGTCAGTGTGTGTACTGTGTGTACTGTGGGTGTGTGTACTGTGTGTACTGTCAGTGTGTGTACTGTGTGTACTGTGGGTGTGTGTACTGTGGGTGTGTACTGTGTGTACTGTCAGTGTGTGTACTGTCAGTGTGTGTACTCTCAGTGTGTGTGTGCTCTCTGTATACTGCCAGCGTGTACTGTCTGTACACGAGTCCTGGGTCTCCCCTAGGTCGACTCGGCCTCAAATGAGTATGGTGCGGTGTAAAACAACATCGCCACTGGGGAGACAAAGGCGGCCGAGCTGGCCACCCACCCCCTTCGTGTGCCACCGTGCCGGCCTTCATAGCTGCTGCTGCTACTCGCTAACAGCACTTGTCCCAACAGTCTGTTGAGGCTACACGCCGGATTGATCGTTGTTTTTGTTTGTGATGTGCTGTGTTTGGTGTGTACTCTGTGTTGTCTGTGATGTCTGTGTTTGGTGTGTACTCTGTGTTGTCTGTGATATGCTGTGTTTGATGTGTGTGTACTCTGTGATGTCTGTGATGTGCTGTGTTTGTTGTGTGTACTCTATGTTGTCTGTGATGTGCTGTGTTTGATGTGTGTGTGTGTACTCTGTGTTGTGCTGTGTTTGGTGTGTGTGTACTGTGTGTTGTCTGTGATGTGCTGTGTTTGTTGTGTGTGTACTCTGTGTTGTCTGTGATGTGCTGTGTTTGGTGTGTGTGTACTGTGTGTTGTCTGTGATGTGCTGTGTTTGTTGTGTGTGTACTCTGTGTTGTCTCTCTCTCCGTATGGTCGAGCGGATTTTGTTCTGGGTTTCCCCCCCACCCCCACCCGTTCTCTTAGTTGTACGTGGCCAGCACCCGCTGGAGATGTCCCTGAGCGCCGTGCAAGACGTGGAGGTGGCGCACGACGCCACCTACAAGTACGTCCTGGTGCGTGTCCACGCGCAGGGTGGGGCGGCGCACAAGGACGTGGTGCGAGGGTTCCCCTCGGCAGAGTTCCACGGTGAGGAAGAACCGTCCGGCCGTGCCGCAGCCGCCGCCGACGCCGCGTTGGATAGGCTTGGCCGCGGCCGTCACGTTCTGAGCCTGTGCCGTCACCCCTTGCTGGCCCAGCTCGCGTCACGGTGGAGGAAATGGGAGAACCCAGGGGACGTAGGAAACCCGTGCGGGGCAGGGGTGAAGGTGCAGACTCCGTGCAGAAAGGCGCCCGGGTCGGGATTCGAACCCGGGCTGCCTCCTTGCTGCGAAGGCTACGTGCGTCACCGATGCGCGCCGCCCCTACCGTCGGTCCATCGGAAACGTTCACCTGCACGTTAGTCAGATCCAGGTGGCCGGTTAGCGAAGTCCAGTCCCCTGAAGTGAGATGTCTCACTTGGTTCACACCGATTTTTTTTTAGGACGTGACGAAATAAAGAAAGGCATTGATTCGAATATTTGATGCACCTGGCCAGGGGGTTCTTAAGCTTCAATTCGCCTGCCTCTGACTCACTGGAGCTGTGACTTTTCTGCTCGTGGACTTGGTGGCACTCCCCAAAGTGATTGCGATGGTACGCGGGGGGGGGGGGGTTATTTAAGGCAAGACTAAATATATGCTGACACTCGCGACCGGCTAACTTTAGTTAAAGCAAGTCTTCCGAAAGTGTGGGTGTGTCTGTTTAATGCACCGACTGCTTCAGTTATTCGGTCTTCATGATTTGAATTTAACAACAGAGTAACCACGTATAACAATACTAATGATGCCTTTTTTTATTCAGGAAAAGCCTCACTGAATTATGAGACTTTTTCTAAGTGTCGTATGTTTTGGGAGTGTTTGGCCTATTTCCATTTTTGTCCGATAGTTTTACACTGATTTACAATCTATTTTACAAAACACTCCGTTAAGCCTGTCCCGCCATGCATGTCTCAGATCCTGGGTGCGTATCTAGCCAGCCGATTGCAGGTTCTGTCCGTCCACTGCGTGGAAATGAATGCACTTATACAATTGTACTGACACAGTAAGGTGTCAGAGTACGCGGGCTCAAGAGTAGGCGGGCCCGCTCATACGCGACCGATCCCGATTCAGACTTACACCTTGTGACTCGTACTTTCGCTACACGCACGGGGCGGGAAGCGAGGAGTCAAATCACCGCCCTGCCATCACGCGAGCGATGAGTTTGACGGTGTGTAACGATATCACCCGCGCAAGAAACGAGTCCAAAGCAATATCTGGTGTTCTAAATAGTGTTGTTATTATATATCGTGTTAATAAAATATCTGGTGTTCTATCTGACCCGGATGCTACCGATGATTAGTGAATTATTTACTGTGCACTACCATACTTTATTACACATTTATGTACATTTATATACATTTTATATCAACCCATATGGTTTACCCCGTATTTTTGTACGTGGAAATTTATTTTTCAGGTCCATACGGCGTACAGCCGTTTCAATACGGGCGAAAACATATTTTTGTCTATTTGTTTGAGTTTGTCCCTTGTGATGGGACTTTGTAGGATGAACGTTGAGATTTATAAGGGCACGGGGTGACCAATAATGTCGGAATTGGTCTGTAATAAGATAGGCACTGATAAGGGGTTGACAGGTATATTATATCCACTCTTACATTGTATATACTACACTCCTATAGTATACAGTAGTAGTATATAATACGTCGCGGTCTGCTTTTCGCTTGCAAGTTTAAGATTTACTGTAATACACCCGTCCTTGGACGGGCAAAAGGCTAGTAGTAATATAGTAGGGTATAGTAATATAGTAGTATATAGGAATATAGTAGTATAGTAGTAGCACAATACTATATACTACTATACTAATATAGTAGAATATGGTATGGAAGATGATTTGTAGATCGGGGTGCAAAAGATTGAAGGGAATAGGTTGAGGATCAGTGTGTGTGTGTGTGGTAGTGTAGTGTGTAGCGGTCAGCGCGCTGCGCTATGAACCCGGCAATCAGAGTTCGATTCCCGCTCACGGCCAACACCAGTGACGATTATTTGAACCGGTCCTAGGCCTCCCCTAGGTCAACTCGGCCTCAAATGAGTACCTAGTGCGGTGTAAAAACATTCGCACTCGGGAGACAAAGGCGGCCGGGCGTGGTGCTGACCACCCACCCCCTCGTGTGACCGTTCCGGCCTTCAAAGGTGCTCGCTGACAGCACTTGCCCAACAGTCTTTTGAGGCTATTCGCGGGGATCTTTTTTCTTTGTAGCGGTTTTAATGGGCAGCGGTAGTGCAGCGGTTCGTCTTGATGATTCTGATTTCTGTGCCGGGTGCCGCCCCCTTCCGCCCCACCGTGCAGCGGACGTTTATGACAAACTGAGCGCCGAGGTGGAGAGCCTGGGCCTGGACTGCGAGTGCCTGGGTGGCGGCCGTATCCAGCACGACTCCGCCACCAAGACCATCAAGGTGTACGGCCACTCTGTGGTACGTCCCGGCCAGGCCACCGCGTCCCCCCGTGCGGCCACGCTAAGGGGTGGGGGGGGTCGGGGGCGCCGCCGGATTTGATCGCCGTGGTGCGACGAGGTTTCCCCAACCCGTGATGCCTGCTTGCCGTGTTTGTCTGCTCGCCGGGTGGCCCTTGACAGAGCGCTGTGGTGCTTCAAGGGGTGGTTATTTACACGGGCGATAGACTTCTGAACGTCACCGGTGCGCGTGACCACTTGACGAGGGCTTCGCGTGACAATCTCTAGGCCGTCCGTACGTTGGCAGCCGTTCTGTTGGGGCTGCCACCTACTCACCGGCGTGGCCTTCAAGGCGCTGTACCAGAGCAGCGGTCATGTGGGGGTGTGAACCTGGCTACCCGAGTTTGATTTCCTGCCACGGCTTACACCGATGACGGTGGGTTATCCGAAGCGATTCTGAGCCCTCCCCACGTCATCAGCCTGTACCGATCAGAGTGGTGAAGTTCGGCCAAACAGCCACGATGACTGACACGGTACGGGGAGACCTAAATCCAGCAGTGGATCGACGTAAGGCTGTAAATGACTTATTTTACACGCTTTTATTTAACTCACTCTGTCTGTTGTTGTTGTTGTTGTTGTCGTATCCTCAAATCTTGTAACTCAATTTTAACCCACTTCCCAATGTGGTATCGACTGCAAACTTGGCATACTTATGCCATACTGATGACAATATTATATTCTATCAAAAAAAATGTAAACATACATTTTTATATGTTATGTTTCGGCTTGGGTCTAATTGTCCACGCTCAACTGACGTTGGCTGTACATCACCACGGTCCCTTACGTTATGGCAAGCTTCGTGGCCACTTCCTGGAGTCGTGGAGTTCCATTACGAGTCGGGTACATTTCATTAAAGCGTGTTTTTAAAAAAGTATTTTTTAAATATTACTTATTTTACAAAGGTCGATTTTCATTGCTTCTATATCTGCATTTAATGTTGTCTTCCGGGGTTTCAGCGTGTATAGGTTATCTTCTAAACTGGCCTTCAGTTATGAATTATTTTGTAATTTACAGCCTTTCGTAAACCCACCGTTGGATGAGTGCCTCCCCGTGCCTTTTTTTTTTGAGTGGAGGGATTGCTTTGAATATACTTCACCACGCTGGTCAAAGGCGAGACCCAGGGACCGGTTCGGATACCGCTTGCCACTGATGTTAGCCGTGGCAGGGAGTCGAACCGAGGTCGTGGGTTTCACGGCAAAGTGTGCCGACGGCTGCGACAATTCGGCTTTGAACGCAGGCGAGCGGGGTCTTGACCGTCCGCGCGCAACTCCCATAATTGTGTGTCTCCCCTGTGCACACAGGGATTTGGGAAAGCTGACCATTCAGTGACGACGGAGAAGCTGAAGGCCAAGTATCCGGATTACACCATCACTCATTCCGATGAGGGCTATTAACATGGAATCCCCGGCGATAGCGGTAAACTTGAAAAGGCATTGCGCTTAAGCATCCGCTGCCCCGTACTCAACCGCTCCCGAAACGGCAACTCTTTCTCGTTCCACTTCGACGTTTTGCATTATCGATGCACTTCTCCCCGTTTGGTGTCGCGTCGGCACGTGTGTGTGTTTACGAAGCGCTGGTTAGTCACGTTGAACAGGCGTACTTAGGTGGCTTAAGACCACGACAGAGAATTGTCCACTTCGCCTCTACCAACCCGCATTGATGCACACTCACCACTAGTTAACTCACCACTCCAAACCTGTCGACCCCTTACCAGTGCTCTGCCGTGTTACAGACCAATTCAGACCTTATTGGTCACCCCGTGCCTGCATAAATCTCAACGTTCATCCTGCAAAGTCCCATCGCAAGGGAGAAACACGAACAAATACACAACATTTTTGTTTGCCCGTATTGAAACGGCTGTCCGCCATATGGACCTGAAAGCTCAATTTCCCTGTACAAGAGTACGGGGTAAACCGTTGACAGGTATGTTGATGTCCACCTTTCGCAGTTGGAAATAAAGGCAGTCTACGACAACGTGATGAGCATCTCCCCGAGTTGGTTTTCCGATGAAAAATAAATGAAAAACGAAACAAAACTTCTCCGATGCGTTTTCCAGTCGTGCCGCGAGTCTTTCGGCGTGACGCCCCCCCCCCCCCGACGTTTCGCTCCACGCGCTCGAAGCTTCTCCAGGAACTGGTCGGCTTCGGCCTACACCTTCACTCGGCCTGAGGACGGACGGACGGCCGTGAGTTCCACGTCACCCCTCTCTTCGCGTGCAGCACGGAGAGTTGTGCCCGTGCGGTGCAAAGGACCCACACGGCGACATGAGCACGGTTCATATTCTTGGTTCTTCCGGTAAAGTCACCACGTAGAAGGGAAACAAAAAAATTATTTAAAATATAAAACAATAAAATTCTCACGACGTTTCGACTGCAACACAAGCAATCATCATCAGGTGTGAAAACCACAGCAAGAAAGTTTGAAAAAAGTGGCGGTTTTTTAAAACTTTCTTCTGTGGTTTTCACACCTGATGATGATTGCTTGTGTTGCAGTCGAAACGTCGTGAGAATTTTATTATTTTATGTTTTTTTTATTTTATTGTTTCCCTTCTACGTGACTTTACCGAAAGAACAAAGAATATGAATCCCTGCAGTCACGAAAGCTTTAAATCAAAATGAGCACGGTTGGCTACGTGCGGTGCGAAAGAAGTCAAATAGCAACTAGCCAAAGCAAGCGGGCACTCGTTTAAGGCCGGGTAGACCTAGGAGAGGGCAAGAACCGGCTCGGATAATTATCACCGCCGTTGGCATGTTCATAGCGCAGAGCGTAAACCCAAGCCAACGCTACTCCTTACACAGACAGAATTTCAGACGCAGACACACACACAACAGCACACAGACGCGCGCACACATATGTAACACATACAATGCACGCATCGAGATGCACACACAACCGCATACATAGACGAAGATCCCCCTGTATAGCCTTAACAGACTGTTGGGGCAAGCGCCGTTAGCGAGTGGCACCTATGAAGGCCGGCACGGTACACGAGGGGGTGGGGGGCCAGCACCACGCCCGACCACCTTTGTCTCCCCAGTGACGATGTTTATACACATAGCACCAGGTACTCATTTGAGGCTGAGTCAACCTAGGGGAGGTACAGAACCGGTTAAGGTAATCGTCACCCATGTTGGCCGTAAGCGGGAATCGGAACTCGGGTCGCCGGGTTCATAGCTCGGAGTGCTAACCGCATCACTCCCGCTCGCTTACAACAACAACAACAGAAACCGACATTTTGCCACTAAGTGGCGGTGACATCACCACGGTGCTTGTGCCAAGCTATGTGCACGTTGAGGCTTGCATACATACACACGCACACGTGTTCGGCTGAACCTGTCAGCCAATCCCATTCGTCTGCTCCCAAGCCCGGTCGGAGGATTTAGGGTCAGAGGCTGCAGTCTGTGCACCTACTGCTGCACCCATTCTGCCCAGTTGAGCCTCAGCGACTTGACCTCAAGGTGCTGGTGTCAGTGTTCGCGGCAAAATTTCCCGAGATCTGTCGTTGAAGTACGGCAGGCTAAATGTTGCCGGAGGCAAAGGGTCGACTTGAGATTTGGATGTCGGAGTGAGATTGTGACTTTCATTCTGTCTGCCTTAAAAAGCTGTTGGACTAAATGTTCAGCTGACGTGTAAATCGTGTTTCTGTCGGAAATCTGTTTGGGGGAGGGGGGGGGGAAAGCCGATTTTTTATTTATTTTACACAAATATATTCAAGTTCTCAAATGTGTTTACTTTCCATTTCCCAAATTTTTTTCAAGTTTCACTTTAATTTCTAGAGGTAATTAAACGTTTACGTGTGTTTTAAGAGGAACAGAGCTGGCATACAGACGACACTTTGAAAACGAGAGCTTGTGCTCACGTTCGTTCGTGTCTCAGTCCGCTTGTCCTGGTGAGGGTCGCGGTGGCAGCAGCAGCAGCAGCGAGTTAAGTAGTGGCGGTCCACACCTCCCTTACCCTGGCGACAGACTCTAGCACTAATACACTATACACTACTATACACTACACTATACACTACTACACTATACACTACACTATACACTACTATACACGACTATACACTACTACACTATACACTACTACACTATACACTACTACTCTATACACTACTACACTACTATACACTATACTATACACTACTACACTATACACTACTATACACTACTGTACACTATACACTACACTATACACTACTATACACGACCATACACTACTACACTATACACTACTACACTATACACTACTACACTATATACTACTACACTACTATACACTATACTATACACTACTACACTATACACTACACTATACACTACTACACTATACACTACTACACTATACACTACTATACACTACTACACTATACACTACTACACTATACACTACTACACTATACACTACACTATATACTACTATACACTACTACACTATACACTACTACACTATACACTACTAGACTATACACTACTATACACTACTACACTATATACTACTATACACTACTACACTATACACTACTATACACTCTACTATACACAACTATACACTATACTATACACTACTACACTATACACTACTATACACTACACTATACACTACTACACTATCCACTATACTATATACTACACCACTACACTACATTATACTATACACTACTAAACTACTATACACTATACTATACACTACTACACTATACACTACATTATACACTACTATACATTACTATACACTACACTATACACTACTACACTATACACTACTATACATTAGTATACACTACACTATACACTACTACACTATACACTACTCTACACTACTATGCATTACTATATACACTACACTATACACTACTATACATTTCTATACACGACTACACTATATACTGTACTATACACGACTACACTATACACTACTATGCATTACCATACACTACATTATACACTACTACACTATACACTACAACACTATACACTACTATACATTACTATACACTACACTATACACTACTACACTATACACTACCACACTATACACTACACTATACATTACTATTCATGACTACACTATACACTACTACATACTGTACTACTACACACATACACTACAAGACTCTAGCTCTACATTACTATTACACTAAAAACTTGATTTGAAGCTTTCGTGACTGCAGTAATTACTCTTCGGTTCTTTAGGTAAAGTCACGTACAAAGTAAATAAAGTAAATAATAGAATACGACGTTTTTATTGCAACACAAGCAACCGTCATCAGGTGTGAATGCATACTGAACACTACTACACTATCCACTACTACACTATCCACTACTATACACTACACTATACACTACACTATACACTACTACCCTATGCACTACACTATACACTACACTATACACTACCACCCTATGCACTACACTACTACACTATCCACTACTATACACTACACTATACACTACCACCCTATGCACTACACTATACACTACACTATACACTACACTATACACTACCACCCTATGCACTACACTACTACACTATACACTACTACACTATCCACTACTATACACAGACTCCCAGCTCTTCCTGGGGAATTCCCCATGCATTCCCAGGCCGGCCGACGACGTCGCCCCACCAGCATGTCCTGGGCCGGCCCCGGGGTCTTCGCCCAGTGGGACGTTGCTGCCCGGTAGAGTTCCAGGGGGAGTCTACCGGGGGGGGGGGGCAGCCCGAACCACCTCAACTGGCTCCTCTCGATCCGGAGCGGCGGCTCGGCTCTTGAGGCGCTCGCCCGGATTACAGAGCTCCACGCCGGATCACGGAGAGCGAGGCCCGGCAACCCCGCGGAGAAACCTCATTTCGGCCCCTTGTACCCGCGGTCTCATCCCTTCGGTCATTACCCAAAGCTCGTGACCATAGGCGAGGGTTGGAACGTAGATCGACCTGTGAACCGCGAGCTCTGTTCGAGAAATCAGCTCCCGCTTCACTATTATATTTCAAAAAATCCATGCTACATCTTTAAACGTTAATTTATTTCCATATGAGAATACATGAAATGCAGTCACATCATGAATTTATGCATGAGGCGCATGTTCACCCCGCCAAAAACTACCGTCGTCAACTCCGTTTCTATTCAACAAACTTTGTCTATGGATCTCTGTGTGAGTCTATGGGTCTCTGCGAGTCTATGGGTCTCTGTGTGTCTATGGGTCTCTGTGCGAGTCTATGGGTCTCTGCGAGTCTATGGGTCTCTGTATGAGTCTATGGGTCTCTGTGTGAGTCTATGGGTCTCTGTGTGACTCTATGAGTCTCTGTGTGAGTCTATGGGTCTCTGTAGTGAGTCTATGGGTCTCTGTAGTCAGTCTATGGGTCTCTGTGTATCTATGGGTCTCTGTGCGAGTCTATGGATCTCTGTGCGAGTCTATGGGTCTCTGTGCGAGTCTATGGGTCTCTGTGCGAGTCTATGGGTCTTGGTGTGAGTCTGTGCGTCTCTGTGTGAGTCTATTGGTCACTGTGCGAGTCTATGGGTCTCTGTGCGAGTCTATGGGTCTCTGTGTGAGTCTATGGGTCTTTGTGTGAGTCTGTGCGTCTGTGCGAGTCTATGGCTCTCTGTGCGAGTCTATGGGTCTCTGTGCGAGTCTATGGGTATCTGTGCGAGTCTATGGGTCTCTGTGTGAGTCTATGGGTCTCTGTGCGAGTCTATGGCTCTCTGTGTGAGTCTATGGGTCTCTGTGTGACTCTATGGGGCTCTGTGTGAGTCTATGGGTCTCTGTGTGAGTCTATGGGTCTCTGTGCGAGTGTATGGGTCTCTGTGCGAGTCTGGGTCTCTGCGAATATATGGCTCTCTGTGCGAGTCTATGAGTCAATGTATGTTGAACTTCTTTCGCACCGTACGTAACCAACCGTGCTAAACGGAGGTGCTGGTGGGGGCGGGGGGGGATGACTTGTATGCAAATGACAAGCCCTTCGGAAGGAGAATGTAAAGTCTACGCTCACACGACCCGTGACTTCTTGGCAAACGTCCTTTGGAGGTCGTAGCGTTTTAAGGTAAATTTTTACGAAGCATCTCCGCGTCACAGACACACATTTAACTCAGCAACCTCGCCTTATGCAAATGTTTCAATGTCGTGGAGTCGTTCTTGCACCCCCCCTCCTCCTCCTCCTCCCACCGTCTGTAGATGCCACATGAAGGTGCTCCGAGAAAATTCCCATTGCAACCAGGGCCGGATGAAGGCGTTGGGGGTGGGGGGGAGGCTTTAGGGGCTGTCATCCCTGGGACCTCCATCAGCTGGGGGGCCTCCAGAGATGAAGTGAAAAGTAATTTCATTTGTGAATGCTGAATTTTATTTGTTGTTAGCTTTGTAAAAATGAAATGTATTTTTTGTTTAAACTTTATTTTCCTTTTGAAAATATCACTGGGGGGGGGGCCTCAACAGTACCTGTAGCCTCAGGGGCTTAAACAATCTTAATCTGGCCATGATTGCAACATCCAGACCCAACGTACGCCACTAATTGCATAACCCCGTGTTTTTTTTTAAGATGGAAATTGAGTTTTCAGGTCTACACGGCGCACAGCATGTTTCAATACGGGCAACAAGAAAACACTTATTAGTGACATAATGTTTTTGTCTGCGTGTTTGTGTTTCTCCGTTGTGATGGGACTTTGTAGGATGAACGTTGAGATTTATAAGGGGCACGGGGTGACCAATAAGTTCTGAATTGGTCTGTGATCAGGTGGGCACTGATAAGGGTGTGACAGGTATGTAGTGGTGAGTGTACTAGTGGTGAGTGTGCTAGTGGTGAGTGTACTAGTGGTGAGTGTACTAATGGTGAGTGTAGTGGTGAGTGTACTAGTGGTGAGTGTACTAGTGGTGAGTTAACTAGTGGTGAGTGTGCTAGTGGTCAGTGTGCTAGTGGTGAGTGTACTAGTGGTGAGTGTAGTGGTGAGTGTGCTAGTGGTGAGTGCAGTGGTGAGTGTAGTGGTGAGTGTGCTAGTGGTGAGTGTGCTAGTGGTGAGTGTGCTAGTGGTGAGTGTAGTAGTGGTGAGTGTACTAGTGGTGAGTGTAGTGGTGAGTGTACTAGTGGTGAGTTAACTAGTGGTGAGTGTAGTGGTGAGTGTACTAGTGAGTGTACTAGTGATGAGTCTACTAGTGGTGAGTGTGCTAGTGGTGAGTGTACTAGTGGTGAGTGTACTAGTGGTGAGTGTACTAGTGGTGATTGTCTGTTTGTGTTTCTCCCTTGTGATGGGACTTTATAGGATGAACGTTGAGATTTATAAGGGGCACGTGGTGACCAATACGATCAGAATTGGTCTGTGATGAGTTAGGGCACTCATAAGGGGTTGACAGTCGTGTCATTGTTGCTGCAGGAGGTTCAAGGTTCGGATCGAGTTGGCCGCCCCCAATTAATACCACGAGTTTGTATTTCTCACCATTTAGGATCGAATGTACGCACAATACTGTACACATACTATATATGCAGAAGATACGTACTTGATAGAGCCACGTCTACAAATGTGATTTGAAACTTTGATCCTTACCACCCATGTATCGATTGTGAAAATTGAACGTATGTATGTTGAACTTCTTTCGCACCATACCCATCCAACCGTGCTAGTCACAGTCAACGTTAAATATCCTGTGAAGTCATTCACAAGGGTAAGACGTGATAATAACACATATCCAGAATAGCAACGCTTATCTTCCCACGTATTTAGTTTGTCGGGTGCATTGTTTTATAGTCGTTTTAGATGTTAACTACCTCGTCTGGTATGCAGGAGGTCATGGGTTCGATCCCTACCCCGACGCCTGCTGCTGTATATTTTAAATTTTCGTCTTTCTCTCCCCGTGGTCGCGTGGATTTTTCTCCGGGCTCCTCCGGTTTATTTCCCCTCCACATTTAGAATCACACAGCTGTCAACCATTTTATCAGTGCCCTACCCGTGTTACAGACCAGTTCAGACCTTATTGGTCACACCGTGACACTTATAAATCTCAACGTTCATCCCACAAAGTACCACCACGTATTTCGTTTGTCGGGTGCATTGTTTTATAGTCGTTTTAGATGTTAACTACTTCGTCTGGTATGCAGGAGGTCATGGGTTCGATCCCTACCCCGACGCCTGCTGCTGTATATTTGAAATTTTCGTGTTTCTCTCCCCGTGGTCGCGTGGATTTTTCTCCGGGCTCCTCCGGTTTATTTCCCCTCCACATTTAGAATCACACAGCTGTCAACCCCTTTTATCAGTGCCCTACCCGTGTTACAGACCAGTTCAGACCTTATTGGTCACCCCGTGACCCTTACAAATCTCAACGTTCATCCCACAAAGTCCCATCACAAGGGAGAAACAGACAAATAGACATAAAAAAATGTTGCCCGTATTGAAACGGCTGTACGCCGTATGGACCTGAAAACTCAATGTCCCTGTACAAGAACACGGGCTGATAAACCGTATGGGTTGACAGCTATGGAATCAACATCACCACGCGTCTGAGAGTAATTTGGCAAAATGATGATAATGATAAGCCCACTTCCTTGCACTATCCTACGTGATGGCCAGGTCGCTTCTGAAAAAAAAGAGTTACGTGGCTCGGTGGTCGCCTTACCTAGCACAGTCAAATAAAATAAAAGTTGACAGTGTTTTTATTTTAGTGAAATAAAATCTTGAGATTTGGGTTACGGCCTCTGTAAGGGCCATCCCCTATAGACTGTCTCCCACCTCCATAGGGCCATGTCAATCATTATCACGTGGTCCGGAAACTCCTATAAACTCCTTACCTGGAACAGTAAACAAAAACGTTTACAGTCTTTTTATTTTAGTGAAATAAAATCTAGAGAATTGGGTTAGGGCCTCTGTAAGGGCCGCCCACCCCTCTATGCGCTGAGCCTATCACAGAGCCCCGCCTGTAATCATCACATGGTCCGGAAACTCCTATAAATACACACACGCTGCACGTACTACACACACGGCGAGTGGTACACTGAAAGTACTACACACACGGCAAGTGGTACGCTGCACGTACTACACACACGGCAAATAGTACACTACACGTACTACACACACGGCAAGTGGTACACTGCACGTACTACACACACACGGCAAGTGGTACACTGCACGTACTACACACACGGCGAGTGGTACACTGCACGTACTACACTCACGGCAAGTACTACACTGTACGTACTACACACACGGCAAGTGGTACACTGCACGTACTACACACACGGCAAGTGGTACACTGCACGTACTACACTCACGGCAAGTACTACACTGCACGTACTACACACACACGGCAAGTGGTACACTGCACGTACTACACTCACGGCAAGTGGTACACTACACACACGGCAAGTACTACACTGCACGTACTACACACACGGCAAATAGTACACTGCACGTACTACACACACGGCAAGTACTACACTGCACGTACTACACACACGGCAAATAGTACACTGCACGTACTACACACACGGCAAGTGGTACACTGTACGTACTACACACACGGCGAGTGGTACACTGCACGTACTACACACACGGCGAGTGGTACACTGCACGTACTACACACACGGCAAGTGGTACACTGCACGTACTACACACACGGCGAGTGGTACACTGCACGTACTACACACACGGCAAGTGGTACACTGCACGTACTACACACACGGCGAGTGGTACACTGCACGTACTACACTCACGGCAAGTACTACACTGTACGTACTACACACACGGCAAGTGGTACACTGCACGTACTACACACACGGCAAGTACTACACTGCACGTACTACACACACGGCAAATAGTACACTGCACGTACTACACACACGGCAAGTACTACACTGCACGTACTACACACACGGCAAATAGTACACTGCACGTACTACACACACGGCGAGTGGTACACTGTACGTACTACACTCACGGCGAGTGGTACACTGCACGTACTACACACACGGCGAGTGGTACACTGCACGTACTACACACACGGCGAGTGGTACACTGCACGTACTACACACACGGCAAGTGGTACACTGCACGTACTACACACACGGCAAGTGGTACACTGCACGTACTACACACACGGCGAGTGGTACACTGCACGTACTACACACACGGCAAGTGGTACACTGCACGTACTACACACACACGGCAAGTAGTACACGGCACGTACTACACACACGGCAAGTACTACACTGTACGTACTACACTGCACGTACTACACTCACGGCAAGTGGTACACTGCACGTACTACACACACGGCGAGTGGTACACTGCACGTACTACACACACGGCGAGTGGTACACTGCACGTACTACACACACGGCAAATAGTACACTGCACGTACTGCACTCACGGCAAATAGTACACTGCACGTACTACACACACGGCAAGTGGTACACTGCACGTACTACACTCACGGCAAGTGGTACACTGTACGTACTACACACACGGCAAGTGGTACACTGCACGTACTACACACACTGTACGTACTACACTGCACGTACACACACACACTACACGTACACACACACACGGCTGTATCACGCGGACAGGCGAAGGAAGTCTTCTTCAGCAAGGAGTGCTCAAAGGGTACCTACCGTGTTTTTAGAATATTAACATACCGCTCCTCCATGCTCCGCTGTTCAACTTCACCTCGTGTGTGTGTGTGGGATCCGCTGTTGATGGCAATGAGTTGGTGGTGCTGCATCGGCAATGATCGAGGCCAAGTATTATTATGATGATGATTTAATGTTTACAGCACGCGATGTCAGTGTCGTGTTTGACGTTCGAGGCGATGTTGACGAGGCGGAATCTTTTGGTTTCGAATTTCAGAGGCGTTAAACAGAACGCATTCTCGTCATATCACATCCGCATCGGTCTCCATGCCATTATTATTATTGCCTTAAAGTTCCCCAACACCCCAACACCCCAACACCACCCCACAAGAAATCAAATTTAAAAGATTCCCCTCTTGTTAACTTACAAAGCGGCGAACCACCTCGGTCTCTATACATCTCTGATATGGTCCCTCGGTCTCTATACATCTCTGATATGGTCCCTCGGTCTCTACACATCTCTGATATGGTCCCTCGGTCTCTATACATCTCTGATATGGTCCCTCGGTCTCTACACATCTCTGATATGGTCCCTCGGTCTCTATACATCTCTGATATGGTCCCTCGGTCTCTACACATCTCTGATATGGTCCCTCGGTCTCTACATCTCTGATATGGTCCCTCGGTCTCTACACATCTCTGATATGGTCCCTCGGTCTCCACATCTCTGATATGGTCCCTCGGTCTCTACACATCTCTGATATGGTCCCTCGGTCTCTATACATATCTGATATGGTCCCTCGGTCTCTATACATCTCTGATATGGTCCCTCGGTCTCTACACATCTCTGATATGGTCCCTCGGTCTCTACACATCTCTGATATGGTCCCTCGGTCTCCACATCTCTGATATGGTCCCTCGGTCTCTACACATCTCTGATATGGTCCCTCGGTCTCTATACATCTCTGATATGGTCCCTCGGTCTCTATACATCTCTGATATGGTCCCTCGGTCTCTATACATCTCTGATATGGTCCCTCGGTCTCTATACATCTCTGATATGGTCCCTCGGTCTCTATACATCTCTACATGGTCCCTCGGTCTCTATACATCTCTATGGTCCCTCGGTCTCCACATCTCTGAAATGGTCCCTCGGTCTCTACATCTCTGATATGGTCCCTCGGTCTCTATACATCTCTGATATGGTCCCTCGGTCTCTATACATCTCTGACATAGTCCCTCGGTCTCTATACATCTCTGATATGGTCCCTCGGTCTCTACACATCTCTGATATGGTCCCTCGGTCTCTACACATCTCTGATATGGTCCCTCGGTCTCTATACATCTCTGATATGGTCCCTCGGTCTCTATACATCTCTATGGTCCCTCGGTCTCTATACATCACTGATATGGTCCCTCGGTCTCTATACATCTCTGATATGGTCCCTCGGTCTCTATACATCTCTGATATGGTCCCTCGGTCTCTATACATCTCTGATATGGTCCCTCGGTCTCTATACATCTCTGATATGGTCCCTCGGTCTCTATACATCTCTGATATGGTCCCTCGGTCTCTATACATCTCTGATATGGTCCCTCGGTCTCTATACATCTCTGATATGGTCCCTCGGTCTCTGTACATCTCTACATGGTCCCTCGGTCTCTACACATCTCTGACATGGTCCCTCGGTCTCTATACATCTCTGATATGGTCCCTCGGTCTCTATACATCTCTGATATGGTCCCTCGGTCTCTATACATCTCTGATATGGTCCCTCGGTCTCTATACATCTCTACATGGTCCCTCGGTCTCTATACATCTCTGATATGGTCCCTCGGTCTCTATACATCTCTGATATGGTCCCTCGGTCTCTACACATCTCTGACATAGTACCTCGGTCTCCACATCTCTGATATGGTCCCTCGGTCTCTATACATCTCTGATATGGTCCCTCGGTCTCTATACATCTCTGATATGGTCCCTCGGTCTCTATACATCTCTGATATGGTCCCTCGGTCTCTATACATCTCTACATGGTCCCTCGGTCTCTATACATCTCTGATATGGTCCCTCGGTCTCCACATCTCTGATATGGTCCCTCGGTCTCTATACATCTCTGATATGGTCCCTCGGTCTCTATACATCTCTGATATGGTCCCTCGGTCTCTATACATCTCTGATATGGTCCCTCGGTCTCTATACATCTCTGATATGGTCCCTCGGTCTCTATACATCTCTACATGGTCCCTCGGTCTCTATACATCTCTGATATGGTCCCTCGGTCTCTACACATCTCTGATATGGTCCCTCGGTCTCTATACATCTCTGATATGGTCCCTCGGTCTCTATACATCTCTGATATGGTCCCTCGGTCTCTATACATCTCTGATATGGTCCCTCGGTCTCTATACATCTCTGATATGGTGATGATTGCAGATTTATTTATCTCTCTCTCTGCGCTTCCACGTCGAAGCTTCTTCTCCGATCTGTGGGTGATCCGAGATATCATAGGGATCTTCTTCCCCATCACCCCTAGAGTCTTAAAATATATTATTTTTTTACACGCTTCCACTTATTAATTTTAATTCTAGATTTAAAGCTTTCGTGACAGCTATGATCCATACTCTTTGGTTCTATTGGGTAAAGTCACGTAGGTAAAGCGGCCGCTTGTGTTGTGGCCGAAACGTCGTGATTTTTGTTATTTTATTTTTTACCTACGTGACTTTATTAATTTTACTTTAGTTCATTTAGTAAATGTGTTTCTTCGTACTGTATTTATAATGTCATTATATTTTCATGCCGAGTGCTGCTGCATATACAGCGCTTTGGCGTCTTTGATGAACAGCGCGATGTAACATAGACTTGTTATTATTACTGCATCGGAGGCAAAGCCTTGGGGGGGGCCTCCCTGACGCAGGTGCTGGGTGGCCGGCCCCGGCCGGCACCGTGGCCCGGCCCCGGCCAGGCACCGTGGCCCGGCCCCGGCCACAGGCACCGTGGCCCGGCCCCGGCCACAGGCACCGTGGCCCGGCCCCGGCCACAGGCACCGTGGCCCGGCCCCGGCCACAGGCACCGTGGCCCGGCCCCGGCCACAGGCACCGTGGCCCGGCCCCGGCCACAGGCACCGTGGCCCGGCCCCGGCCACAGGCACCGTGGCCCGGCCCCGGCCACAGGCACCGTGGCCCGGCCCCGGCCACAGGCACCGTGGCCCGGCCGCCTTCTGTCACCCCCCCCCCCCCCCCAAGTGGCGACGTCTCACACCACCACCACCACCACGAGGGTGGGAACTCATTTGAGGCCGAGTCGACCTAAAGGAGGGGGGGGGGGTGTAACCGTGGATACTGTAATGCCGTGAGGTCGGTGTTGCGGCTGACCGTGAGCGGGCCTGGTTCGTGGCGCAGCCGCTCCCCTACAACAACACACACGGAGGGCGCGAACCGGCGTGGTGAAGTATGGTCAAAGCAGACGAGCGATGTGTGAACGTGGTGGGGTGATGTGTGTACAGTCTGAGGGGGAGGAGGAGGGTGGTGTTTGTATTGTAGTTTGCGCTGTTGTGTTTTTCCACTGCCTCACTTACGAACCTGGACCAACCCGAGTTGGACTCTAGACCACGGTAAGACCACGGTGAGACTCTAGACCGACCGCCCCCATTGACCAGACTGGTGAAGTATGGTCAAACCAATCGACACACGACCTACGCCCGCGAGGCCTTCCTTCATTCGGCAGCGGATCGATAGAGGAAAGCGGGATCACATTCGTGTGTGAGGTGATCGATCAGCTCTGCAGGGAGTGTTCGTGTGTTTGTGTATTCGAGCGATTAATCGAACCGATCCTGCCCCCCCCTAGATCGACTCGGCCTCAAATGTGTTGTAGCACGGTATTCTGTAGTACTGTATACACTGGTACTGTACATACTGCGGTACTGTATATATTGTAGCACTGTATATACCGTAATGCTGTATATACTGTATGTACTGTGGTACTGTGTATACTGTGGTATTATATACTGTAGTAGTGTATGTACTGTAGTACTGTATCTACTGTGGTACCTATATACTGTAGTACTGTATCTACTGCAGTACTGCATATACTGTGGCACTGTATAGACTGTAGTACTGTATATACTGTGGTACTGTATATACGGTGGTACTGTATATACTGTAGTGCTGTGTATACTGTAGTACGGTGTATGCTGTGGTATTATATAGACTGCGGTACTGTATATACTGTGGTACTGTATAGACTGCGGTACTGTATAGACTGGTACTGTATATACTGTGGTACTGTAGTACTGTATAGACTGTGGTACTGTATAGACTGCGGTACTGTATAGACTGTGGAACTGTAATACTGTATATACTGTAGTACTGTATAGACTGCGGTACTGTATATACTGTATATACTGTGGTACTGTATAGACTGCGGTACTGTATAGACTGGCACTGTATATACTGTGGTACTGTAGTACTGTATAGACTGTGGTACTGTATAGACTGCGGTACTGTATAGACTGTGGTACTGTAGTACTGTATATACTGTAGTACTTTATAGACTGCGGTACTGTATAGACTGCGGTACTGCATCTACTGTGGAGGCGTCCGGGCATATCTGCGTATGTTTGTGTCATACACCCACGAGCATGCTGAGCCGGTGTTTGGGCCTCCCCTAGGTCGACTCGACCTCAAATGTGTTGTAGCACGGTGCGGTGTGTAGTGTAGACATCGCCACTGGGGAGACAAAGGCGGCCGGGAGTGGTGCTGGCCACCCACACCTCCTTTAGTGCGCTATCGGAGCTTACCCCCCCCCCCCCCCCCCCAAAAGTCGCGTTAAAGGAGCTTTGTTTTTATATACACACACTAGTGTACGTGTTTGTTTATGCGTGGTGTATGCATTGTTTGTACATGTGTGTGTGTGTACACGGGCTTGTGTGTGTGTACACGGGCTTGTGTGTGTGTGTACACGGGCTTGTGTGTGTGTACACGGGCTTGTGTGTGTGTGTACACGGGCTTGTGTGTGTGTGTACACGGGCTTGTGTGTGTGTGTGTACACGGGCTTGTGTGTGTGTGTGTGTACACGGGCTTGTGTGTGTGTGTGAGTACACGGGTTTGTGTGTGTGTGTGAGTACACGGGTTTGTGTGTGTGTGTGTGTGAGTACACGGGTTTGTGTGTGTGTGTGTGAGTACACGGGTTTGTGTGTGTGTGTGTGAGTACACGGGTTTGTGTGTGTGTGTGTGTGTTTACACGGGTTTGTGTGTGTGTGTGTGAGTACACGGGTTTGTGTGTGTGTTTGTGTGTACACGGGTTTGTGTGTTTGTGTGTGTTTGTGTGTACACGGGTTTGTGTGTTTGTGTGTGTTTGTGTGTACACGGGTTTGTGTGTTTGTGTGTGTTTGTGTGTACACGGGTTTGTGTGTTTGTGTGTGTTTGTGTGTACACGGGTTTGTGTGTTTGTGTGTACACGGGTTTGTGGGTTTGTGTGTGTTTGTGTGTACACGGGTTTGTGTGTTTGTGTGTACACGGGTTTGTGTGTACACGGGTTTGTGTGTTTGTGTGTACACGGGTTTGTGTGTTTGTGTGTGTTTGTGTGTACACGGGTTTGTGTGTTTGTGTGTGTTTGTGTGTACACGGGTTTGTGTGTTTGTGTGTGTTTGTGTGTACACGGGTTTGTGTGTTTGTGTGTGTTTGTGTGTACACGGGTTTGTGTGTTTGTGTGTGTTTGTGTGTACACGGGTTTGTGTGTTTGTGTGTGTTTGTGTGTACACGGGTTTGTGTGTTTGTGTGTGTTTGTGTGTACACGGGTTTGTGTGTTTGTGTGTGTTTGTGTGTACACGGGTTTGTGTGTTTGTGTGTGTTTGTGTGTACACGGGTTTGTGTGTTTGTGTGTGTTTGTGTGTACACGGGTTTGTGTGTTTGTGTGTGTTTGTGTGTACACGGGTTTGTGTGTTTGTGTGTGTTTGTGTGTACACGGGTTTGTGTGTTTGTGTGTGTTTGTGTGTACACGGGTTTGTGTGTTTGTGTGTACACGGGTTTGTGTGTTTGTGTGTGTTTGTGTGTACACGGGTTTGTGTGTTTGTGTGTGTTTGTGTGTACACGGGTTTGTGTGTTTGTGTGTGTTTGTGTGTACACGGGTTTGTGTGTTTGTGTGTGTTTGTGTGTACACGGGTTTGTGTGTTTGTGTGTGTTTGTGTGTACACGGGTTTGTGTGTTTGTGTGTGTTTGTGTGTACACGGGTTTGTGTGTTTGTGTGTGTTTGTGTGTACACGGGTTTGTGTGTTTGTGTGTGTTTGTGTGTACACGGGTTTGTGTGTTTGTGTGTGTTTGTGTGTACACGGGTTTGTGTGTTTGTGTGTGTTTGTGTGTACACGGGTTTGTGTGTTTGTGTGTGTTTGTGTGTACACGGGTTTGCATGGGAACAGGCGTATGGCAGCACCGCCCTCCCTTCGCCTCTTGCTGCTGCTGCAGGGCCTATTTAAGTACAGATTTGCATTTTCACGCACGGTGGTTACTCACTGCTTGGCTCGCCAAGTCTGACAGTATCGGGTACGTTCCAGGTAGGGTTTTCCCCACCGCCCTGCCCTTCGGCACGTGTAGGTGATACCCAACGCATTTCACCTTTAAATGTATTTCGGGCATATTGAGTGGTAGTTGCAATAGCAATCAATAGGGCCATTTCAAATGTACCTCCAGGTGTCATTACCCCATCGTCCCTGGCCCAAGCATCCTGGATAGCCGTATGTGAACAAGTGGACATCTGTGAAAAAGAGCTTCCTAGCTCCATCGGATTCCTCCAGGATAAATAAATATTCTGATGGTATGTATGTAGAACTTCTTTCGCACCGTACATAGTCAACCGCCCTAATATGAGGTGCAGGGCGGGGGGACGACGACGACAAACTGAACGCTAAAAAAACAGTTCTAGAGAAATGAGTTTTCAATCTGGAGCGCTAGGTGTAACTTATTGCCATATAAAAAAAAAAATCCCAACACCTGAACCTTCTCTTATGTGACGTGACCGCACAAGAGTGACCATGCAGATCGATGCACAACAAAGTCAAGATGGACATTGGGCCTGATTTGTGTGTGTGTGTGTATTCTCTCTCTTAGTGTGCCAACTAGGAGGCCAATATTGCCACTGAACGTCTTGGCCGACAGGATGGAAGGTGGCCTCGTCTATCACCATGCGTCCTCGCGGAAAGGTGAGCCGCGTGAGCAGCTCGCGACCTCGTCGAAACGGCCGTCGCGTACTTTAGCAAATTAGGCGTGATTCCCCCACTAGCGCTTTCGAGTAGTAAGCTGCTGTCGCCCCATATACGTACGTTGGGTACGTGTGGCGACGGTGATAATTGTGAGCGAGCAACGCTGGCGGCGTACCCACCGTGATTTGTCCCGCTGTCTCACTGCGTGTGCGCAATTCTGCATCGCCAAACCTCATCGTTATTGCATTATTGACGGGGGAGATGGTTTTCGCTTGAACGATTAACGTGGCACTTTGGAGCAACGCGTCTGCTAGCGCGCTAATCGGGGTCTTGCCGCATTTCCCGCACCTCCGATGAGCACGGTTGGCTACGTGCAGTGTGGAAGCAGTTCAATGTATGCACCATACATACTTGATGAATAAAAATAACAATAGCTTTTACCCTTTCTGCAAATAAAACAGGAGGTTTTTTTTAGACGTTCAAACACCAAATCGATTCTATTTGCAAGGCATCAAGTCTGCGTTAACTACACATTGTGGCAAAACATAATATACGCACTGTCTTTGAAACTGATTGGCCTAAAACAGAGACATTGTTTTTTATGGCCTAGTCTCAGTGTTAGACCAAGGAACGCCAAAAGGGGGTAAAACCTATTCTTATTTTTTTCATCATTTTTTGATGCAGGGACTCCTCTACTTATGAACGAGTTCGGTTCCAGAGTTCCCGTTCGTTAGTCTGTTTGTTTGTAAGTCTAACTTTACTCCCGTTAATTCCAAACACGTTGTACCGCGCGTACACTAAACACCGGGAATGGCTTTTAAAGTTGTATAATCGCCAGTAGATGTAGATGCCACCGGTTCATCACATTCTGCAGATGTAGATGCCATCACCGCCATCTATTGCGCGCCGGTTGAACTTACGACTCTTGGTCCGAACGGGCACCTGGACACACGGACCAGGGGTTTGTTGGTATTTCTAAAAAGTTGATAAGTACTAGCAAAAAAAAAATGTCACCATAGATTACGTACGTACTTGTTGCCGACCGTGACGGTTCTGATGGCGACGAGGCCGCGGCCGCTGAGGTTTTAGGTGTTTTTGTTTTTTTAACTTTTGTTACTTCCCCACGCGGTCTCCGGCCCCAGTGGTGCCGCTGAAAAGCATCACAGTGAAGGTGTTGGTGCGGGGCTTCGTGGCTGACGTGGAGGCCTCCATGGTCTACCGCAACGACGAAGCCTTCCCCATCGAGCCCTCCTTCTTCTTCCCTCTTGACGACGACTCGGCCGTGCACGCGTTCCGCGCACGCATCGCCGACAGAGAGATGAGCGCGGCGCTGAAGGAAAAAATGGAGGTGCGTTCGCGCACGCGCGTGTGTGTGTGTGAGGAGCGGTGGTGTAGCGGTTAGCGCACAGCACTACGAACCCAGCAACTCCGAGTTCGATTCGCGCTCACGGCCAACACTAGCGACGGTTATTTGAACCGGTCCTGGGCCTCCCCTAGGTGGACTCCGCCTGAAATGAGTACCTGGTGCGGTGTGTAAAAACATCGTCACTGGGGAGACAAAGGTGGCCGGGCGTGTTGCTGGCCACCCACCCCCTCGTGTGCCGTGCCGGCCTTCATAGGTGGTCGCTAACAACACTTGCCCAGCAGTGTTCAGGCTACACGGGGGGGGGGGGGATCTGCGTCTTTTGCGTGCGTGCGCTAACTGCGTTTCCCACGACAGTCTCCTAAGGCTATGGTACGGGGGGAGGGATCCTTTGTCTTTGTGTGTGTGTGTGCCCGCGCGTGACGCTGTGGGGAGTGGTAGGGTGCGGTTAGTGCACAGCGCTACGAACCCTGCGAGCCGAGTTGCATTCCCGCTTGTGGCTAACATTGGCGAATATCCAAACGGGACTTTACGCTCTCCTAGGTCGACTTTAAATAAGCAGCTGGCATGGCGTTGGGGAGACAAAGGCTGCCAGGCGTGTTGCTGGCCACACCATGCCCTTGTATGCTATGCCGGTTTGAATAATCGCTTCGCTAACAGCGCTTGCCCCGACAGTCTGTTAAAAGCTGTATGGGGGGACCTTTGAATAATACTACCAAAATCTAACCCCACAATAACTCCGCGCCGATGGTAATGCCCGTATGCATGCATGTATTACTTACTCACTCCTCTTCGCTGCCTGTGGAGCATAAGGCTGCAACAAGACCACGCCATCCCGGAAGGTCTTTAGCAGCTTTCTATGCTTCACCCCAAGACAGGCCCATGGCCTTTAGTTGCGTCTATGCATGTATGTTGAACTTCTTTGGTGATGTACATAGCAAATCCTGCTGAAGCGGAGGTGCGGGGGGTGGGGGGGACGGACAACAAACTTAAACATCAAAAATCAGTTCTGAAGAAATGAGTTTTCAATCTGCGAGCACAGACTTGCAGATGTATTCTCATTGTAACGTAATGTACTTGGGCAGATGTATTCTCATCGTAACGTAATGTACTTGGGCGCCTTGACGAAGGCGCTTTGCAGAGAATCACGAATGGCGCAACGACGCGTGTGTCTGTGTGTGAACGTAATGGTGGAGATGAGGCGAGTGAAATAGATGAGAGGAAGCGATAGGGGGGCGAATCTGCCATTCGTAAAATTCGGTGAAAGCGAAATTGATGACGGCCGATTTATGATGATGATGAATGGATTGAATGAATGGGGTTAATGAAGTAACAGCCAAGCAATGAGAATATGAAGTGGGAACGGGAACCCCCTGAAACTCTACCGGGCAGCACGTCCCACTGGGCGAAGACCCCGGGGGCCGGCCCAGGACATGCTGGTGGGACGACGTCGTCGGCTGGCCTTGGAACGCCCGGGAATTCCCCAGGAAGAGCTGGGAGTCTGTGTATAGTGGTGTATAGTAGTGTATAGTGGTGTATAGTGTAGTAGTGTAAAGCAATGTATAGTAACATATAGTGTAGTTGGTGTCTAGTAATGTAAAGTGTAGTAGTGCATAGTGTAGTGTATAAATTTCGATTTAAAGCTTTCGTGACTGCAAGTATTCATCTTCTTTGGTTCTTTCGGTAAAGTCACATAGAATGAGAATATTATTGTGTTATTTTATTTTATCATTTTTATTATTTTATTCTTATTCTACGTGACTTTACCGAAAGAACCAAAGAAGAAAAAGTGTAGTGTATAGTTGTGCTAGAGTCTGTGTATAGTGTAGTAGTGTATAGTGTCGTGCATAGTGTAGTGAAAAGTTGGGCTAGAGTCTGTCACCAGGGAAAGGGAGGTCTGGACCAGCCAACTCGACATACTGCCGCCACAACCCTCACCAGAGCAAGCGGTCTGAGCAAGGAACGAACGGAAACACGGTGGTGCTGGTGATGAGGGGGAGATTAAGGGGGAGGGGGGGGGGTGCAGTCGTGGGCTGAGCTGGTGGAACAGCGAGGTGAGTTTTTAAGGCGAGGGAGCGGGTAAACCTCAAACGAGCGAAGGTGCGAGTGACCGCTTTGTTTCAGGCCGAAGATGAATACGACGACGCCATCGCCATGGGACGCCGGGCGTTCAGGCTGTCGAAGGAGTGCGGCGACGTCTTCCACTGCATGCTGGGTAACCTCGGCGCCGGCGAAGAGGCGGAGTTGTCGCTGGAGTTTGTCTCGGAGCTCGGAGTGGAGCCCGACGGCGCCGTTCGCTTCTGTCTGCCCACGGTGCTCAACCCTCGCTACTCACCGCAGGGTACCCGCACGTTTTGTTCATCATCCGACGGAGCATCGTCGCCCGCCCTAGATCGCATCCCACTGCGCGCGGACCATGGCGGCAAGGTAGCGGGCACACGTGACGACGCGTGAATGGAAGATTTAAAAAAAAACACATTCGGCAGTTGTAAGGCTGTGGGTTATACAGCACAAGGCCGTACAATGCGTAACGACGGAACGCCCCCCGGATCCGCCGCGCCAGGAGCACCGGAGCGATGATACGCTCTGCTGCTCCTGGCGCGGTTATCTGGCGTGAACGACGTGAATGTGAAATTTTAGTTTGTGTGTTGCTCCGCGTCCACGTCGGCAGCCGCACGGAAGTAGGAGAGCGGGCGCGCGCGCACAGCTCGTCACCATTCACAGAGAGGGCTGGAGCTGGCTTCTGATCTTTACGGCACTCCGACACCGTGATGTCATGCAACGTTGAAGCCGGAGACGGCGCTGCAGCATTGCAACAGAACGTGTTTAGTCCGTATTTAGTAAAACTTCAAACTTGTGTCGGACAGCCCGAGACACGGCCTAGGCACGCGTCTGCAAAGTTTTTTTAACGGAGTGCCCTTTAATTTATGCCCTGGTTCTTTCGGTAAAGTCACGAAAATAGAAAAAATAATAAAAGAAAACACGACGTTTCTGTCGCAACACAAGCGTCCGTCTTCAGGTGAGGGAAAAAAAAGACTGCCGCTTGTGTTGACTTTACCGAAACGTCGTGTTTTATTTTGTTATTTTTTTCTATCTACGTGACTTTACCGAAAGAACCAGAGTATGGATTCCTGCAGTCACGAAAGCTTCAAATTTAAGATTGCCCTTTTAATTTGTCACTTTGCAGCAACAGAGGTTCATGGACGACGTGAAGATTGTAAAGCTCCCAAAAGCTATTGCGCTTTCAAGTGACCGGGGAATGACAAGTGCAGGGAACAAATTGTGAACGCATCTGCGCGTACTTTTTTTGCGCGTTCGTGGATTTTCTCTCGGTGCGCTCCCTTCTTTGTCCTCGCACGTGCAAAAAACAAACCGTTCGGGGGAAAAAAAATCAAATTATCTGAAACCTTGAAAGATTCTCGTGGGATAAAAATGCAGGCTGGGCTTGCAATCTGGAGGCCCGCTGGGTCGAGCCGCCCCCTTCCGGCACGGCACTCGAAGCAAACGGCGCAAGCGTCTTAAATTTCCACGCCTGTTATCCTCCAAGCGATGCAAAGATGGGGTACAGCGCAGTCGATCGGCGGGACGCGTGGTGGGGTTGCCCCCCCCCGCCCCGGCACCTCTTCCGATTTGTCTGGCTGTCGCGGGAGAGTGAAGGGCCTCCAGTGGGAAGGCCCCTCCTGCCAGCGGTGCCGTAAGCAAGCAGTTGCAGGGGCTGCGCCTTATATTGTGTGGGCGATATGTTTTGTGTTTTTCGCGAGGTCACTCTCGGGAATGAGTCTGTCGTTGGTATGTCGACCTCACGCCTGGTTTGAAGCGGCAACAGATCTCGAAGGCTTCCTCGAACCGTTTAACACGTCGTATAAGAGTTTTTTTTTATTTAAGACCGAAACAGGAGGATTTCTCCACGGCTCTGGTTGTCTCGCCTGATGACGCCGCTGGTTGTTGTAATCACCGGCGAAATTTTATCACGGTACTCGAATTGTAAACGTTGCCGTGGGTTTACTCTCCCGACGCACAACCGGTGTGCGAATCGGCACGTTTTTGTTTACGTGGTGGCGGGTTTAACGACGGGCACCTACATTTACGTGACCTAGCTCAAAACAACGTCGATCGTGGACTTGTTGAAACGGCCACTCGAGTCTCACCCTCTGCTTTGTTGCCCCCCAGGCACGGCGAACCGCCTGCCGTACCTGGCGCCGTCCCAGGACGTCCCCTACACCCTGTCGTTCACGCTCACGGCCGAGAACCCCGGGGGGATCGACGACGTCTCCTCTCCCAGCGGCCTCCTGGGGCCTGCGACGTTCGCCGAGTCTGACAGAGCCTCGGCCCAGGTGCTTCCCACCGCTTTCGACGGTTACCGCCCCCCCCCCCCGTTGGGTTATCTTTGTTTTGGCTTTCTGGTAAAACGCAATATTGCAGCCTCGCAAATACGGCACGTTCTCCTATAGCGCTGTGGTAGTTGCGTTCCCGAAGAACACCGCGCCATTGAAAATTCGCGTTACAATAAGTAACACGTAATATGGGTTAAACCACAGTCCGCGAAATCGCGCGAGATGCGAACGCAGACCCAACAAAGACTGCGGGGCACGGGTAGCGTCTGGAAGCACCCATCGGAATCCCGCCTTGTGCGATGATGATGCTATGCCGAGGCAGCCGTTCCAACCGTTTTTAATCCAACTCTTGCGACGTAGTTCCGTTCTCTCGATCGCTTTGTATGCGATTCCCTAATAACGCTCATCATTACGTTGTAACCAAATTCGTGTCGTGAAGACAACACACCACTGCTGGCCAAAGGGCTTCCTGTCGTGGCAGTTCACGTGGTTCCCCTCTGGAGGGGTACAACGGTGTCCCGCGATGTACGAACGTTCGGTTTTGCGGAAAGTTTAGCGCGAACGCACTCGACAAATTGTGGGTGCTTTTCGATTGACCAAAATCGAATTGGCGAGACTAAGGAGCGGGACCCTGCGACTGCTCTCCCAGCCTCTCGGCTCTTTCGCTCGACGCTGGGTCGGTGGGGGGCGGACGCCTTCTCATGCGTTGCCGCGTGGATCTGGAATGCCTTGCCCGCGGTGATCCGGCACAAGCCTCGGTGTGTTGAGGAGGGAGTGCAAGACTCACTATTTTCTCACGGCTTCTGCTTAAACACGATTTGACTGTCTTTGCATTTTATTTTAGTGTGCAATGTTTTGATACCCACCCCTTCGGTGGAGGTGATATTACGTTTCAAATAAATCCGGTTTACGGTTTCGCTACGGCGCGCGGCGCCGTGAGATCGTCAAGCGTAGGAGCACCGTGAGGTGACGTTGTCCACGGTATCCCTGCGGGTGCGACAGCAACGCTTCCGCTTCGCCTCGCCAGTCATTCCAAACATGCAGCCGATCTTGGGGTGAGTTTGCTCCGAATTTTAATTCGTACGTATGTGTATTATTATTATTGTTTTTGTATTGTAAAAAGTGATTTATTGGTGGTGTATATATTTTTAGGTTCGGAGTAGAGTTGGAATGACTGTCGGAAACACAATCCCGAATCTTTCGTATTAAATTAATGGACTAAAAGCCATTCCGACGTTCACGAAATGTCGTGTGTTTTTACGTGTCCCCCTTCCGTAAATTTGAGGGATACTTATATTTGGGCCTACTCTTTACCACCGGCACGAGTAACTGCACTTTACCCTGTTGTACGCGACCTGCCAAATTGACTCCGCACCCATGTATCTCGCCGGGTTTGGACGGAGGCCGGGGGGCATTTTTTACGAACTCTTGTCCATTATTCAACTGCCGTGCCGGGAGACGAGATTGGCGTTGTCTGCGTTGCAAGTGCTGTGCGCCACCCATTACCCATAACAGAGGTTCCTTTGGGCTCGATCGCGTAAATATAAATGTCGTTAAAGCCGCCGCCATCACCCGACACGGCCAATTGGTATGGTTTGTCACGTAAATAAAACGCGCCAGTTACTAGTTTCAGCACACCGGTGCGTTGGAGAGTAAACCCGCAACGTTTACAATTCGAGTACGACGTTCCGTCAGTAATTACAACCAGCATCATCAGGCGAGTTGTGGAGAAATACTCTTCATTTTTCGGTCTTAAATAAAACCTTACCAAGTGGCCGTGGCGGGTTTCACAAATCATATTTTAAGCGATCTAACCCAAAAGAATCTCTATGGATAATATTGGTCGCGAAAGCCTACGTGTTAAACCATCCATTGCCATTTGTCCGTGAGCAAACCCTGGCCGAAAAAGACCAACGTCCACATTTTTTCATGTCGTTGTATTTGTCCGAAAGAGTGACGCTGTGCCCGTTACTTCCAACAGGTGTCCCTCGAAGGAAACTTCAAGTTTGATCAGGACATTGAGGTGCTGATTTACTATAAGCAGAAGCATCAACCGTTTGCGCTCATTGAGCCTGGACTCCCGGCGACGGGTGAGCGCGTGCTTGTGGGGTCGGGGGGAATGCGTTGATGGTGCGCGTGGCAGTACGGGAAAAGCTCCGTTGTCCGGCACTTTACCATCCGGGGAATGCTTTTTATTAACCGGCATCTGTCGTGGGCGGCAATACCGTAGAGATCTTCCTTCGCGTATCCGGGAAATTTAATCCGATAGCCGTCCGGCGTCTTTTTGCCGTGCGCTTCTCCTACATCCGTTGTTGCTTACGGGAGCTTTCGGGCCGCTGCCTGAATGGTGGCGCTAACGGCAGTCTCGATTTGGAAACGGCCGCCATCCGCCGTCGCGATCGCGTTGTGCTTGTGCTGTCGCGCGACCTTGCGTGACGTCGATGCCGCTCCTGATGCCGCTGCTTGATGATTTCGCCGGTGTCTCTTTCGCAGAGGTCTCATTCCTGGCGGACACCGTGGCGATGCTGAACTTCTTCCCGGGTGAAATGGAGGAGATGGAAGTGCCAACCGCCGAGCATGGGGAGTTTATTTTCATCATAGACTGCTCCGGCAGTATGAACAACAACCCCATCATGAGTGCAAAGGTATCACGAACACTCCTCATCAACATGGTCAGGTCCAATTGTGTATACTACCTCGCCCTGGTATGCAGGAGGTCTTGGGTTTGATCCCGACCCTGACGCCTGTTGTATGTTTGGAGCTTGCGTGTTCTCCCCGTGGTCCGTCTGTGGATTTTTCTCCGGGGTCCTCCGGTTTTTTCGTCCACATGTACAATCAACGTCAAGCGTGTTAGGGTATTTGGCGGCTATAACTTACCACGTGATGATGGCAAGCCGCACTTTGTCGAGATATCATTTTTGAAAGCCAGGTCGCTTCTGAAAAAGAGCCATGAAGCTCAGTGGGGCCTTACCTGGTAAAATAAATAAAAAATACTTTAAATAACATGGGAGTTAATTAGATTGAAATATATATTTGGCGTTTCCATTGCGCAACCCAACCCGCGCCGGTGCCATGCCAAGGCAGCCCGGCCTGGGTCAGGAGGCAGCAGCTCCAGACGGGCGCAGAAGCGCATCTGAAGGCGCGAGGTGGCGTGTAGATGACGTTGCGGTCACCACATAGTGTGACTTGCAGACTGCACTCGCCTGTGACGCGTAGCATCCTCGTGACAGCCTAACCACGCCTCCGATGAGCACGTTTGGCGATGTGCGGTGGTGCGACAGGAGTTCGACGTCCGTGTAACGCTCGGAGAACGGCGCGAGACTCCAAATGTGCGAGCGATGTGAACGCGAGTGGCTGAGTTTGTGTTTTCCCGTTGTGTTTGCAGGAAACGCTCATTCTGCTCTTAAAGAGTCTGTCCCTCGGCTGCCTGTTCAACATCTACAGCTTTGGCAGCCGATTTAAATCCCTTTACACGTAAGTTCCGTGACCCACTCCCCACCCCCCTTCAAGGAGATAATTTAGGACAGGTTGGGAACCTTTCTTCTGCCAAGGGCCATTTGGATATTTATATAACATCATTCGCAGGCCATAAACTTAAAAATTCGCCTGTTATATTTGGTCAAACATTGAATTAACTCGCCCCTAATGTGATGGCTGTAACTGCTTCTCTTTGGCGAGGCGTGTGATGATGTTAAGCTGGCTATTGACGATGTCGCTACTCGCAACTGCTTTTCCAGGTTTGCTGCTAGATTTATTGAATTTCGAGTCCCGCCTGCGGTTGCCTTGGCAGGGCCAGAGACAAAATGATTTCGCGGGCCTTGTACGGCCCGCGGGCCGGACGTTCCCCACCCCTGATTTAGGACAATGCGATTGTTAGTGTGCTGGACGAGCAATCCGGAGTTCGCCGGTTTGATTTGATCTCCTGGCGCGGAAGTTTGAAGCAAGAGGGGGCACGTCTTTTAAAAATCTTTCCCCCACACTGCCTCTGTCCACACCCGGGTGTATAAGTTTAACATGTAGGAGGCCTTCGCGACCAATATCATCCATAATACAGGTTTTTTGGGTTAGATCGCGTATATATACATGAATGTGTCATTTAAACCCGCCACCACCCGACACAGCCAATTAGTAAGGTTTGTCACGTAAACAGAACATGCCAATTCGTTGCTCTGTGTGTTGGAGAGCAAAGCCGCTGTCGGCTGGTATAAATTGGTGGTGAAAAATAAGAATAGGTTTTACCCTTTCTAACAGTCAAACAGGAGGTGTTAAGATGTTCAAAGGAATCAAATTTGCATTAACCACAAGTACTTGTGGTGAACACGCAAACATGCTCTGATAATAATATATGCGTTTGTCCTTGATACTGATATGCCTACACCAGAGGCAGCCTTTTTTAATAGCCTGGTCTCAAACAGTATTAGACCAGAGAACGCTAAAAGGCGGACAGTACAAAGACAATGCACGTATCGGTGCATTCTTTAGCACTGGGTGAGCAACTATATCATGGGCCCTGGGGTAGAGTGTTTGTCCTGCCACCTCTTCCAAGGCGTCTGGCCATTGTGGAGGAGTAGACCAAAATATTCTCTCAGAGAGGCTTTCTCTCTCGTGGGAGGGTCTTCCACCAACAGTTGCATGAGCAAGCAATTTCGGGGTTTGCACTGTTTATCTCAAGGAAAAGAAAACTCCAGACGTTCTCAATCCACCGTTGGGTTCACGCTACCCCAATGCCGTGTCGGTCGTGTTTTGTTTTTTAATGACCGTACTTCACCATTCTTCCCTGGTTCGGGTTGGGGAAGAGGGTCTGGACTGGTTCCGATATCGCTTGCCACTGATGTTGGCCGTCGCCGGGGATGGAACTCGGGTCGCCGTGTTTACAGCCCTTGTGCGCCAGCCTCGGTGCCAGGCCCCAGCTGCATCCACCTTAACACCTTTTGTTCTAATAATAGGGTTTTTTTCCCCTTTTTTCTGGCAACAAACCTGAGACCTTTTTACAAGCAATCATTTGTGCATTAACCACAATACTTGTGGCCAAAATGCAAACAAAAACACACGCTCTGATAATATATGCATTGTCCTTGAAACTGATTGGTCCACACCAGAGACGGCTTTCTTTAGAGCCTCGTCTCAAATTGGTGCTAGACCAGATGACGCCAAAAGGCGTGCGCAGCACAAAGACAATGCGCTGCGAAAGTGAACGGAAACGGCGCAGAGCGCGCGACCTAAACTTCGGCACCAAACGTTTCCCAGCGAGAGCATGCCCTACGACCAGCAGACGATGGACACCGCCCTGAAGCACGTGTGCAGCATGGACGCCAACATGGGTGGCACGAACATCATGGGCCCTCTGGTGGACATCTACAAGCAGCCCTGCAAGCCACAGCACCCCCGCAAGGTACGCGTGAGAGCCTAGGGGGGGGGGGGAAGGGGGTTGCCACCTGTCCCGGGCGGGATCGCGGGTGCCGTAGTGGCTATGAGATGTTAACTACCTCGCCCTGGTGTACAGGAGGTCGTGGATTTCGATCCCGACCCTGACGCCTGCTGTTGCTGTATATTTGGAGTTTGCGTGTCTCTCTCATCATCATCACGGTGTCTAGGAGATGTTAACTACCTCGCCCTGGTGTACAGGAGGTCGTGGGTTTCGATCCCGACCCTGATGCCTGCTGCTGTATATTTGGAGTTTGCGTGTCTCTCTCTCATCATCATCACGGTGTCTAGGAGATGTTAACTACCTCGCCCTGGTGTACAGGGGGTCGTGGGTTTCGATCCCGACCCTGATGCCTGCTGCTGTATATTTGGAGTTTGCGTGTCTCTCTCACTCTCATCATCATCACGGTGGCTAGGAGATGTTAACTACCTCGCCCTGGTGTACAGGAGGTCGTAGGTTTCGATCCGGACCCTGGTGCCTGCTGCTGTATATTTGGAGTTTGCGTGTCTCTCTCACTCTCATCATCATCACGGTGGCTAGGAGATGTTAACTACCTCGCCCTGGTACACAGGATGTCGTGGGTTTCAATCCCGACCCTGATGCCTGCTGCTGTATATTTGGAGTTTGCGTGTCTCTCTCGCCGAGGTCGCGTGGATTTTTCCTCATTTTTTTTCCCCTCGACATTTAGAATCGCCGTGCGTTTTGAGTGTTTTGGCTGCGATACATTTCCACATGATAAGCCATTACATTGAGCTATTATTTGTGGCCGGGTAGCTTCTGAAAAAGAACTAATGTAGCTGAGTGGAACTTACCTGGTAAAATAAAATATGTATTTTTAGTTTAAGTGTGAGAACTTCCAAATCCCTTAAGACGCAGTCGCCTCCACCGGATTAGTGATATCTCCTGGCCCTGCAGTCTTTGTCAACGTCACGATCATCGTCATCGTCAGCTTTATGGTCAATTCATTCGGTGACGTCTTCCATTCTTGCACATGCCATTCCGTCATTATTTTTAATCATCGGCCGTCATCCCATCTTCCGATGTGTCCTGCCCCAAGGCTGCCTGCTTTTATTTTAAAAGCTTGGAATAGCGGCAGTACCCTGCGTATGTTCTGTAATCCACGTGCTCTTCTTTCCCTCTCGATGTAATTCCAAGCGTGCTTCGCTCTCTCCGTGCTTTGTTCCATTTTTGAGGTTTTGTTCGATAAATGTTTCGTGCACTCGCGCACGCTGCTCTGCATATGGGCAGTCGATGGAGAATTTTTGTCTAGTTTGCGGTGGTGGTGGTGGTGGTGCTGCAGGTGTTCGTATAATATTTATAATCACAAAAAATGTTTGCAGGACAGGTGTAACACTCGCAAACTTATTTGGATGGCGTAAAAAAAAAAAGACTTGTCCAATGGTTAGTTTGACACGTAGGCTTTCGCGACCGACATTATTGTTAATAAAGGCTTTTTGGGTTAGATCGCGTAAGTAATAACGTGTCGTTGACCCGCCACCACCCCCACACAGCCGATTCTGGAAAAATCGCCCGATGATGCCGGATGTAATTACCAGCAAAACTTCGTACTCAAATTGTAAACGTTGTGAGTTTATTCTCTAACACACCGGTTTGCCGAACTAGTAACTTAATTGGAACATTTTGTTTACGTGACAAACCCTTGCTGGTTGGCTGTGTCGGCTGGTGGCGGGTTTATACTTACACGATCTAAGCCCAAAAAGCCTTTATTATGAATTGTCCAGGGGTTGCACTCAATTCCACCTTTACTGGCAAACAAACTCCCCACCGCATTTGATTCATGAATGAGATTTTCCCATCGGCCGCGGGCCGTGAACGCAAAGCGGCGAACGCGAGTCTTGAGGTTCCCTTGCCTTGTGCAATTGCAGCTGTTCTTGCTGACAGACGGCATGGTCGACAACACGCAGGGCGTTATCCACACGGTGAAACATCACTCCATGGACCACAGGTGATCGACCACGCGTCATCCAATGATGTAATGTTCCCGAAATAAATTACAGGCGGTCTCTACGGTTTTAGGACGATGCACGTTTACGTGTGATGGCCATCACCGTGGATCGATTTACGACACAGAAAATTTATGTATGTACGTACGTACATAGAATTTATTTCGAACCGTACGTAGGCAACCGTGCTAATAGGAGGTATGTATGTACGTTGAACTTCTTTCGCACCGTACGTAGCCAATCGTGCTAAAAGGGGCGGCCTGCCCCTTGGCCTTTCCCTGTGGAGCGTAAGGCCCCAACAAGCCCACGCCATGCCGGACAGTCTTTAGCAGCAAGACGGGCCCATGGTCTTTAGTTGGTCTTAAACGGTGCGTCGCCTTCGGCCTGCCCCTTGGCCTTTTCCTCTTGTGGCGTCCACCGTACAGCGAAGTGCAACGCGGTGCAAGTGCAATGCTTTGCTTGTGCAATGACCGAGGCAACAGACCACTTACCTCACATAGGCGTACAGTCAGAAAGTCAATGCAAGGCCTCTGATTGGTGCAGGGAGGCCTCCAAAGACGATTGGTTGGGGCAAGAGATTCAACCGTAAAAAGGCGGGAAACGAGGGTCGTCTGTAGGGGCGATGGGTTGGCAACCGTTGGAGGGGGGGCGAGGATTGGCTGAGGGAAATGGGGTGAGCGAAGCTTCCAGTAAAGGGGCTCTGAGGATATTAAAGGGGACCGCACAAGAGGAGGGGGGATGCATGGAGAGAGGACCAAGTTCGTGCCTCCAAGGACCAAAGTCCGGGCCTTGGTAACGGAAGAAAACACGCGTGTCGGAACGTCATTACACTTGCAAGCTCTCCTCTCGGATGGGTGCGGCAGCTATGAAGAAAAATATTCGATGAAATGAGTAGGCAAAAGAGCACGGTGAATAAAAAAAAAACTAAGCAAGAAAAACACTAAAATAACAGTGCTTCAAAAAAATGTGAACATTTACATGGGCCTATCGTTTTTAATGGAAAAAAGAACGGATAATACACCGTAACACGATAAAAAAATGTAATGTTAATAGCTTCAAAAAGTCAGAGTCTCCACTTGTTCGCCATCGTTGTCAACGCGTGGCCTGGAATCTTCTCCACGTGGTCTCCAGAGCCCGGCGGAGGCAGCAGCACGTGTCACGTGGTGTTGTTGTACATTCTCACAAGTGTTAAAACAATTTTAAGCACCCTGTATAATATGGCAAGAAAGACCCATTCACGATAGGTACTCTATTTACACTTGTGCGGGGGTGTTGTAGTGCAACAGAGAGGGGTTAGGGCGAGCAAAATCCATGGTGCCCTGTCCCCCGCCATGCCTGTGCGAGCCCACACTAAGGTGCGCGGGGAGTGTGATGTCCAATGTGGTCACGCTATCGATGGGTGGGGGAGCGGTGTGGTGTCGGCGGTTTAGCGTCACGCTGCGCTAGGAACCCCGCGGCCCGGGTTCGATTCCCGCTGACGGTCGACACCGGTGACGATTGTTCTGAACCGGGCTTGGGCCTCCCCTAGGTCGACTCGGCCTCAAATGAGTACCTGGTGCGGTGTGTAATCGTCGCCACGAGGGAGGCAAAAGCGGCCGGGCGTGGTGCTGGCCACCCCCACCCCCTCGTGTGCCGTGCCGGCCTTCACAGGTGCTGCTCCCTAACAGCACTAGAGTCTGTTAAGGCTACTCGGGAGATCTTTGTGCTTGTTCTTGATGCTTTCAGTGTTGTGGATGTCACCGATCATGACATTGCTGTTGATGTAGTTGACACTGCCGCTGTTGTATACGATGATGAATGCGAATATGGGCATGTTTTTTTAACAGTGACTTTCATGTAATTGATGTTGTTGCTACTGATGATGATGACGACGCTGTCTTTTTGTGGTCAGGTGTTTTGCGTTTGGGATTGGGCAGGGTGTCTCCACTGAGCTCATTAAGGAGGTAGCACACGTTGGAAAGGGCCTCTCGGAGTTTGTCACAAGCTCTGACCGTCTTCAGGGCAAGGTGAGGCACAGAAATCGTGCGCGTGCGTCTGTACGTTAAACTTCTTTCGCACCGTACGTAGCCAACCCTGCTAATCGGAGGTACACATCCAACCATGTTAATCGGAGGTGCGGGGGAAGGACAATAAACTGTGGGTCTCTGTGTGTGTGGGTCTCTGTTTGTGTGGGTCTCTGTGTGTGTGGGTCTATGGGTCTCTGTGTGAGTCGTATGTATGTTGAACTTCTTTCGCACCTGTCGTAGCCAACCGTGATAATCGGAGGTGCCATGCATTACACAGCTCGCACTCCCGTACGTGACCTTAACACCTAAGCAACCCCCACCTCGGCCACTAAAACGTACCGACACAAATTAATAGTAAAAACGTGAATAAATGAACGTGGCAGTTTTTATACACTGAACACTTTTTGCAATGCAATTTTATATGTTTGTAAAACATGTGATGGACGTAAGACGCAACAGAAACCATGCCATGCATCTGTCGCGAAGCACATGGCCTGCGTCAGGGTCCTGAATAAGGGCACCTTACAATCTTGGGCTCAGTCCCTGGAAGCAGAGCATGCTGGGAGGACAGGCAGTGGGAGATTGAGAAACTGTCAAACTTGGAGAGCAAACCTCTTAGATTGCCGGTTCAGTGTTTCTAACCAGAATCAGACTTTCTATTTATACTGGAGGAATCCAATGCGCTATAAAGCTTTCTTTTTTCGCAGATGTCCAGTACAATTATGCCACAGCAGCACCCAAACAATTGGTAATGATTTCGCAATAGTTTTGATATTCTTGATAACAGCATGACATTTTCTGATGCCTAGCAGAGCCATACTCTCCAACTTATGGTGATATCCCGCTCCTCCAATTAGCATGGTTGGCTACGTACAGTTCGAAAGAACTTCAACATACAGTAGAACCCGTCTTAACGACCACCGCTGTTAACAATGAATTGCTTTATGACGAGACTCTATAGAGCCCAATGTGTAGTGTATAGTAATGTAGTGTAGAGTTGTGTAGTGCCTCTATAGAGCCCAATGTGTAGTGTAGTATATAGTAGAGTAGTGTATAGTAGAGTAGTGTATAGTATAGTAGTGTAGTGCCTCTATAGAGCCCAATGTGTTCGCTTAGCGACCATTCCCCTGTTAATGTAGGTACAGTAAATAGTAATGAATGCATTGATTAACCATGTTTCTATTTAATACTTTGTGTTTTAATGGTGTTAGTATCTCTATGTATTAATATCCATTGTTTAAATATTATAAAGTGTGTTTTTTTTTGGGTGAAAAAGGGTAACTTTCGATGCTATCGAAACGAATTAAACCTTTAACGTGTATTTCCTATGCTCTCTCAACGACCAAATCGCTTAACGACCGGTTTCGTGGAACCAATTACCGTCGTTAAGAGCGGTTCTGCTGTACATACACGTAAACAATTCTCCAGCAATTGAATGCAACGTCAGTAACCCAAAGCCCATTACGCCACGGTTACAAATGGTTTATTCCTCGGTCCGCAGGTGCTGAGGATGCTCAAGTGCGCAATGCAGCCGTCGCTTAACAACCCCCAGCTGGAATGGACTCTCCCGCCCGGCATCGTCGCCACCGTGGTGCCCCGGCTTCCCGAAAGCATCTTCGTGGGAGAGAAGACGATTGTCTACGCGCAGTTCGCTGGGACGGTGAGACTCGCGCTCGCGTCCAGGGCGGTTGTGATCAAAAAAAAATAATTCGAACGTATAAAGCGCCCTTGAACAATCGTTCTCAGTGCGTTTGCGAACACCCGTCATGATTTTTTTTTTTTTCGTCTCGAAGTTAATCGCAGCGTCGAAGGGATGCGGAGACTGAAATGAAGCCGTTGAACTATGTCTTGTATTTTACCAGGTAAGGCCCGCTAAGCTACACAACAATTTTATTCTGAAGCGACCTGTTCATTAGCCAGCAGTTTCCAAAGAGGGAGAGGTAATGACTAATCTTCTGCTCTTCCGTTTCATTATGCCTGCCCAGGCTTTGCAACTAAACTATTAAACTATTTTTTTTATTTTAGCTGGTAAGACCCACTGAGCTACGTAACTTTTTTCAGAAGCGACCTGGCTATCACAAATGATAGCTCAACGAAGTGGCCTTTGACGCGGAAAATTTATAACAGCCAAATACAATAAACGCGTGTCGACTCTAAATGTGGAGGGGGAAAAAACCGGAGGACCCGGAGAAAAATTAACGTGGCCATGGGGAGAGAGAGATATGCAAACTCAAAATATAGAGGAGTCGGCGTCGGGATTGAACCCACAACCTCCTGCATACCAGATGAGGTAGTTACCATCTCGCCACCGTGGCACCCCCTTGGAAGACATGGGAGTGTTGCTGGAGAGTCCAATGTTCATATTCTTGGTTCTTTCGGTAAAGTCATGTAGAAGGGAAACAATAAAATAATAAAATATAAAACAATAAAATTGTGATAATTTTATTGTTTTTATTATTTTATTGTTTCCCTTCTACGTGACTTTACCGAAAGAACCAAGAATATGAATCCCTGCAGTCACGAAAGCTTTAAATCAAAAGTCCAATGTTCCTTAGCCAGCAGTAACCACAGAGGGAAAGGTATGATCTCTGCCCATGGCTTTTTCATGTCCCCTCCACTCAAGGAACATTAGCCATCACCCGAATTCTGGTCATCCTCGCAACGGCTTTTGGCTGGCCATCGAACAAAAACGGGTCACCGCACCGCGCGCGCGTTAAGATGCGCTTCTGCGGCCGTCTGAAACGCTCTTTCTTCTGGTGTTAGGACGCCACTGGAGCTATGCACCTTGAAATCTAGATTGAAAACTCATTTCTTCAGAACTGCTTTTTGTATTTAGTTTGTTGTCCTTTCCACGCGGCACCTCCGATTTTTAGCACGGTTGGCTACGTTACGGTGCGAAAGAAGTTCCACATTCATACATATGTAGTGACTGACTCGGAGACACTAAGAGCAGGAGGCCTGACAGTTAACACTTGGCGACTACGGTTCCCAGTCAGCACAGCCGGTAGACCTCCTGACTGGCGACGCCGAGATGGCGAAGACGGAGACGACGGCGACGACTCCAGCAGCAGCAGGAGCACGACGGGGGACCCCGCTCCAAACGACAGCCCCGAGGTCCCCTCCCGGGGGCCTCCTCTTATACCGCCAGCGTGGCCTGGCTCCGCCCCCGGCCACGCCCCCCTTCTGGAACCTACTCGATGTGCCCCTTCCGTGACCCTTCCAGGAACTAGATCCCTCTCTGGTCTGTCACCGGGGCTGCTGCAAGCTGCAGATCCCCTTCCCTGCCAGCAGCCAGCGCTACGCTGCTACGTGACCGATTCCATGTCGCTACACTTACATACAACGAATATTACAGCGCAGTTCATATCCATGTTTCAGGTGTATTTGTATGTGTGTGTGTGTGTCTCAAAGGCGGGAGGGCGTGGTGCTGGCCACCCACCCCCATGCGTACCGTGCCGGCCTTCATAGCTGCTCACTTAACAGCACTTGCCCCAACAGTCTGTTAAGGCTACACGGGGGGGGGGGGGGTGGGATCTTTGTCTTTCTTTTGTCTGTCTTGTCTCATATTTGAGTTCACCAACGCTGTTATATATACGCCACATTGTACGATGGCGCACCCGGCCACGTGAACGTTTAACAGCACGCTGTGGCGGAATAAGACAACACCACTGCCTGGGTCATGTGACGATCGCCTTACCCCGTGGACGCGTCCGTCTCGTCGTGCAGCTCCCAGCGGATCCGTGGCAGGGCTCAGCTGTGCTCAAGTACTCGCTGTGCGACAAGCCGATTGAGAATCGCATCGTGTTCACCGGCGAGCCTGCTCACCACAATGCTCGGTACGACGGACGCACAATGACAATCGCAATAAAGTTCCCTGCTCCCCCCTCCCCTCCCTGTGTAGCCTTAACAGACTGTTGTCGCAAGGGCCCGTAGACTCAACACTGCCCATCGACTCAACACTACCCATAGACTCAACACTGCCCGTAGACCCAACACTGCCTATAGACCCAACACTGCCCATAGACTCAACACTGCCCGTAGACCCAACACTGCCCATAGACCCAACACTGCCCGTAGACCCAACACTGCACCATAGACTCAACACTGCCCATCGACTCAACAATGCACCATAGACTCAACACTGCCCATAGACCCAACACTGCCCATAGACCCAACACTGCCCATAGACCCAACACTGCCCATAGACCCAACACTGCCCATAAACCCAACACTGCACCATAGACCCAACACTGCACCACAGACTCAACACTGCCCATAGACCCAGCACTGCCCATAGACCCAACACTGCCCATAGACCCAACACTGCCCATAGACTCAACACTGCCCATAAATTTTGATTTAAAGCTTTCGTGACTGCAGTAATTCATATTCTTAGCTCTTTCGGTAAAGTCACGTTGAAGGGAAACAATAAAATAATAAAATATATAAAACAATAAAAAAACAATTATTTTATTGTTTCTCTTCAACGTGACTTTACCGAAAGAGCTAAGAATATGAATTACTGCCCATAGACTCAACACTGCCCATAGACTCAACTCTACCCATAGACCCAACACTGCCCATAGACCCAACACTACCCATAGATCCAACACTGCCCATAGACTCAACACTGCCCATAGACCCAACACTGCCCATAGACCCAACACTGCCCGTAGACCCAACACTGTTGTTAGCGAGCAGCACCTTTTGAAGGTGGCCAGCACCACGCCCGGCCACCTTTGCCTCCCCAGTGGCGACGTTTCCTCACCACCGCGCCAGGTACTCATTTGAGGTCGAGTCGACCTAGGGGAGGCTACAGGACCGATTCGGATAATCGTCACTGCTGCTGGTGAACGTGAGCGGGAATCGAACTCGGGTCGCCGGGTTTGTTGCGCAGCGTGCTAACCGCTAAACCGCCGCTCCCCTCGTCACACACACACACGCGCACACACACTAAACATTCGCGTGTTCCTCAAGCTCCGGTCACTTCCTTGTCTCCGTTGACACACTCGGTCATTCTAACGTTCTCTTTCAAACATTCTGAAACCAAGGTTGAAAGTGTTTATCCCCTCGCTCTGTCCGAATGGTCTGCCTGTGAGCGGGGTCGCGTTAACGCTCGTAACGATGGCCCGATGTGAACAAAACTTTAGTTGTGTTTCGATTTAAAGCTTTCGTGACTGCAAGGATTCATCTTCTTTGGTTCTTTCGGTAAAGTCATCACGTAGAATGAGAATAAAATAACACGAGAAAATTTGCGTTGTGGCCGAAACGTCGTGAAAATTTTATTGTGCTATTTTATTATTTTATTCTCATTCTACGTGACTTTACCGAAAGAACCAAAGAAGATTTAGTTGTGTTGCTATTAGGGACTCGTCCTATATATATTGAAAAAAACTGCCTTAATTGATCTCAGAGGGTTTTGCCAAAACTTGGCGCTAAAACGAGAACTAAAAGAATTCGCCCTGCATGCCAAGGAGGTGACATTGTTACACGCGATGTCGTCTCGGTGCACGACCCTGCTGATGCTGCCACCAACGCTGCTGCTGCTGCTACCAGCATTATCATACTCATGATAAGTGCTGCTGATGCTGTCTGTTGATTTAAGACGATGGTGCTTTTTCTGAGGTCGCACCGTAATATCGCTGGCAGCTTCAGCTTCTTCTGCACAATGCTGTATGTACCTACGTTGAAGTTCTTTCGCACCGTACGTAACGAACCGTGCTGATCGGAGGTGCTGATTTGCACGTTTGGCTACGCTGAATTACTATATGGCGCCAGTGTTATAATTTATTTATGTAGTTTATTGTTAAAAATTCGGTCACAGTTCCTATGATCACTGTTACATTGCATTTATGGCTTTTATTTTGGTGATTTCGAAAACGTTTTTTTTGGGTTTTGGCCATGTTTTTGTTTATTGTAGTACGGAGTTAGACTGATGGCCTTTAATCTTAGTTGTCTTGTTGTTGTTGTTGTTTGACTTGCATCCCACTGGGGTTTTTGCACACAGCGTTGGTGTACGGTGCTATTTCAGGAATATTTTAGCTGTTTTTTTCCTGGATTTTCTGTTTGCACAGTCACATAGTCACTTTAAGATGTTTTCTTGTTCATGTTTTTTGTTTGTTGCGGTTGCACCCGATTCAAGAGCCGAATGGCTCACAGGGCTATACCAAATAAATGAACTATGGAGCTATGGAACAGTGATGCTCATAACGATGGTTGCACCTATGTACACATCTTGAACTTCTTCCGCGCCGTACTTGGCCAACCGCGCCACTAACCTGAGGTGTTGTCGGCGGCGGCGCGGCGGCGGCGGCGGCGGCGGCCTTCTCATCGGCAGGCTCGTGCTGCACCGGCTGCTGGCCAAGGCGCTCATCCGCCACCTCGTGGGGGACCTGGGCGACGACCCCGGCGCCGCCGGTCCCAGCGACGACGCGAGGCAGAAGTCCATAACGCTGAGCCTGCAGGCGGGCGTCGTGTCGCGCTACACCGCGTTCGTGGCCGTCGACACCTCGCCGCAGCCGCCCATCGCCGAAGCCATGCAGGCCCGTCCCGTGCCACGGCCCCATCCTAATGGTGAGTCCGGGGGTTAAACGGCGGGGCCGTTGGCCCCCGCGTTGGTTGGAGGGGGGGGTGGGTGGGCGCGCGTGGTACGAATGGTAAATGACGAGTCGCCGTGGGTGGCAAAGCTGGCTCGGAGATGTTGACTGCCTCGCCTGGTATGCAGGAGGCCGTGTGTTCGATCTTCCACACCTGTCGCCTGCTGTGCATTTGGAGTTTGCACGTCTCTCTCCCCGTGGTCGCGTGGATTTTTCTCCGGGTGCTCCGTTTTTTTTTCCCCTCCACGTTTAGGTTCAGCATCACGCGTTTCGAGCAGTGGATCTTAATCTGGGGGTGCGGAATGCCCTTTCTGAGAACGAAAGGGGCGCGCAGGCTGCAGGAAAGGAGTATTTGGCTGCTATGAACTTCCACACGATAAGCCACTTCGTTGAGTTGTCAATGTTGGGCCATGCCTCTTCTGAAAAAGAGCCATGTAGCTCAGCGGCCCATACCTCGTAAAATACAAAAATGTTTTAAAATTGTAGTTTAGTCCCTAGGCTTGGGAACCCTGACTTGTACAACCAGAATCAGAATATGTATTTATAGTGGAGGAATCCGATGAGCTATAAAGCTCTTTTTCACAGATGTCCAATAGGGGCACGGGGTCGGAACGTTACAACAACAAACAATACAAAAAACACGATAGCAGTGCGATGTACAGGAAAGGTAAACAAAGCACCCAAACGCATACAACTAAAACGAAACCATCCCCACCCTACCAGACAAAGCCCCCACTGAGGCATTCACTTATTTTTAAGAAGTGACCTGGCCACAAACGATAGCTGAACAAAGTGGCTTATCACGTGCAAATTTATAGCCGGAAAAATAATCGTATTAATCAGCACGCCGTACAACCCGAAAGCACGTGGGAGAGTTGCACGTATCGCTGCTCACCCCTGGGTGGGGGTGCAAGAGAGGAGCGGCCTGTTAAAAACTCATTGTTTGCCCAGTGGCAGCGTTTTCAGAATCGGAATATTTATTCACACTTTCGGGAAATCCAATGAGCGGAATATTTATTCACACTTTCGGGAAATCCAATGAGCTGTGACGCTCTTTTTCACTCATGTTCCAGTAGGTTGGGGGCTTTGGCTGTCAGCTGCCCCTCCTCTCAACCCACGCCACGACACTGCTGGGCGGTAACGCGTTTGGGTGTTTGATGCAGACGTACGCGAGTCTTGAGCCCAGCGAACCCGCCCCACGGTCAACGCTGCGGGCACGTCAACCCGTGGGATGGGCGCTGTACCCGCTTCACAGTTGCACATTCGAAGGATCCGGTGACATTTGAAAAAGAGCGGGGCCGCGTTGCACGTGCGCGCCGGCATCATGGCCCAAACTTTCCAAAACGCGATCAATTCGCATCGCGTGAATTTTGAAATCTAGCAACGAGCAACTTTGGCCCCCCGTACTTCCCGACGTCCAGGTCAGTGCTGCGTTCCACCTTGTGCCACACAGGGATAGCTGCCGCCGGCGGGGGTTGGCGATGGGGGGCGTGGCGTTGGTTGGGTTTTGGCTCCACTACAGCATGGCATAGTTGTGACGTGTGGCTTCTTGGAGTTGCCGAGCCGATGGAAGCAAGTGCCCTGTACACCCAAATCCTTATTCTTTAACGTGCCGCGGATTATATTAATCACCCTCTCTCCCACCCCTCTCCCCCACCTGTGTATATTTGTTATCTATTCAAGCCCCCATGGTCTACCACGTTGCCAGGGATGCCTTCCCGGTTGACTTCTCTCACCATAGGCATGGGCCCTGGATGGACTTTGGGGCTTTGTCCAAGAAAAAGTCTCAGCGTAAGTGTTGGAATTTGTAACGTCAGTCCGAACCCTCATTGTTTATTGATGATGATAAAAGAAAATAATTTCAAAATAAAATAAATGAAATCACGATGTTTCGGAAGCAACACAAGCTTCCGTCATCAGGTGGGATGGCCACAGCAAGAAACAAATTCCTGTAATGGTCACAAGAACTGCTTGTGACAAGAGATTATATAAGGTAAGAGGCGGGGAGGAGCCATCTACCCCCCTAGGCCCGCTCACTGCCCAGCCCCCGGCATGGTTGTCGTACCAACAGCAGTATTAACTCCACCGTATTGCAGAGCGCCACTCCCCCCACCCTCTCCATCTCTCCTCCGCCCCTCTTATGGACGTGTCGTTAAACCCGCCACCACCCGACAGCCAGTTAAGGGCTTTCGCCTTAGGTTTATTACAGATCTTAACAACACACAGGGGGTGAACAACTTCCCAGGGGCTAGGGGTCCCGGGCTAGGTCCCGACACAGCCAGCTGCCCTGTGCTGTCTCCTCTGCGCCGGCCGTGGGATCAGCCAACACGGCCGACCGAGGATCACAGCCACGTCCAGCCTGGCACTGTGCCCTCTCCCCTATCCCTACCCTCTTGCCCCTGGCTCCCCGTTCCACCCTTCTCAGACCCTCCTCTCCAGCTACGACCCCGCTGACGTCACGGGGTTCCCCCTTTATCCTTGAGGAGCTGTGACGTCATTCTGTTGCCCCGAGCGCATGACGTCACGTCCCGTGACGTCATCGCACTGGACGGCACACGTGACGCCACTTCCCTTATTCTACTCCTCTACACTAGTACAGCACACCGGTGCGTTGGAGACTTGGCATGATTTATTTACGTGACGAACCTTACTAATTGGCTGTGTCGGGTGGTGGCGGTTATAACGACACATTTATATGCACGCGATCTAACACGCAAAAAAACCTCTGATAATGCTTACTCATACTCTTGGGTCTTCACCTGAAGACGATTGCTTGTGTTGCGATGGAAACGTCGTGGTCTATTATTTTTTATTTACGTGACTTGGCCGAGTGACCCAAGAGCGAATTACTGCAGTCGCGAAAGCTTTAAATCAAGATTTCTCTTGGATAATATTGGTTGCGAAAGCCTACGTGTTAAACAAACGTGTTTTTTTTTATATATATAATGTGCGCATTGCCTTTGAAACTGATTGGCCTACACCGGAGCTGCAAGCCTCCGTTATGGCCTCGTCTCTCAGCCACCGGTGTTAAATCAGAGAACAACACCAACAGGCGAACAGCACCAAGGCGATGCAAATATCAAAGTATGAATACCTGGAGTTGAGCAGCTTGTATCTATGGGACCCTTTTGACCAGTATCCTTTTTCATCACCTCTGATTAGCGCAGGTTTGCTATATACGGTGCAAAAGAAGTTCAACATACGTGTACGTTTAACTTTTTAAAAATCGCACTGGGTCCTCCCTCATCAAGGCATGAACAAATAACAATCCTGACGATGGTGATAAGATGATGACGCGCCCTGACAAATCGACGGTACATTCCACTTTTGACGATGTGGCAAAAGCAGAAAGCATACCTGTCAACCCCTTATCAGTGCCCTACCTTATTACAGACCAATTCAGACCTTATTGGTCACCCCGTGCCCCTTATAAATCTCAACGTTGATCCTACAAAAGTCCCATCACAAGGGAGAAACACAAACACGCGGACAAAAAATACGCTCTTGTCCCCCGTACAGAAACGGCCGTACGCCGTATGCACATGAAAACTCAATTTCCCCGTACAAGAATACGGGGTAAACCGTGTGTGGGTTGACGGGTATGAGAGAGCGTCTCTCGACGACGATGATGAGACACCTTTGCGTTGCAGAGCACCAGCTCCAGGGCGCCGAGTCGGGATATGGTTCGGGTGCATCCACTCGCTCTTCATCGCCAACGCAAGACATGTCGAGTAAGCGCACAAACCCCCCCCCCCCCCCCCCCCAACGTACGGGGGGCCTGCGATACCGCTACAGTGTCCGTGTCGCGTGAAACGAACTTTCATCGTGCGTTGCCCTTGGCTTCATGGTAAAGCGAAAATACAAGGCTTGTGATAGTCCCATTGTCGGCCATGGCTGGGTAGGATATGCAGAGGGTATGGCTGGGTGGGATATACAGAGGGCACGGCTGGGTGGGTTATACAGAGGGCACGGCTGGGTGGGTTATACAGAGGGCACGGCTGGGTGGGTTATACAGAGGGCACGGCTGGGTGGGTTATACAGAGGGCACGGCTGGGTGGGTTATACAGAGGGCACGGCTGGGTGGGTTATACAGAGGGCATGGCTGGGTAGGATATACAGAGGGCAAGTATTCCTGGATTATAGGTTTAAGAGTAAGCTATTGATCGCGACAATTTTGAAGAATTTACCTTCACGCGGGACTTTGACACGGGAGCGCCCACAATCCTGCGTTTGTAAACATGCAGTGTGCGCACACGCGACTCCATGGTGGTGGTTCACCCAAATGACACGCTAGTTTTACACGCGCGACATGTGCGACACGCTGATTTTACACGCGCGACATGCTGGTGTGACACGCTGGTTTTACACACTTGAAACGCGTTGCACGCTTGTTTTACACGTGTAATGACAGGGTGCCACCTGTCGGCCTGAAGGGGTAATCGCGGTTATGGGCATGTTACGTAATGTCTAATTATGAGGGGGGGTGTATCTGGGGTAAGGGTGAAAGGCGGAGTCAGTCGCGAAGCTCCGGGAACCTGCTCGATGTTTCTCGAAGGGGGCGTGGCCGGAGGCGGGGCTTAGCCGCGCCGGGGTGCATATAAGGGGGACCGAACCAGAGGTTCGGTGCTGTTGCGGGTCCTGGGTCCTGGGTCCTGGCTGCGTCGCCGCTCGCCGTCATCTCTCTTCGTCGTCCTCCCGCGTGGCCGATCGTCTGCAAGGCTCTCATCGTCGCTGCGCTAGCCGGACAGCTGTGTAGTTGGACGCTGGTGGCGATGGGGTTGTGTAGAAGGGTCGGCTGTGTGTAGCTACGTAGATGTATCGATCGCCCGGTGTTGTGCTTACAGTGTGAGAATAAATAAGAAGCCTTCTGCACGACGTGTCTCGGAAGTCGCTCGCTACACACGCACGTGACACACGTGACAAGCTGTTTTTTTTTCTCGTGACGCGCTGGTTTTCAGTGCACCGCTTTGTGCGTTCAAGCAATGCAGCTTAGTAGTAGACTGCATCACCTAGCCTACATCGATACCAGAGGCAGCTGGCACCCCCTGTATAATCGAGGGGAGAAGGTGAGGCTACGAAACGTCGAACATCGTCCCCGAACAACATCCGGTACCGCCCACGAACACGTCGGACGAGCTCGGCTTTTGTCACGATTCACTGAAATTGGCCGCACAGCAGAGCTCATGGAGCAGACGTTTTGCGTTTCTCTGTATATTGCGATGAGGGCTTGTGAATTTCTTGACCATGATTATTTGTCGTCTTGTGTCTTTCTCAGCTTCCAGTGCAGGGAAATCTCAGAAGAGCCATCGCGTCTTTCGGACGCAAATCTCCACTCTCACCGTGGAAAGTAAGTGACATCAAAATCTCGTTTTCGCATTCGGAGTCTCTTTGCGCGGGGCTGCACACGGTAATCATTATCATCATAATAATCAGCCACGATCAATTAAAGTTCGATCCTGATAAGTAAATTGATCTTCTTTGGTTCTTTCGGTAAGGTCACGTAGAATGAGAATAAAATAATAAAATAACACAAAAATATTTTATTTTATTCTCATTCTACGTGACCTTACCGAAAGAACCAAAGAAGATGAATCCTTGTAGTCACGAAAGCTTTAAATCGAAAAAGTAAATTGATACTACATGGGACCTTTGTGTTTCCAGTTTCAAAGTGCGATGGTGCATTGTCTTTGTCTTTGTACTGCTATCATTTGTGGCCAGGTCACTTCTGAAAAAAAGAGCTATTCAGTAAAACTCAGCGAGGCCTTACCTGGTACAATAAAAAGTCTTGTTTTTACTTTATGTCTCGGATGTGCCAGTGGGAAAGTGTTTACAATGAGATTCTCACTGCAGAGGCAACGAGCAGGTTTGGGTGGTTTCACGGTGATGGGCAAGCGGAGGAAAAGATGCAACTTTTTTATTTCATCGAACTTGTATTTCCGTTTAAGAAACGTTTGGAGAACTATGACACACTGACCACGTGGGTTGGAAAGCGTGAAAGTTGTACCTGCATCAAACTCCAACGCCACAACCGTATCACCAGTCGATACCGTTTACTGTACTGGGAATTGATCTCAAGATTGTGCAAGGTAGCAGTGGTCGTGATCGTGACAATAACAGTGAATTGTTGATTCTGCAAAACCTATAAATGTTGTGGCTTTGCTCTCCAACGCATCGGTGTGCTGTCCTCGTAACGAATCGGCGTGTTCACTTTACGTGGCAAACCTCACTAATTGGCTGTGTCGGGTGGTGGCGGCGGGTTTACCGACACACTTATATATTCACGTGATCTAACCAAAAAAAAAAACAACCTGTATGTATGGCTGCCAATTCTTCCCTGCAGAGAGATTCCGGCAAGGATCGCAGCAAATGTGGCAGACTCCTTCGCGCTCGAACAGCACCACTAGCCCCTACTGCGCCGAGATGAGTGAGTCGCGCGGCGCGGAGTCTGTGTGCATCCCGCACTTCCGATTCGACTGGTTGGCTACGTACGGTGCGAGAGACGTCCAGCATGCGCGCCGCGTAGGCGCGCGGGTCGCGCAGGGCAGGCGCTAGCCACTCGCACGTGGCGCGCGTGTCTGCTTTGGTCACAGTTGCGCACAAGTGTTGCGTCATTCGGTGAACGTTACTCAGTGGTGCTGCACATTTTAACTGAGAAAAAGCGAAGATGGGGAGGGGGGGGGGAGGAGGGAGGGAATCAATTTGGCGAGTGATCTTGACGTACATTTTTTTTTTAGATTCAACTAAGTTTACTAACCGGCTTCGCCCGAGACTTGGATTATTGTCTTGGATTAACACACGGCCTACGCGGAGGGTGGGGGGAGGGGGGGATGCGTGACGTCAGCAGGCACACTGCGTGACGCTGCCGCATGCGGGTGACGTCACAGATGTGACGTCACAAATGTGACGTCACCGGTCACTTTCCGTGCAAAATATATCCATTATTGCGCCCCCCCCCCCCAAAATACAAAAGTCTATTTTTATACTTTTTGCATTGTGTACAGTCTGGAAGCTACACACAGGCCAAATTTAAAGTTTGTTGCATGTCGGGAAGTGTGCTAAACATTTCGAACAGACACACATATTCACAAATTTCCCTTATACTGTATATATAAAGATATAAAATCATCTATTTCCAGAAGGTTACAATTGCAGCGAACATTGTGGTTTAATGATTGGTTTAAATCGGCTAAGTGAAGTGCTTTATGAAGATCACGAAAGTATCGTGTTTAGCCATGTTGGCGACCTCCTGCTATCACTATTACACTACCAGCTAGCATTCAAACTACTCATTAAACGTTCACAATATTAGACTGCCCGTTCGTCTGCCGACTAAATATCTAAACAAAGTTCTGCACCGAGGCTTCTAAGTTGTAATAATGCACGACGTGGCTGTGCAGGGATGACGTCAAATCCAAGCTGGAATTTTCTCCTTCATTTTCATTCTCCCCTTTAAAACTCAGTTATTTTCCCGCAATTAACCCCGACTCCCCCTCCATTTCCCCCATCATTAACGCCCGTCCCTCTTCCTAACTTCCTCTTACCCATCCATCACCAACCACTTACTGTCACCGTCCATACCGGTCAACCCCTTATCAGTGCCCTCCTGTATCACAGACCAATTCAGACCTTATTGGTCAGCCTGTGCCCCTTATTCATCTCAACGTTCATCCTACAAAGCCCCATCACAAGGGAGAAACACAAACAAATAGACAAAAATATATTTATTTGCCCGTATTGAAAATGGCTGTACGCCGTACAGACCTGAGAACTCAATTTCCCGATACAAGAATTCCGGGAAAACCGTATGGGTTGACGGGTTTGGAATCAACATCGCCACGCATTTATTTTACGTCATAAGCATCATATCCATCGCACGCCATCGCCGTTCTTCTCGCCGACGCATCACATGGCACCGTTTCACCATGCAGCTGCTAATTCTCTGTTCAGCGCCTTGGTCAAGGCGTGATATCAATTGAAGTAAGGTTCGCACTCGTTGCACACGAAGCGCCCCCGCCACATTACCCACAACACCTCGCTGCTGATCTCGTCAAGGAACATCAACCACCACCATCGGCACGCAAACTCCTCCGGTCAACCTCAAAGCGGCGGCGGCGGCTTTTGACTCTCGCCATCGAACAAAGACGGTGGTCACCGCATCGCGCGGCGCTTTCAGGCGCGCTTCTTCGGCCGTCTGGAACGCTCTTCCGATATTCGGAATTCACTGGGAGCCTGTGCAACTTTTACATGTCTAGATTGACAAACTAATTTCTTGAGAGCCGCTTGTTGTTGTGTTTAGTTTGTTGTCCTTCCCCCCCGCACCTCCGCTTAGCACGGTTGGCTCTGTAAGGTGCGAAAGAAGTTCAAAATACATAAGGACCAGCCGCCAAGATCACGTTCTCAATCTGCCGCGCGTGGTAACGCGACTTCCCCGGCCTTGCCACCCTTTAACCGTGGGCCGTGGTCTTCTGGAACGGCCAATAAAAAAAAAAAATTCCCCCCCATCTCCCTTCCCTTCCCCCTCCTCCTCTGTGTGTTGTACCGCACCAGATCACCTGGTCCATTTGCAGCAGGCGAACGGATCGTGGGAGAGTTTGGAGCAACTGGCGGTCGCGGTCCGGGTCCCGATCAAAACCCTTCAGAGTGAGGCGCCGCAGGTGAGGTCCGGGAGGCGGTTTCGCTCGTCCCTCCCCCCGCTGGGAGAACGGGCGGCACCGCGAGCAAAGTGTCCGCACGCCCAAAGAGCTGGAGAAGCCTGAAGCTTGAGCAGTGATTGATTGCAGCCATGGCGATTGGCCAAAACAAAAATAGCGGGGGAGCGGGGGGGGGGGGAGGAGGCCGGGGTGGGCGGGTTAAATGTCTCGACCTGCGTTCCCGCGTCTGCCGCTGGACGGGGGGCGATGGACGGGGCTTTGTGGCGTCATCGGTGATATAAGCTGCGTCACACTCGGCATGGCTCGCCGGCACCAACGCAGCAGGTGGTAGGGTCGGCCCCAACGCAGCAGGGGGTAGGAACCAGCCTAAACGCAGCAGGGGGTAGGATCTGCCCCTACACAGCAGTGGGGTAGGGTCTGCCCGAACGCAACAGCGGGTGGAAGCCAGCCCCAACGCAGCAGGGGTAGGGTCATCCCAAACACAGCAGGGGTTAGGAACCAGCCCCTACACAGCAGGGGTTAGTCGTCATCCCCAATGCTGCGGGGGGGGGGGGGGGGGGGTTAGGAGTTTGGCCCAACACGGCTTTATAGCTCATCGGATTTATCCAGTATAATTAAATATTCTGATTTGCCCCACCCCCGGGTGGTGTTGTGCGTGAGCAGGACATGGCGAGCGAGGTGTGGACCACGGTGCTGGCGCTGGTGTGGCTGCAGTATCGCGCTGCCGAGCAGAAGCTCGAGTGGGATCTCCTCTCCAGGAAGGCCTCGCTGTGGCTCAGCCAGCAAGGTAATCGTGAATCGTGAATCGGTGGTGAGGGGCGTTTGTGCGTGGCGCGCGCACGCAAAGCACTGAAGCTCGCTCTGGAATGCTCACCCTCGCTCCACGTTGGCCACATTGAGTCCCTTCCTCAACTAAACTACAGCAATCTCTCGATTATCCGCGTGTGCTTTATCCGATTTTTGCACATTGATCGCGTACCTGAGATTTTGACGTAAATTAACAACTCGTGGATTTTCCCTTAAGCCCAAATTAAGAATCTGTAAGCAGTTATTACAACATTGTTATTGTTGGAAATGTTTATTACAAGGCACGTGTTTTAAACCAAACAAATATGTTGCTCCGGTTAATCCGAAATCCATGTGATTGCCACTACAGTACAGTGGTTGCCAGATCTTTTGAACAGTGAGTGGAGTTTGATTGACGTTGATAGGCGTGGCTCTGCTATCATCCACTTAGTGGGCCGAGTCGTCTGCGCGGGAGCAGGAAAGTGTTATCACAGAGCAACTCCATTTTCTTAACTTAAACATAATGTATACCTAATATTAGTGGTTTTTGGCATAGAGATCCATGGAAAATGGTTACATTTTTGCATTATCCGCGATTTTGAGTTATCCGCGGCCGTCCTCCTCGTCGTTAGCGTGGATAATCGAGAGTCTTGTATTTTTATTTTACCAGGGAAAGGCCCCCCCCACTGAGCCGTGTAGCTCTTTTTCAGAGGCGACCAGGCTGGCCACAAATGACTGCTCAACCAAGTGGCTCGCCGCCGTGCCGACGTGCAATTTTGGCGCATCGGCTCCAGTGTAGAAGCAACGCCGGGGCAACTGCTGACGATGGACAACGATTTATTTTTGTCGTTTCAGGAATCGACATCGGCGCCGCGGTCGAGGCCGCCAACAAGGCCCTCGGCTCGTCCGTCAAGCCCTCGGACATTTGTGTGGCGAGAAGCTCCTCGATGCAGTGAGACATTTGCTCGCGAGCGACTTGGCCAACATTCGCAGGCGCGTGGGCACAATGCCGGTGCATCGTAAGATCTGGTTGTCGTGCTCTGCGGTGTTTTTGTCATGGTACCAAAAGTTTTGTTTATTTTTTAAGTAACGCATACGATGTGTGTTGTGGGATGGTTGGTGGGGGGGTGGCAGGGGTGGTGGGGGGGGTGTTGGGCCGGTGGGGTGTGGAGACCCCTGTAAACTGGAAATGGCATTCGCAGCGCTGAGAAACGTAATGGCGGGAAGACTCGAGACAACATTGGGGGGGCGGGGGGGGCGTCCCCACGCTGACGATGAGGCGCTTCGTTGAGCTGTCATTTGTGGTCGGGTCGCCTGTCATCCCCTCCGTCCGGGGATCGATGAAACTGAGCAGCACTTGCTCTATCCCACCCAAACCCCACCCATCTCTCGCCATGAGAATATTGGCTGAGCAGCGAGGTTTGTAAAGCTGAAGAGGAGCACCGCCTCGATTGAAAACTAATTTCTTCAGAACTGCTTCTTGTGTTCAGGTTGTTGACATTTCCCCCGCACCTCCGATTTTAGCACGGTTGGCTACGTGCGACGTGAAATTATTTCGACCTCGTACATAGTCCCAGTTGAGTCGAATGCTGTGCGGTCACTCCTGTAGCATTCCATTGCGCATTCCCCCCCTGAATCGGATTGTGATTTTAGTTTTTTTTTTAACATTGCTTCTTGTACCAAATACAATATAAAATACACAAAATTACATGAAAAGTTGTAAGTGATCTCAAGTTAATGTCACGGAAGGCCAAATTTAGGCCGAGGGAGGGGGAGGAGACGGAGGGGATTACTTGGGGCGCCCCCACCCCTGAATTAGCCAAGACATCTGTGGGGCACGCTGTTCGTAAGATTTTTACCTCTTCAGTAAGTGGTTATAAAAAAAAAACTGTTCTTGTTACATTTAAAAGTGATCTCCTGCATAGTGGGAATTGCACTACAGGTTCACTGCTGCTGTGGTTTCTCAATGTTGCTAGTTTTAACTCCTGTACATCGGTAGGGCCCGTATTGCCATCTCGACAAGTGTTGCTCTGCATCCGATGTTCAGTTGAAGTTGGCCGATGGCTCCTTGCTCAACGATATTAGCCCGGTTTGGCTACGCACGGCGCGAAATAAGTTATATGTGCGTACGTTTGAAATGCAGACGTTGGCTTTGCGTTTTGTTTGCCGCGTCAGGATGTGAATCTGGTCTTGCGAGTTTCTTGTTTCTTCTGTAATTGCATTTCATTAAACTCATCTGCAGCAATGGGTTTTTCCCCCGTCTTCATTCAGTTGCATGTTTCCTAGCATACTCTGTATTAGATCATGGGACCTTTTTGCCACCAGCAAAGTATGAAAAATAACAATTGGCGTGACCTTTTCTGCCAATAAACAGGGGTGTTAAGATGCTCAAACACGACGCTCTCGGCCAATCAAACCTCCCCCACCCGCTGCTGCCGCCCCCCCACCCTTGCAGTTCGATCATCACTTTTTGTGGTCCCGATTACATTTCACAAACGTCGATTTTGTTTAGCCGAGCGAGGGAGAAACATCGCCAGCACCCAGGATATTGAGTCTTGAGCTCGCTCCACATTTAAATATTTTTGCAAGGAATGAAGTCTGCATTAAACACACGGTCCTCCTGGTAAAAAAAAAAAAACGTGCAATAGCATCGGCACTGTTCACTTGATGGTGTTCCCTGGTCTCACACTGGCGAGACGAAGCCATCAAGAAGGCTGCGGGTCTCTGGTGTAGGCCAATCAGTTTCAAAGGCAATGCGTACATTATCAGAGCATGTTTTTCGTTCTTTTGGTAAAGTCACGTAGAAGGTAAACAATAAAATAATAAAAATATACAAAATAAAATTATCACGACGTTTCGACTGCAACACAAGCAATCATCATCAGGTGTGAAAACCACAAGAACATTTTCTTTTCTACGTGACTTTACCGAAAGAACCAAGAATATGAATCCCTGCAGTCACGAAAGCTTTAAATCAAAATTCGGAGCATGTTTGTTTACATGTTCAACACAAGTACCGTGTGTGGTTAATGCAGACTTGATTCCTTGCGCAAAGGTATTTAATTGGTGTTTGAACATCTTATAACACCTGTTGTATCTTCACTTAAAGCTTTCGTGACTGCAGGAATTAATATGCTTGGGTCTTTCAGTAAAGAATATGAATTCCCGCAGTCACGAAAGCTTTACGTCACGCTTTAACCGCCTCTACGGGGAGAGTTTCCACGCAACTATTAGATATTTTAACGAACTTCGAGACAAGAAGGCTCACGTGATCGAGTCGCTCACATTTCTGAAGAGATGCCGCGACACCAAGGTAATACCGATCGCCTTTACACTCGCATCTGCTGCTGTCATTGCTCCCAATGCTAAACGGATCTTGTTCAGGGCTGGCCTAGCCCTGTACCTCGGAGAGAATAAGATTGCTCTTTGAACCGATTTACGCCACTTTACCGAAAGACCCAAGAATGACCTCCGGTTATATTGCCAGATTCTTGTATTGTTAGATTCTTGGAATTGTTACATATCGGTCAAAAATTGGGAACACGTTAACTTCGTACATTTGGGTCATTTTTTTCACCGTCGCCACCATGGCCGTCAACCCATATGGTTTACCCCGTATTCTGGTGCAGGGAAATTGAGTGTTCAGGTCCATATGGCATACAGCTGTTTCAATATGGGCAAAAAAAGATGTCTTTGTTTGTGTTTCTCCCTTGTGATGGGACTTTGTAGGATGAAATTTATAAAGGGGCACGGGGTGACCAATAAGGTCTGAATTGGTCTAATAAGGTAGGGCACTTGTAGTAGTCGTGTATGGAGCCGGAGTCGTAGTAGGAAGCAACACGCTTTATTTATATATTTAACAACACTCACTCGGACTTAACATGAAGGGGTAATGGCCCCTTCCACCCACAACCTGTGGAGGTACAGCCTCCGGACTATCTATCCTAGCCACTGACCTACTCCTATAGCCCTCCGGCTGGCTGGAGCTAAGGAGGCTGACCCACCGCTGGCACCGGTGGGTCTCTGACCACTGGCCCGTCCAGACCCGGCCCTCAGAAGGACGTCGGGCTGAGGGAACCTCGGGCTCCTAGCCTCTCGACCTCTGGCACCGCACTGAGCCCCGGCCCTCAGAAGGACGTCGGGGCTTGGGGTCCAGGGTCTCGTCTCCAGGTGGCTCCTCGACTTGGGCTTCAGGCGAACTGAGCTCTGCTCTCAGGAGCCCGCCTTTTATACGATTCCCCACCGAGGGGCGGGGTTCTGAGGGATCACAGATCCCCCACAGCCCCCTCCCCTCAGGAGGGGTTCCGGCCACAGGAAGCCCAACCGATCTGTGTTTGTTTATCCCGCTTTCTGCCTAGGGGCAGGGTTCTGGGGGATCACACACACACTCACAACACACACACTCACAACACACACTCACAACACACTCACAACACACACTCTCAACACACACTCTCAACACACACTCTCAACACACACTCTCAACACACACTCTCAACACACACTCACAACACACTCCACAGCCTCCACCCCTCAGGCGGGGTCTTGGTCAGGGTTATCAATGACCCCGCTCTGGTAGGTACTGTGTAGCGTGTGTGTGTTTACAGAGTGACCACCACACACTGATAAGGGGTTGTCAGGTATGAGAGCCATTTTGTGTTTTTGTTTGAAAACAATATCGACTGCATTGAATGAGATTTTACAACTACTCGGACATCTAGTAACACCGCCGATTTGACGTCTCCTCCCACCTTCCGCGTCGTTTTGCAACTACGTCGTCGCTGTATTATGAACACCGCCGCTACCTCGTTAGCCGTCGCCTCAACCCCCATGCTCGCATCGTCCGTCCGTCCTCGTCCGTCTCTCAGGCCTTCGCCTCCACCAGCACCCACCCACCCAGCACCACTCACCACCCACCAGCACCCACCCAGCACCACTCACCACCCACCAGCACCCACCCACCAGCACCCACCCACCAGCATCCACCCAGCACCACTCACCACCACCCAGCACCACTCACCACCCACCAATACCACTCACCACCACCCAGCACCCACCAGCACCCACCCAGCACCACTCACCACCCACCAGCACCCACCCACCAGCATCCACCCAGCACCACTCGCCACCCACCCAGCACCACTCACCACCCACCAGCACCCACCCAGCACCACTCACCACCCACCAGCACCCACCCACCAGCACCACCCAGCACCACTCACCACCACCCAGCACCAGTCACCACCCACCAATACCACTCACCACCCACCAGCACCCACCACTACCCTGTAAACCACGTTGATTGACGTTTCGATATTCTTCGTCGCACTTTTGCAGAAATGCATTCCCGCCCATCCCCCCCCCCCCATGTAACCCCGAGGGGGGGGGGGTGAAGTGGGTATGACTTATACACGTGCTCTATTCCACAGCGGCACCCTTGGGCGTCAACGTAGCAAATTAAAGGTATCTAAAAAAAACAACAACCGTGGAGTGACTTTTACTGTTCAATATTTGAGCAGAAGGTGGTTCCGCACGGTGGCTATTAAATGGTTTTCGTAGGCGCGGTTGAGGTCGGCGTGTTCCTTGGCCTGACGTAAATCAACGCGCGACTTTAAAATGGTTATTTATCTGCGTTGCAGCGTCCCGGTAGCAGCCTCGCTACGCACTGTGCCGCTTCCCCCAGGGTGCTGGTGGCCGTGTCCCAGCCCAGGTCCACACCCCAAGAGGGCAGAGGCCGCATCCTTGCAATCGCTTTGCTTAACGCCACCAGCAGAAAGAATGAAAACAAAAAAAAATGTCTCCACCAGAGACGCCCATAGGGATCGCATCTTGGAGAGGTTTCTGGCCGCCACTCTTAACGTTACCGGCCGGCTGTCTCGGAAGAGGTCCGAGTGTGCGCCCACGCTTTTTGTGCCCCACAACGGGGTCTGGAGACGGGGGACGATTTGCGGCGCAGCGTCCACAGCCGTCCGGCTGCCCCTCCCCGAGAGGGCGGCTTCCCCCTGACCGGGCGTCGCGGGCCCCGAGGCCCGTCGCGTGGTTGAGCTTTTGGCGGAAGTTTAAACTGCGGCGCTCTGCTCCGCGTAGCCGCCTCATCGCGGCGTTCCAGACGATCACGCCCGCAGTACCCCGACCTGCCCCGACCTGGCCGACCTTTCTGCGGCGTGTAACCGTTTCGTACCTTTGCCCCATCGTTACAACTGCCCCGTGCCGAGAGGTCAAACCGGTGACCTCTCGTGCAAGTTCCGTGTGTCGTCCAGGAGCTCCATGTAGAAGTCCCTCCCCCCCCCCCCCCAAATCTCTCCCCCCTGCGTAGATTTGTATCACCCCCCCCACCCAAATTCCTCCCTTCGTGTCAATCTGCATGCAGCCCCCCCCCCTCCCCCCGCCTACAATGCGAAGAGGCCCCGAGTGATGGACACAAAATCCACTCCCCGTCTCGCCCAACCAAACCCACGGATCGACCGACTTGTAAAATTAAGGGACACGAATGTGCCGCAGGGCCCCCCCTAGTGACAAGGCGATTCAGGCCCCCCCCCCCCCCCCATGACTGCTCACGGGCCCAGTCGGTGGAGCAATTCGCATCTTTCCGTCTCTCCTGCAATCTGGCGTTGCCCGGTCTCCGATGCGTACACGCCGCACAGAGTACTCGTGCAGCTCGGTCCGCCTCCGGGGAGATCGGAGGACAGGTTGTGATGTCGCTCGATATCAGGCCATGACCGGGAATCTAACTCGGATGGGCAGGTTCGTAGTGCAGCGTCAGGCTACCCACTGTGCTACCGCCGCACGCGCACGCGATCGCAGAATGGTCACGCAGTTCCTTTATTTCTTTCGCCTCGCGTGGGTACATAAGCCAACGTCCACCGCTCAATTCTTACCGGCGTGTGTTTCCTGCCCGGAATCTAACCGAGGCGAGGTGGATCGGCAATCGCTGCGTGACAGTATTGCGCAAAACACACGGTCGCTCATAAACCTTCACGTTAACGCGGCTACGTGCACGAACGCAAGCAACGCAAACGGGGCACCGGCCGGCCTCGCTCGGCGCGACCCACCCCCCCGCGTGAACGCCGATTCGTCACCACGCTCCCGTCTTTTTTTTAATCTCTCGCTCTCCCTGAAATTTTGACTCTTAAAAAAAGAAAAACCTTGAAAACTAATTAAAAAAAACCTCCCCACAAAACTCTTTCGAGCGTAAGACCCCGACGCCGCCTCCCATTCATTCGCACAGCCAATGAGAGCGTCGAACGCTCTCGGCCAATCGAACCTCCCGCCGCTGCCGCCCCACGCTCACGATTCGATCATCACGACTCGTGGCCACGATGACATTTTACAAGCGTCGATTTTGTTTAGCCGCGCGAGGGAGAGCATCGCGAGCACTAGGATTTGAGTCTTGGGGCCGCTGCACCTTAAACCTGCGGTCCTTTAACCTTTTACTGCAGGCCTTAACAACCACTTTTGTTCTCGATCGTAAAAAAAAAAAATGTATAATGTTAATACATCGGGGTTTGATGAAACAAAGTAAGTTGTAACTTGCGTGCCCCGTGCTCAAATTGTGCTTTCGACGATTTGCCTTCGAACAAAAAAAATCTGTCCATGTCTCGCCACCCCCAGACAGGGCATCTCTCTCGCACCCCCAGGGAGTTGCATGCGCCCCCCCCCCCCAGGTTAAGCAGAAGAACCAGTGGCCCAAAATAAACCTTAACATGTAGATTCGATGATCTTGATTTGAAGCTTTCGTGACTGCAGGAATCCATACTCTTTGGTTCTTTCGGTAAAGTTCACGTCGTGCTGCTCGCAACAGACATCGCGGTTATCGAGATTTTCACCTGAAGACGATGGCTTGTGTTGCTGTCGAAACGTCGTGATTCATTTTGTTTTATTTCTACCTAGGTGACTTTACCGAAAGAACCAAAGAGTAATGAGATTCGGACTGGAGGGCATCATCGTCTAAGATCACGCACAGAGCTCCTGGAGCTCTTCGCTGAGAGTGACCCCTGGCTGAGAGTGACCCCGGACTGAGAGTGACCCAGACTGAGAGTGACCCGGGCTGAGTGACCCCGGACTGAGAGTGACCCCGGACTGAGAGTGACCCCGGGCTGAGAGTGACCCCGGACTGAGAGTGACCCCGGACTGAGAGTGACCCCGGACTGCGAGTGACCCCGGACTCAGAGTGATCCTGGACTGAGAGTGACCCCGGACTGAGAGTGACCCCGGGCTGAGAGTGACCCCGGACTGGGAGTGACCCCGGACTGAGAGTGACCCCGGACTGAGAGTGACCCCGGACTGAGAGTCATCCCGGACTGAGAGTGACCCGGACTGAGAGTGACTGGGAGTGACCCCGGACTGGGAGTGACCCCGCACTGAGAGTGACTGAGAGTGACCTCGGACTGAGAGTGACCCCGGGCTGAGAGTGACCCCGGACTGCGAGTGACCCCGGGCTGAGAGTGACCCGGACTGGGAGTGCAGCAGCAGCAGCAGCAGCTCCTCCAACCTCCTCTCCCGCCGCTACCGTGTAGTGGTAGAGTAGAAAGCACTCGTGGGTATGGTACACGACGTTAACTGTGATAAATAGTTATGTTTATTTACTCAAAATAATGTTTACCATCCGTTGTTATTATAAGCGCTATTACCGATACCCCAATGAAGCCATCGTATGTTGCTCTCGGGAACGCATCCCTATGAAAGCAATGGTATAACGACCCCCGTTTAGCGCCGTTTCGATTAGCACTGTTCGCTTCCCCGGGAACGCATCTTGAGAGCGCTGCAGCGAGGTCTCCCTGTGATGATTTCAACTCGTAGCGTGCCACCTGCCGTGCTATAGTCACTCGCTCTCATAGAAGACGACTCGGGGAGAGAGAGAGAGGACGACTCTGAGAGAGGATGACTCAGAGAGGATGACAGAGAGAGAAAGAGAGAGGATGACTCAGGGAGGGGGGGGGTAGAGAATGGATGACTCAGAGGCACCAGGAGGAGGAACCACAGGTGGCTGGGTGATTGGGTGATTGGGAAGGCAGCAGCAGTACGCGGTGACGAGCCGTGCTCGCGTCCACCGCCCCAGAGTCACCCCCGTGCCCCTTACAGCGGCGTCTGCGGCTTCTGCGGCCTGGCGGACGGAAAGCTTGGAAGTTCAAATCCTCATTGGAGGTTGACTCGGCCCATCATCCCAGCATGGTCGATAAAGTAGATACCACAGAGTTGTGAAATCAGTAGCAGTTTGTCCTATGGTTAGACTCATCCGCACCTCCGATTGGCAAGGTTGGCTACGTACGGTGCGAAATAAGTTCAACGTACAACCGGGCATCCCCGCCGGAGCAATGTGGAACTTCCCTCGCTTACGCTAGCTCCGCAGGGCGTGACAAGGTGGGCACCGACGCTTCGGTGCCGCTCGTTCGAGCAGGAAATCGCTCCGCCTCTTGTTTTCGTGTCCACGTTGCCCCAGGCTATCGCGCCGATCCACCGCCGCCCCCACCGCCGCCGGCACTCAGGAGCAGGAGCAGCGCCCGCGCTGGCGCTTCCCCGCACCGTCCAGGTTAACCGTGCTGCACGAATTACGATGCCGTGGCGCGAGCATCTCGAAGACGCCCTCGAACACCTCGTCCACGCCGCGGCCGCTCTTGGCGCTCGCCTCAAAGCAGGCCCGCTCGGGCGCCGGCGTCGCCGGCCGCCGCGTCCTGCCGCCGGCGGCACCGGCGCTCCCCGCCACGGTGTCGCGGTAGCGGAGGATGCGGCCGTAAAAATCGCGAGCGTCCTCTGCCGTCACTTCCCGTGGGCGCCGCTCCTCCCCCTTCCCCTCCGCGTCCTCCGGCGCCCCGAGGCTCCCGTCGCTCCGGAGCGACGGCGGCTTCAACGGCGGCGGCAGGAGGTCGGCCTTGTTGCCGACGAGGACGAAGATGCAGCCGGCGTCGGCGGAGTCGGCCAGGCCCAGGAAGCGCTCCTCGAGCGCGGCGAAGGTGGCGCGGCTCGTCACGTCGTACACCAGCAGCACGGCGGACGCCCCGCGGCAGAACATGGAGCCCAGCCCGTGGAACCGCTCCTTGCCTGCGGGGTCGGGGTCACGGTGGGGTCGGGGTGAGGTCGCACGGGGGTCACGGTAGGGTCACAGTGGGGTTATGAGGGGTCAGGGTTGGGTTACAGTGGGGTTATGGGAGGTCAGGGTGGGGTCACGATGGGGTCAAGATAGGGTCACATCAGGGTCAGGTGTGGGTGCAGAATGGGGTTAGGGAGGAGTCACGGCGGGGTTCAGTGCGGGGAGGAGGAGGAGGAAGAGGAGGTGCGGGTTCACCGAGGTTGTGGAGATAACGTCGCAAAGGCCCCGGGCGTGTCCGAGCAGAACAGCGGGGAGAACAAAGTGCAGACAGGGAGGGAGTCGGGAACAAACTCCAGGCGACCGTTGCGTAACGGGCAGTTGTTGTTTTTTTATCCCGTCTCTCCGACACCCGGCCAAACAAGCGCTGCACTGCACCATGTCGACTCACCACGCGCTCGCTGGTTCCCCCGGGTCGCGTGATGGGGCATTAAAAAAATTTGATACTCCGACTGATGCCTCTGTTGTTGTGGAGTAACTCATGCAGCCAGCTATGGCTCTAGGATTTGGTGTTACATGTTATTTATGTAGTTTATTGTAAAAATTCGGTCACAGTCCCTGTGATCACTGTTACGTTGCTATTATGGCTTTATTTTTTGGTGATTTAGAAAAGTTTTTTTTTTGTTTGGACATGTTTTTGTTTGTTGTAGTACGGAGTTAGACTGACGGCCTTAATCTTAGTTGTCTTGTGGTTGTTGTTGTTGTTGTTTGACTTGCATCCCACTGGGATTTTTTGCACACAGCGTTGGTGTACGGTGCTTTTTTCAGGAATATTTTTGCTGGTTTTTTTCATGGATTTTCTGTTTGCACAGTCACATAATCACTTTAAGATGTTTTTATTGTTCGTGTTTTTGTTTTTTGTTAGTTGTGGTTGCACCCGATTCAAGAGCCGAATGGCTCACAGGGCTATACCAAAATAAATAAACTGAAATAAAATAAAACTGAAATAAAATAAAACTGAAACAAATAAAACTGAAATAAAATAAAACTGAAACGCACCGATTCCTCTCTTTGGGCCAGGGCACAGAACCTGCTGCTGGTGGTGGTGATGGTGGTGGTGGTGATGGTGGTGATGGTGGTGATGGTGGTGATGATGGTGGTGGTGGTGGTGATGGTGGTGATGGTGGTGGTGATGGTGGTGATGGTGGTGATGGTGGTGGTGGTGGTGATGGTGGTGGTGGTGATGGTGGTGATGGTGGTGGTGGTGATGGTGGTGATGGTGGTGGTGGTGGTGATGGTGGTGATGGTGGTGGTGATGGTGGTGATGGTGGTGATGGTGGTGGTGATGGTGGTGGTGGTGGTGATGGTGATGGTGGTGATGGTGGTGATGGTGATGGTGGTGGTGATGGTGGTGATGGTGGTGGTGGTGATGGTGGTGGTGGTGATGGTGGTGATGGTGGTGATGGTGGTGATGATGGTGGTGGTGGTGGTGATGGTGGTGGTGGTGGTGATGGTGGTGGTGGTGATGGTGGTGATGGTGATGGTGGTGGTGATGGTGGTGATGGTGGTGGTGGTGGTGATGGTGGTGGTGGTGGTGATGGTGGTGGTGATGGTGGTGATGGTGGTGGTGGTGGTGATGGTGGTGGTGGTGATGGTGGTGATGGTGGTGGTGGTGGTGATGGTGGTGGTGGTGGTGATGGTGGTGGTGATGGTGGTGATGGTGGTGGTGATGGTGGTGATGGTGGTGGTGATGGTGGTGGTGGTGGTAGTGATGGTGGTGATGGTGGTGATGGTGGTGATGGTGGTGGTGGTGATGGTGGTGATGGTGGTGGTGGTGGTGATGGTGGTGGTGATGGTGGTGGTGGTGATGGTGGTGGTGGTGGTGATGGTGGTGGTGATGGTGGTGGTGGTGATGGTGGTGGTGGTGGTGGTGGTGGTGGTGGTGGTGATGGTGGTGGTGGTGATGGTGGTGATGATGATGGTGGTGGTGGTGGTGATGGTGGTGGTGGTGGTGGTGATGGTGGTGATGGTGATGGTGGTGATGGTGGTGATGGTGGTGGTGGTGGTGATGGTGGTGATGGTGGTGGTGGTGATGGTGGTGGTGGTGATGGTGGTGGTGGTGGTGATGGTGGTGATGGTGGTGATGGTGGTGATGGTGATGGTGGTGATGGTGGTGATAGTGGTGGTGATGGTGGTGGTGATGGTGGTGATGGTGGTGGTGATGGTGGTGATGGTGGTGATGATGGTGGTGGTGGTGATGGTGGTGATGGTGGTGGTGGTGATGGTGGTGATGGTGGTGGTGGTGATGGTGGTGATGGTGGTGGTGGTGATGGTGGTGATGGTGGTGGTGGTGATGGTGGTGATGGTGGTGGTGATGGTGGTGATGGTGGTGGTGGTGATGGTGGTGATGGTGATGGTGGTGATGGTGGTGATGGTGGTGGTGGTGGTGGTGATGGTGGTGATGGTGGTGGTGGCGATGATGGTGGTGATGGTGGTGATGGTGGTGATGGTGATGGTGGTGGTGGTGATGGTGGTGATGGTGGTGGTGATGGTGATGGTGGTGATGGTGGTGATGGTGGTGATAGTGGTGGTGATGGTGGTGGTGATGGTGGTGATGGTGGTGGTGATGGTGGTGATGGTGGTGATGATGGTGGTGGTGGTGATGGTGGTGATGGTGGTGGTGGTGATGGTGGTGATGGTGGTGGTGGTGATGGTGGTGATGGTGGTGGTGATGGTGGTGGTGATGGTGGTGGTGATGGTGGTGATGGTGGTGATGGTGGTGGTGGTGATGGTGGTGGTGGTGATGGTGGTGATGGTGGTGATGGTGGTGGTGGTGATGGTGATGGTGGTGATGGTGATGATGGTGGTGATGGTGGTGATGGTGGTGGTGGTGATGGTGGTGGTGGTGGTGATGGTGGTGGTGATGGTGGTGGTGGTGATGGTGGTGATGGTGGTGGTGGTGATGGTGGTGGTGGTGATGGTGGTGGTGATGGTGGTGGTGATGGTGGTGATGGTGGTGATGGTGGTGGTGGTGATGGTGGTGGTGGTGATGGTGGTGATGGTGGTGGTGGTGGTGATGGTGGTGATGGTGGTGGTGATGGTGGTGGTGATGGTGGTGATGGTGGTGATGATGGTGATGGTGGTGATGGTGATGGTGGTGATGGTGGTGATGGTGGTGATAGCGGAGGGGCGGTGTAGCAGTCAGCGCCACACCGCGCTACGAACCCGGCGACCCGAGTTCGATTCCCGCCCACGGCCACCGACACCGGTGACGATTATCTGAAACGGTCCTGGGCCCTCCCCTAGGTCGACTCAGCCTCAATAACGAGTAGCCGGTGGCGATGTGTGTAAACATCGGCATCGGGGAGACCAAGGCGGCCGTCCCGTGGTTGTCGGGTGGCGAGCCACCCCTCTCGTGTGCCGTGCCGGCCTTCAACAGGAGCCACTCGTGAACAGCACTTGTCCCGGCAGTCCGTTACAGGCTACACGCGGGATCTTTGTCTGTTGGTGGTGGAATTGGGAGGGAGGAATGACGGGGCCCCGGGGTCAGTCCACGCAATGCGAGGAGTCTCACGCAAGGATCTGTCCACCCTCGCCCGCGACCCCGTCATTAAAAAAACAAAACATATGAGCAAACGAAATCAATGTTTTTTTTTAGTTGTCACTGCATGCGTTTGGCTGACCTGCTTACATTAATTTGTACTTCGCACTACTATCGTATGTTTGCAATCGTTTGTTGTTGTAACGTTCTTACCCGCCAATTGAAAGGACAATCTGTGCAAAGGAGCTGGATAGCTCATCGGATTCCTGCTGTCGAAATAAATGTTCTGATTATGGGGGGGAAAAAAAAATCTCATTCTGATCTCATTCCTGCCGGCCGTTTTATGTGGCCAGAGGGTTGGAGATTCCACATTCTCATGGTAGGTGGGCAGTCTCTCCGGAGGCAAGCGACTGCTGACTTCCCCACAGGGTTCTGAGCGGAATTGAAGGTCGCGCTGATCACGGAACTCTCAGTCGATTTAAACTAATCAACTTTTTATTTGATCAGGTAAAAAAGGCCCACTGCTGAGCTATACAGCTCTTTTTCAGAAGCGGCCTGGTCACCACAAATGATTGCTCACCGAAGTGGCTTGTCAGCACGTGTAAATGTACAGCAGCAGCAAAAACACTCTGAACGCGTGACGTTGATTCTGGAATGCGGAGGGAAAAAAACCGGAGGAACCCAGAGAAAAATCCACGCGGCCACGGGAAGAGAGAGAGACACGCAAAATATACAGCGGGCGTCGGGATCGAACTCACGATCCTCCTGTAATACCACGCGAGGTAGTTAACATCTCCCCGTTCCCCCATCCAGGGGTGCCCCCCCCCCTTGTCCCCCCACCCCGGATGCCCCCCCCCCCCCCCCACAAGACGACACGCACCTGCCGTGTCCCACAGGGCCACCGTGTGCCCGGCCCACTCCCGCATGACGAAGGCGCCCCCCACGGTGCTCACGGTGTCCTCGAAGCGGCGCTCCGTGTAGCGCCGCAGCAGCGACGTCTTCCCCACGCTGACCTCTCCCAGGAGGACCACCTTGAAGTCGGGCCGGTTGGACATCGCAGGAGGGCCCAGCGGCGGCGCCTGTGGGGGCGAGCGACGGAGGATGATGACGAAGGGGTCGCGGCCTCGACCCCCCCTGACCCAGCCTCGGCCTCGACCCCCTGACCCAGCTTTGGCCTCGACCCCCTGACCCAGCCTCGGCCTCGACCCCCTGACCCACCCTCGGCCTCGACCCCCTGACCCAGCTTCGGCCTCGACCCCCTGACCCAGCCTCGGCCTCGACCCCCTGACCCAGCCTCGGCCTCGACCCCCTGACCCAGCCTCGGCCTCGACCCCCTGACCCAGCCTCGGCCTCGACCCCCTGACCCAGCCTCGGCCTCGACCAGACTCGCGGCGAGGAGAGGGCGAACTCACTACCGAGCTGGCATGCTCCACCAACCTTGCCCTCACCCGAGTCACCCACCCACCCTCACCCACCCACCCTCACCCACTCTAGTCACCCACCTACCCTCGCCCACCTACCCTCCCTCACCTACCCTCACCCGAGTCACCCACCTACCCACCCTCACCCACCCACCCTCACCCACCTACCCTCACCCACCCACCCTCACCCGAGTCACCCACCCACCCTCACCCGAGTCACCCACCGTATCTCCTCTTCACCAGCACGCCGAGTCACGTGGGCCCGCCAAGCGCTCCTCGCGAGCGCCGCTCTCAGCCCGGGCAGCAGCAACAGCGGAGCTCCAAGCCCTTCAGCAGCGAGAGCTGCCCCGGCTGCCCTTCGGCAGCGAGAGCTTCTCTACAGCCACCACCACCACTGCCGCCTCCTCTTCCTATCCCAGGGCCGGACGGTCGCGGGCCACCTGCCCGGGTCGCGAGGCCCCAAGGAGTTTGGTGGCAGCGGCGAGGGGAGCGGTCCCGGAGCGACGGCGGCGGCGGTCGCGTGACGGGCCGAGTGGGCGCGGAGAGGGCGGATTCGGGGGCAGCGAAATTCAGCGGTAGCCCTTCCTCCACCTCTTCCGCGTGCCTCAACCGCCCCCGCCCACCCGCCTAGCCACCCGCCTAGCCACCCCCACGCACGCAGCCTCACCACACGCAGATCTCACCAATATTGCACCCAGCCTCACCCCTATTCACCACACTCGGCCTCACCCTCACCTCACCTCACCCCTATTCACCACACCCAGCCCTCACCCCAGCCTCACCTCCCCCCTATTCACCCCCCCCCCCCCCACTCAGCCTCACCACACGCAGACCTCACCCCTCCCCCAGCCTCACCCCCATTCACCCCCACTCAGCCTCACCCCCACCTAACATCGCCCCTATTCACCCCCCCCCCCCCAGCCTCACCACACCCAGCCCTCACCCCAGCCCTCACCCCAGCCTCACCACACCCAGCCTTACCACACCCAGCCTCACCACACTCAGCCTCACTCCAGCCTCACCCCAGCCTCACCACACCCAGCCCTCACCCCAGCCTCACCACACCCAGCCCTCACCCCAGCCTCACCACACCCAGCCTCACCACACCCAGCCTCACCACACCCAGCCTCACCACACCCAACCTCACCCCAGCCTCACCACACTCAGCCTCACCCCACCCTCACCCGTATTCGGCATCACCCCTCACCGTCGTCACGCCTGCCCTGTGGCGAGTCCATTGAATTTAGTGGTGAGCCCATCATGGAGTTTACAGGCGAGGTGCATGGGTGAGTTTACTGGTGAGGGCAGAGCCCTCTACAGGTGACCGGTGAGTGGTGAGCTTAATGGTGAGAGGTCTGTGGAGCGCAACGCGCCTCAGAGGACGTCAGTCGAGGAGATGGAGCATTGAAATCCTTGAGAGAGAGGGAGACGGTGCAGGTCGTGGGTGGGTGGGTGTATTCATCCAGCGGTGGAGTGACCATGGCTGATGATGATCCGAACCCCGTAATCATAACACCCCCCCCCCACACACACCACCACCCACCCAACCCAGCACCTAATACAGAGGTCTGCCAGTTCGATCTCCGGGCCCGGCAGCTGAAACAACGCGCCAGGTTGCTTGGAGCCGAATCAGCCCGCGCGTGGCGGGGGTACAAAATGTGGGGATTGGATAATTCGGTCCCGTCTCTCAGGCTCCCTCCACCAGCAGTGGCGTGAGCACGGCACTTGCAGGGGTGCGCCTTTACCAACCCGGCGCGAAATCACCCCCCCCCCCCTCTCCCCCCCCTCTCCCCCCCTCTCATCCCCCCCTCTCATCCCCCCCCCTCTCATCCCCCCTTCTCACCCCCCCCTCTCACCCCCCCCTCTCACCCCCCCTTCTCACTCCCCCTTTCACCCCCTCCTCTCTCATCCCCCCCCCTCACCCCCCTCTCATCCCCCCTCTCATCCCCCCCCCTTCTAATCTCCCCCCTCACCCCCCCTTCTCATCCCACCCCTTCTCATCCCACCCCTCTCACCCCCCTTCTCATTCCCCCCTCCCATCCCTTCCCCCTCTCACCCCCCCACTTCCCCCCACCCTCCGTAGTCACGCGGCATCAACAACCCCCCACCCAACCTTCCCCCTGGGCCGCGCCCCACTCTGATTGGCTACGCAGCTTCCTCCTTTAAAAAAACAAATTGCGGCGGCGCCTATCCGCTTTATGAAATGTGAAACGATACACCCCACCCCCTCCCCCAACTCGGTTGCCAATCCACTCTAGCAAATGTAGAGGCGCGCGAGCCGGGCACGTGACCTGGGGGAGGAAGAGGGGGGGGAGAGGGGTCACCTGACCTCAGTGCCATCCGGCGTCTTGTTGGGTCAAGGCGTTGTTGAAGACGCCGAGAAAGACGCTCGAGTGGGGAGATTCGAGGAGGCAGCCAGCGGCCGTCGAGACTCCGGCGGCAGAGACTCCGTCCCCCGCTCGGGGTGAGCGCGCCGGGCAGGGTGGCGAGAATTCGCTTGTTCGGATTTTGTTTTTGTGAGTGGGTGAGTGGGGGGTTCTAGGCCTGAGCGCGTGCTGCCTACCCCCCCGGCTTACCTGATTGTCGCTGCCGGGAGAGGCGCGTGTTGACCGGTAGGGGTTTTACATTTTATGGCGGGGGTGCGACACAAGCTTCCGTAAACTGTGCAGTGTGTTATTATTATTGTTATAGGTGTTGTTATTATAAATAACGGTTGTGTGCTTGCGGGCCTCCGACGCAGCGGCCTTCTCGACATTAAGCAGGGGCGTTAAGAGACCATGAAAGATGGGGATGTGACCGAACACACAGACGCAGAGAACCCACCACCCCCCCAAAAAAACCGATGTTACGGATGCAGAGATAATGTTTGCGTAGAGCATCGCACGATCGTTCGACGTGGCGGCGGCTTTGAGAGGCATTTCATTCCCACAGTGGATTGACCACGGCTGACGAGGGCCATCGAGGTGTGGGACAGACAAGACGCGATGCAGCGACTGGTGTTTGCATCTGCACGTCTGCGCCTTTCGGACTGATTCTGAGACGTTACTTGAGTGATAACCTAGAGGGGCAAACCGAGAGGCAGACGCGGAAACGACTACGCATGGGCATATCGCAGACGCGAACACACGCGCTTATTTACTCATTTGTCGCACGCTGAACGAGGGGCTCCCCGCGCTACTATGCCTCGTTACGGGGGTTGTTTGACCATACTTAGCCACACTGGACAGAGCAGGGATGGGGAATGTGGGGGGGGGGGGGGGTGTTACCCTGGGCCTGTTCAGGTGTGTCTCGCCACTGATGCTAGCCGTGGCCGGGAATTGAACTCAGGGTAGCCGGGCTCATGCGAGGCGTGGTAAGAAAGTCGCTGCGACTCGTCTCCCTAAGCCATACACCCTAACATGCCGGCCTAAACCCTAACATGCATGCCTAAACCCTAACATGCCGGCCTAAACCCTAACATGCCGGCCTAAACCCTAACATGCCGGCCTAAACCCTAACCTGCATGCCTAAACCCTAACATGCCGGCCTAAACCCTAACCTGCATGCCTAAACCCTAAGCTGCCCGGCCTAAACACTAACATGCATGCCTAAACCCTAACCTGCTGGCCTAAACCCTAACCTGCTATCCTAAACCCTAACCTGCTGGTCTAAACCCTAACCTGCTGGCCTAAACCCTAACCTGCTGGCCTAAACCATAACATGCTGGCCTAAACCCTAAACTGCTGGCCTAAACCATAATATGCTGGCCTAAACCCTAACCTGCTGGCCTAAACCCTAACCTGCAGGCCTAAACCCTAACCTGCCGGCCTAAACCCTAACCTGCCGGCCTAAACCCTAACCTGCCGGCCCAAACCCTAACCTGCCGGCCTAAACCCTAACCTGCTGAACTAAACCCTAACCTGCTGAACTAAACCCTAACCTGCTGGCCTAAACCATAACCTGCTGGCCTAAACCATAATGTACGTGCCTAAACCCTAACCTGCCGGCCTAAACCCTAACCTGCCGGCCTAAACCCAACCTGCTGGCCTAAACCCTAACCTGCTGAACTAAACCCTAACCTGCTGGCCTAAACCCTAACCTGCTGGCCTAAACCATAATATGCTGGCCTAAACCCTAACCTGCTGGCCTAAACCATAATATGCTGGCATAAAGCCGAACTTTCTGGCCTAAACCCTAACCTGCTGGCCAAAACCCTAACCTGCTGAACTAAACCCTAACCTGCTGAACTAAACCCTAACCTGCTGGCCTAAACCCTAACCTGCTGGCCTAAACCCTAACCTGCTGAACTAAACCCTAACCTGCTGAACTAAACCCTAACTTGCTGGCCTAAACCCTAACCTGCTGGCCTAAACCATAATATGCTGGCCTAAAGCCTAACCTGACGGCCTAAACCCTAACCTGCCGGCCTAAACCCTAACCTGCTGAACTAAACTCTAACCTGCTGGCCTAAACCCTAACCTGCTGGCCTAAACCATAATATGCTGGCCTAAAGCCTAACCTGCCGGCCTAAACCCTAACTTGCTGGCCTTAACCCTAACCTGCAGGCCTAAATCCTAACCTTTGACCTCCAAACCTTAAAGCATTAATCTAAACCAGGGGTGGGCAATTTTTTTTTACTCGCGGACCTTAATGGGTTCTAAAATTTGACAGAGGGGCCGGGCCAAGAACAGATGGATGGAGTGTTTGTGTGAACTAATATAAATGACGTGTAAAAATCATTACATGAAAGGATTTGGCCTTTAACAGGTAGCAAAGCATTTATTTGCAAGGCAATTGATCAAATTGCACGAACATGAACAATACAAAAACATGTCGTAACGTGACTGATCAAACATCATGAAAACATCTGAGGCCTGCACCCAAACCAATTACCTCACTTGAACTTCTTTATTATCTACATTAACAGGGTAGACAAATTCGGCGGGGCCGGATTAAAAAGCCCAACGGGCCGTACTTTGCCCACGTCTGATCTAAACCCTGACCTTAAACCGTGACCCTAAACCCTTCCTTACCCCGTCAATCCTAATCTATTAATCTTAAATCTCAAAACCCTAAACCATAACCACATAAAACCTAACCTCTAAGCGAACCCCATAAACCCAAGCTCCCCAAACTAGAAAACCATAACCTTACACTTCCACGAAGGTTAAGAAGTGGCATCCCTTCTATTTCAAAACTGTTCAGCTAAAGAAGCAGAAATTTGCAAAGGAATGCGAATCTGGGAGAAAAAAACAGCCAGAGATCATCTGATTGAATGCAAATTTGATCGATACAATAGTGCCAGGGACCTAGTCTCACTTTTCCCACATCAAGTGACTTCCGCAATGAAATCTCCAGTGTGTTTATATTGCGAGCATATTTCTTTAGAGTGCGTGTGTGTGTGTGTTTTATATCGATCTGCGGCATGCTTTGTTTATACACGCCGGGTTGATCGAATGCAATGGGTGCACCTCACATTACACAAATATCGTGTTGTGAAATTCGTGCCGGCGCGGGCACAAACCAGACAACGACAATCAGCCCGTGTTGCCTTCTTCCCGACAAGAAGAACGCGAGAGTGGTGGGCCCCCCCCCCCCCGCATCTAACACGGGGAGGAAGTTAACGTGTTTATTTGGGGGTATTGAGACTGGACGGGGAATCATGCAAAGACTTTCAAGAATGTTGTTTTTGCACTGATGTCTACAGTGTGGTGACTAAATGGATCGTAAGAATAGGTTTTACGCTTTCTGGCAGTAAAACAGGTTAAAATGTTAAAACACTCAACTGAAACCTTTTGCAAGGAATCATGTCTGCGTTAGCCACTTATATAGTTGTGGTGAATATGCAAAAAATAACATGCTGTAGGAGTTATATGATGCATTCTTTAGAGCCGAGTCTCAAACAGTGTTAGACCAGAGGACGCCAAAAGGCGAACAGCACAAAAACAATGACACTATATTGAGAGCTTGAGGTGAGCAGCGACATCATGGGACCTCTGATGATATTAATGGGTCACCCCGCATACACACAACACCTTACTGCAAACACATTTGTTACTGGCCCCGTGCAGCTTAAGTCACGTATCTTTAAACTTGATTTGAAGTTTTCGCGACTGCAGGAATTACTCTTTGGTTCTTTCGTTAAAGTCACGTAGAAAGAAAATAAAATAAATAATAGAGTACACGACGTTTCGATTGCAACACAAGCAACCGTCATCAGGTAGAACTAAATTTGAGAGAGAGACAAAACACAGACACGGAGGCACACAGACGGACACACAAGCAGAGAGAGAGACACAACATAGACACACAGAGACTCAATGCCTCTGTGTGTCTTAGACCTTGTAATCGGGTCATGCCCAATTCACATCACAATTTGACTAATTTCAGCTAACAATGCTCCTAACTAAATTGATTACAGGACACATAAATAATGTGGGTAGGTGTGTGTCTGGTAGTGTCGTGGTTAGCTCGCTGCCCTACGAACCCGGTAACCCGAGTTCGATTCCCGCTCACGGCCAGTGCAAGTGACGATTATCTGAACCGGTCCTCGGCCTCCCCCTAGGTCGACTCAGCCTGAAATGAGTACCTGGTGCAGTGCGTAAAGAACGCCACTGGGGAGACAAAGGCGGCCAGGACGTTGTGCTGGCCACCCACCCCCTTGTGTACTGTGCCGGCCTTCATTGGTGCTGCTACTTGCCCCAAAACGTCTTTGAAGGTTGTGAGGGGGGAATGATCTTTGTCTTTGTTGTTTTGTGTGTGTTGGCAGGGTGCGTTCATCCGGCGTCGTGATGTCTTGCCTGACCGCGGCGCGGGCCCCGCTGGGCCTGGTGTCGCTCCCCCTGTGCTCCGCCACGCTGCTCGCCCTGATTCTTTCACTGCCCACGACGACCGGCGACGTTGTGGCTGTGGGTGTCTCTCTCAACGTTTTGCCACGATTGCGAAAAATCGGTTTTGAAGCAATCGCATTGCATCCCCCCATAACCCTTTGTGTTGGAGAAACATCCCGCGGAAGCGGATACGCCGGAGCTACTACCTTTGAGATCCGTTCAAGTGATTTCTGATCCATAAAGTAGCGGGCAGCCACTTTCCCACCCATTCTGTCACTGAGAGTAATTTTTCATTCTTAGAGCTGGAATGTAGCTTAAGCGCAAAACTAAATTTGACACGATAACTTTTTTTTATGCAGTCGTTGGTTACCAGGCTGAGATCATTAACTCACTACGTTTGAGAACCAGGTTTAATCGCACCTCGGTCGACGCGAGTCGATGGGTCTCCCGTCTAATTCACAATATTTCTATGTAATTCTACAGGTGACCGCGCCGAGACCACCATCTCGCTACACGTGAAAACTCAGGTTCAGTCACAGGCAACATAAATATGGATTGGAAACCAGATTTCATAATTAGATATTGTGGCTATACCCAAAAATCTATGATGATTAGCAACAGTTACTGCTTAAACCCACGCATTACACGGCACAACCATGAATGAGCCCCACAGAATCAGAATCACTGAGCTACGTAGCTCTTTTTCAGAAGTGTTCCTGGCCACAGGTGATAGCTCAACAAAGTGGCTTATAACGTGGACATTTTATTGCAGTAAAATAATCGAACTGATCAACACGCCGTACAAGCCGAAAGCACGTGGGAGAGTTACTCACCCCTGGGTGGTTTTGCTACAGAGGGAGGCGCCTGTACAAAAGCTTTGTCCAGTGGCAGCTTTTCAGAATCGGGATCTTTATTACTGGAGGAATCCGAGGAGCTATAAAGTTCTTCTTTACAGATGTATACGGGGCCATTTCAGAGGCAGCTGTAGCATGAATTCGGGGCCCAGTCATCTTCACTCAGACGCACCTCATTCAAAGACTTCGATAACCGAGGTCTCACTTTCAAACAAACGGGGCCCCCTCTTGCTGCTGTGGCTGTCTCTTTACCGTTACCGCCACGCACACCACGAGGTTTTTAACCTCTCCCAGGAAAGCCCCATCCCTTGAGGGCAAGTGGTTCTCAACCGGGGGGGGGGGGTATGCGGACCCCTGGGGGTACGTGAAAATGTCCCAGGCGGTACGTGAGGTGGTTCATAAATGCGTGAAATTATATCACTCGTGAGACATTGGTGAATAACCACGTATGAATGTGCCAATGTAAAATGACTACGATGCATTTTAAATCCACATGGTAACCTAGAACGTTATAAAAGACCTTTTAAAACTCAATTACCGTACACAATGCGGGTTTTTCAAGCGTAACCATCGAGCTTGAACAAATTACGTCACGCGTGCAGAGCGCCCGTAGAGTTTTTCATTTTTTATTCGCTTGCCGTTACTTAGCTACGAAATGGACAATCGGCTACAATATTGATGTTCGGATGAAACAACATTAAACAAGGCGGGTACACAGGTAGCCAACGTGAGGGTTGACAACCACTCCTTTGAGGCGGTGGTGGTGCGTCTCTGGCTTTTGCGGGCTCCTTTTGGCGAGTGGCGACCACTTTTGCGGGGCATTCCCGCGCCGACGTAAACTCGGAAGGCGAGGCCGCGGCGATGAACGACGGGGGGGGGGGGGGGGACTGCGTTACGATTCACCGAGTTGTTCGCACCGTCGCTGACGCTTTTACGCCGCTCGTGTATTAGTGGGGGTTACTCACCCGCTCACTCATACACTCAATACACTCATACACTCACTCATACACTCACTCACTCATACACACTCACTCATACACTCACCCACTCACTCATACACTCACTCACCCACCCACTCACTCATACACTCACTCACTCATACACTCACTCACACACTCACTCACTCACACACTCACTCACTCATACACTCACTCATACACTCACTCACTCATACACTCACTCATACACTCACTCACTCATACACTCACTCACTCATACACTCACTCATACACTCACTCATACACTCACTCACACACTCACTCACTCATACACTCACTCATACACTCACTCATCGGGGGGCGGGAGGCGGCGATCGGGAGGTTTTGTGGCCGCGAAGAGAGGCGCGTGATACGAGCCGTCAGGGGTTCACCGCCCGTCCCCTGCCCCCCCACCTTTCGCACAGGTCGGCTGGGACAACCGCACCATGGCCTTTGACGACATGCCCGCGATGTTTGGCTACCAGCTGCCCAAGGAAGGGCTCAAGGTAACAACCCCCCCCCCCCCCCCGCACCTGCTCGCCACGAACACAGGAATGAATCGCGGGCTATGCGCGCGACTCTGTCACGTGTTCCGCAACACGCGTTTGTCCACGGAAGCGTTTGCCCGGCAAGGGCGCTTTGATGAATGTGTCCCGTCTTCTTCTGGGGAGAGTCCCTAATAGCAACGCAACTTTGTACAGTTCGACACGCAGTGGGTCCTTCCGCGACCAACAATCAAGCTTTTTCATTTTGGGTTAGGTTGGGTAAATGTTAATGCGTTAAACCCGCCACCACCCGACACGGCCAATCGGTAACATTTGTCGCGTGAAACAAAACGTGCCAATTGGTTGCGACGTGAGGCGCACCGGTTGTGCGTTGGGGAGCAAACCCACGACATTTACAATTCCGGTACCGTGACGTCGCAACACGGCAACTTTATAAAAAAACATTATATCATTCGCACTGGATCATATTTACCCGCAATGCAGACAGAATCAGAATCGGATGGGCAGCGCTCGTCCAGTCCCACTTTCTGTGCCGTTGGGAATGGACAAAGGGGGGGGGGGGGCTAAAAACCGTAACGTTCGTATTGAAGTGGTGAGTTACTAAACGTTCTTGTGTCCGTGTCACTTGTGTCTGTGTGCGCGCGTGGAGAGCGGTGGTGTGGTGATTAGCGCGCTGCGCTACGAACCCGGCGACCCGGCTTCGATTACCGCCCACGACCAGCACCAGTGATGATTATCTGACCCGGTGTAGTAAACATCGCTACTGGGGAGACAAAGGCGGTCGGGCGTGATGCTGGCCGCCCACCCCCACTTGTGCCGTGCCGGCCTTCGTAGGTGCTCCTCGCTAACAGCACTTGCCCCAACAGTCCGTTGAGGCTACACGGGGGATCTTTGTCTCTGTTTTTTTTTGTGTGCGCGTGGATGGATGAGCACTTGGCATATCTGACCAGTCACATGGGGAGTCATGTGATGCGTACACAAAGCCCCCGCTGGTCGCAGTGCGTGCTTAACAGCCACGCCGACCGCCTGCTGCTGGCACAACGCTCCGAATTTTAAGTAGATTCACTTTTGAGCGCCTTACCGAGCAAATCTCTTTTGGGAAAACGGGGCGCGGTCTGGTCGGAGCGCGGAAGCTAAGTCGTGCTGAGCCTGGCCGGTGCTTGCGTGGTTTGTCCGTCATGCACCAGCGGGGCGAGCAGAGGGCACCGCTGCCAAAAAAAAACAATCCAACGTTGTGCTGTACTTCCGTGCCCTCGACGTGCACGCGCTGTCCGCCGGCAGCAACCCCCGCACTTGCCCGACGTGGCCATGCGTGGTCAAATGATTCCCGCGTGGATCGCGTAAAGCCGCCGTGGGGAGGGCCTCATCCGGCAGGGCTCGTACGTACGCACGTTGAACTTCTTTCGCGGCGTTCGTAGCCAACCGTGCTAATCGGTGGTGCGAGTGGGGGGGGGGGGGGTGGGGAAGGACGACAAACTAAACGCAACAACAACAAGAAGCAGTTCACAAGAAACGAGTTTGTCAATCCACACGACGATTTAAGAGTGCTCGGCTCCCACTCTTCCTGACGTCGGAAGGAAGCGCGTTCCCACGCGGCCGCAGCAGCGCGTCGGCAAGCGCGCGACGGATGCGGCGTCGTCGGGGTTTGCCGCGGTCGCGGCGCTTCCGCCGCCGTTGCCGCCGTTGCCGCCGCCGGCACGAGTTTTGAAGGCGAGACGACGTGGTGGTCGGCGCGTGGGGAGAGGAACCGAGGGACGCGCGAGCGCCCGCGCCGCAAATTTCCGCGGAACCCGCGGCAAAGGGTCGCGGTAGACGGAGACGGTTCGAGAAGCGGCACGCGAAGCCGCCCGCGGCCACGCGCGTCTTTTTGGGAACGGGGCAAACCTCCCGGGGTGCGTGTGTCACGTGTCCGTCGCGCCGCGGTGCTCCCCCCCTCGCGGCTTGCCCGGCACGTGACCGCGACCGACCGCTTTCTGGCCGGATCCCGACAATCGGCCGGGAGCAGCCTCGGCTTTCTTTCCCCCGCGCGCAGACAGACGGACAAAGGTCCCCGTGTAGCCCACGGCAAGTGCCGTTGGCGAGCACCTCCTCTAAGGCCAGCGTGTGGCACCACGATGGGGCGCGTGGCCAGCACTACGCCCGGCTACGTTTGTCTCCTGAAGACACACCGCACCAGGTGCTCGTTTAAGGCTGAGTCGACCTGGACCGGTTAAAATGTTCGCCGTCACTGTTGTTGGTCGTCAGTGGGTATTTGAACCCGGGTCGCCGGGTTCGTAGCGCGCTGCACTGACCACTGCGCCAACAACTCGCCACGTTCGCACGCGTAGATACACCCACACGGAAACACGCACACAGAGGCAGACACGTGCACGCGCACAGCAGCCAGCTTTCGCCGCTCAGTGGCGGTGACATCACTACGGCGCTTGTGCCAGGCTAGGTGCACTCTGAGGCCATGTGAATTGTGGAAGGCTTGCTGGCAGGAGCTCACGGAAGGACGACAATCGCCATCTCAACCAAGTGCACGATCGCACACACAGAGGCAAAGACGAAGATACCCCATATAGCCTGAACAGACTGTTAGGTCAAGTGCTGTTAGCGAGCAACTATTTCAGTTTCAGTTTCTTTATTTTGGTATAGCCCTGTGAGCCATTCGGCTCTTGAATCGGGTGCAACCACAACAAACAAAAAAACACGAACAAGAAAATATCTTAAAGTGACCATGTGTGACTGTGCAAACAGAAAATCCAGGGAAAAAACCAGCAAAAATATTCCTGAAAAAAAGCACCGTACACCAACGCTGTGTGCAAAAAGGGCGGAACGGCACACGAGGGGGTGGGTAGCCAACACCACGCCCGGCCGCCTTTGTCTCCCCAGTGGTGATGTTTCACACCACACCAGGTACTCATTCGAGGCTGAGTCGACCTAGGTGTGGACCAGGACCGGTTCAGATAATCGTCACTGGTGTTGGTCGGGAGCGGCAATCGAACTCTGGTCGCTGGGTCTGTAGTGCAGCGTAGCGCTAACCGCTACTGCTCCGCACTCACGCTCACGGACGAACACGCGCGCACACACGGACAACCGTGCGCACACACACACACACGGACGAACACACACACACACGGACAACCGTGCGCACACACACACACACGGACGAACACACACACACGGACGAACACACACACACACGGACGAACACACACACACGGACGAACACACACACACGGACGAACACACACACACAGACGAACACACACACATACATGGACGAACACACACACATACACAGACGAACACACACACACACACGGACGAACACACACACATACACAGACGAACACACACACACAGACGAACACATACACAGACGAACACACACACACACAGACGAACACACACACATACACAGACGAACACACACACACAGACGAACACACACACATACCCAGACGAACACACACACACACAAGGACGAACACACACACATACACAGACGAACACACACACATACATGGACGAACACACACATACACAGACGAACACACACACATACACAGACGAACACACACATACACAGACGAACACACACACATACACAGACGAACACACACACACACACAGACGAACACACACACATACACAGACGAACACACACACACACACAAGGACGAACACACACACATACACAGACGAACACACACACATACATGGACGAACACACACACATACACAGACGAACACACACACACACACAGACGAACACACACACACACACAGACGAACACACACACATACACAGACGAACACACACACACAGACGAACACACACACATACACAGACGAACACACACACATACACAGACGAACACACACGCATACATGGACGAACACACACGCATACATGGACGAACACACACACATACATGGACGAACACACACACATACACAGACGAACACATACACAGACGAACACACACACGGACGAACACACACATGGACGAACACACACAGACGAACACACACAGACGAACACACACACATACACAGACGAACACACACAGACGAACACACACACACACAGACGAACACACACACACAGACGAACACCGACGTCGCACGCGTTGCCCGTTCAGCCCTCGTGTTAATTCGTTGCTGTACGAGGGCCTCCTCCCTTGCCATTGCGAGTAGTTGACTTTTTTTCTTTCTGCACCGTACATCACCACGTCGGGCGTTGCGGGTTAGCAAAGGCGGCGGTGGGGCATAGACGTTGGCGCAGCAGTACAGTACGACGAGGGATTTGTTTTGCTTGCCGCGCCGCTCTTCCGCTGCTCGCAAGCTCGCGGTGTGCCGGGGCGGTCCGGCGAAACGGCCCCCCCCCCTCCCCTCCCCCCCCTCCCCCCCCCCCCCCGTGGCCGTGCTGCAATGCGCGGAGAAGCCGGGGCGCTCAGAGCCGTCGTCGCCTCTCTCTCCCCCCCGCCGCAGGGCTACCTGGTCTACGCCAGGCCGGCCAACGCCTGCCAGCCCATCGCTCCTCCGCCGCACAACAGCACCGCCGCCTCCACCTTCATCGTGCTCGTCAGGCGATACGACTGCAACTTTGACGTGAAGGTGAGCGCTGGCGGGGGCGGTGGTGGTGCTGGGCGAGGTCGGGGGGTGGGGTACTGGGGTCCCCACAGCGTGCCCACCCTGGGCTTTTTACCACAGCCCGCTCGCCTGACAACAAGCGTAGGGTCGGACGAGCAATCGGGGAGCAGGCCAAGGCCTCCCGCTGGTGCGGAGAGGCCTCCGCGGCCATTGGTCGGGAGGCAAGATTGATAGGGATTGGAGGAAACAATTTGAAAGGTGGAAAGGGGCGGGCGGGAAGCAGAGGGGCGGACTGCAGAAGGACGGTTGAGAGCCGTTGGTGGGGAAGGGTCAGGATTGGACGAAGAGAGTTGGGATGATGGAAGCTTCCGGAGAGAGGGGGGCTTGGGAGGTATGAAAGGGGCACGGCACAAGGAGAGCTGTGAGACGTTGGAGAAGAGACGGAGCTCAAGCTCAGTCAGAATCAGAGGTCCCGGGCATCGTTAGTGTGCTGTCTGAATGAAGGCTCTTAAAAAAAAAGTCACAAGGTGCGTCGGCACTCGCTTTCATCACCGGTGTGTGCCCATCCAGAGCAGCTGGCTGGGGTCGGCCTTGTGCACGGTCGCAGCCTTCCATCCGGCCTTTTGGGCGTTCCATCCGGCCTTTTGGGCGCCAGCGTCGCCCTCACCGGGGTCGGAACCCGTCGCCCGTGGTCTCGGGCCGCATCGACGGCGGCGTTCGGGGATCTTCGTTCAGCCTCGGACCAATTTCGTCATCGGTTGCTTTTGGGTCGCATTGCTGGGCGGGTATTATAATAACCCCCCCCCGCCACCGCGCGACGGAGCCAATGAAAAGCAGCAAGCCGTCGCGTCACGGGGGAAAACACGGCAATCGATTTTGTCAGCGAAGATGCCGGGGGGGCTTGGGGGGGGCGGGGGGGGTGGAGGGTGGTTGCAGGGTAGAATGTTGAAGAGCGGGCCACATTTTTCCCCGTTGCACTTTTCATACGCCGGAGGTCCTGGGCGTGAGAAACGAGTGTCCTGTGACCGCTGTGCGGACGAACCGGTCCAGCAACTGCCGTTCGCCGCCGCTCGATTGCTTGTGATTGGTGGGATTTAGATTGGTGGTCGGGTTTAGATTGGTGTGAGACGGTGACTATTTTTGGCGGTTGTTGCGAATAGGCTGTCTGGAATGATGTGGAGGCAACGTTGTGCTCGTATTGACGCTGCAGCTCGAATGCCGTTGTGGTTCTAGGTCAGGCTTCGTTGTTTGATAGGGTTAGTTAATTAGTGCAATGGGGGATCGGCACTTGCGATGAATTTAATGAAACGGGTCAGTTGAAGAGATTGTTGGAGTTGACGTTGTTATCGCCGACGATCAGTTGGTTAAGTGTAGATGGCTGGAGTCGCCCGTTGCCGTTACGAATTTAGTTCGGCGTTGCTCTAAACCCTTTCCCGTTCCGATGACGGAAAAAAATCCACGTGACCAGCGGTGGGAAAACACTCAAGCCCGCGGTCGGACCCACGACCTCCCGCATACCAGGCGAGGGAGTGAACATCCTCCTCGCTGCCGACGGCCGCCCCTGCGCGTGCCGTTGCCCAGCACGCGCCGGTGGCGGTCGCGACCGCGGTCACCGAGCGGCGGCCAAGGGCACGAACGTGCGAGCAGGAAAATCCCGCTCTTCAGTCGCAGCGACCCTGATTGGTTGTCTGCCTGGGTAGGGTCACGAGAACCGCGCCTCACCGTGTTGTCGATGCTGCTGCTGCTGTGCCCGTGTGCGTGTGTGTGTGTGCGTGCGTATGTGCGTGTGTGCGTGCATGTGTGCGTGTGTGTGTGCGTGCGTGTGTGCGTGCGTGTGTGTGTGCGTGCGTGTGTGCTTGCGCACCTAGGTTCTGAATGCCCAAAAGGCCGGATTCAAGGCTGCGATTGTGCACAACGTCGACTCCAACCAGCTGCTCAGCATGGGCACCAGTGATGGTAGTGAAATGCACTCATTTCCATCCTCACGTGCCGACTCATCTCTCTCGCCAGTGTGATCAAAGTCTTAGTTACCTTGTTAAAACCTCCCTCCCTCTCCTCCCTCTCTCTTCTCCCTCCCTCCCTCTCCTCCTTCCCTCTCCTCCCTCCCTCTCCTCCCTCTCCTCTCCTCCCTCTCCTCTCCTCCCTCTGCTCTCCTCCCTCCGTCCGTCTGTCCGTAGCCGACATCTGGAAGAAGATTGACATCCCCTCGGTGTTTGTGGGGCAGAGCACGGCCAACCTCCTTCTCGAGGAGTTTGTGTACGACGTCGGGTGAGCATGTGGGGACGAGCTGGCGGCACGGCGTGTGCTGCGGTGTGCAGCGTGTGCAGGGTGCAGCGTGTGCAGGGTGCAGCGTGTGCAGGGTGCAGCGTGTGCAGGGTGCAGCGTGTGCAGCGTGTGCAGCGTGTGCAGGGTGCAGCGCGTGCGGTCTGTGCGGTGAGCTGTTTGTGCGGCATGTGCAGGGTGCAGCCTGTGCGGTGCGTGCAGTGAGCGGTGTGTGCGGCCTGTGCAGCGAGTGGAGCGAGTGCAGCGAGCGGAGCGTGTGCAGCGAGCAGAGCGTGTGCAGCGGCGACGGAGACTGATGACGATTGCCCCCCTCCTCCTCTGCGTAGAGGCCACGTGGTGCTAACGCCGGACTTCTCCATTCCGCTCGAGTACTACCTCATCCCCTTCCTCGTCATCGTCGGCATCTGCTTCATCCTCCTCGTCGTGTTCTTGGTGCGCAAGCCGCGGCGCGACGGCTCCGGTGGCGGTCGTCCCTCTCCGGTGGGGGGTTGGGGGCGGTGGCGGTCGTACCGAGCGGCGCTCGGCAAAGGCGCCGCGACGTTTTGCACCGAGTGCCGAGAACTTTGTAGGCACGCACGACGACGTTGACGACGACGATGTCGACGATGATGTTGATGGTGACGACGATGACGATGTCGACGATGACGATGTCGACGACGATGATGATGTCGACGATGATGACGATGTCGATGTTGATGACGACGACGATGTCGATGGCGATGACGACGAGGATGACGATGGCGATGTCGACGATGGCGATGTCGACGATGACGACGATGACGACGTCGATGTCGACGGCGATGTCAATGACGACGATGTTGACGACGTCGACGATGTCGACGATGACGATGATGTCGATGTTGATGACGACGATGACGATGTCGATGGCGATGACGACGAGGATGACGATGGCGATGTCGACGACAATGACGACGATGTTGACGACGTCGACGATGTCGACGATGACGACGATGACGCTGCACGTTGTGAACGCGCCGTGCGCTCTCGCCGCCGCAGGTGGTGAAGGTGATGAGGGACCGCAGGAGGGCGCGCAGGAACCGCCTTGCCCGGGAACAGCTGCAGAAGCTGCCCATTCACAAGTTCAAAAAAGGTGCGCCTGCACGCGAACGTGTGTGCGCGTGTTTGTAAAGGACGCTGCTGCTGCTGCTACTGGGCAGTTGGAGGCGGTCGCCCTCCAGCAACAGCTGGAGGGCGGAGGAGCTCACGACAACGAGCGGAGCCCCGGGGCGGATAAAACCCAGAGTTGGCACAGTGGGGAGCGCGGTTGGTGCATCGGCCAGTCATCTCGGTCGGTCAACCCATGGCACCTGGGTCTGTTCACCTGGTCCTAAAGTGCACCTAGCCTGGCGCAAGCGCCGTGGTGACGTCACCGCCACTTGGTGGTGAACGGCGGTTACGTTATGTGCGTGTTTGTCCCTATTGCTTGTGTACGTGCGTCTGTGTGCGTCTGTGTGTGTCTGTGTGCGTCTGTGTGCGTCTGTGTGCGTCTGTGTGCGTCTGTGTGCGTCTGTGTGCGTCTGTGTGCGTCTGTGTGCGTCTGTGTGCGTCTGCGTGCGTCTGCGTGCGTCTGTGTGCGTCTGTGTGCGTCTGTGTGCGTCTGTGTGCGTCTGTGTGTGTCTGTGTGCGTCTGCGTGTTGGGGATTGGAGTGGCGGCGCAGTGCTTCCAGGCCACAGCCAACATCAGCCGCGGTTATTTGAACCATTTCTGGCCCTCCCCTAGGTCGACTTAGCCCGAGGATTGAGCGCTTGGTGTGGTGTGTATAAACATGAGCAGCGGGGAGACGAAGGCGGCCGGGCGCACGGTACCGGCCACGCCCCCCACCCTCTCGTGTGCCCTGTCGGCCTTCAGAGGCGCTGCTCGCTAACCGCACTTGCCCCAGCAGCCTGTTGGGGCCGGTGCGGGTGCACGGGGGATCTTTGCCTTTGTACGCACACGGGGAGCGGTGGCTCAGCGGCTAGTGCACTCGCGGCCAGCAGCGGCGTCTGTGCGGCCCGCGGCGTGGTGCCGGCCACACCCTTGGCGCGCTGGGGGCCGGGGGCATTGGTGCCGCACAGGCTACATGGTCGGGGGGGCACCTTTGTCTCGTGTGCAGGGGACCCGTACGAGGTTTGTGCCATCTGCCTGGACGAGTACCTGGAAGGGGACAAGCTGCGTGTGCTGCCCTGCTCGCACGGTACCCCCACGCCGCAGCACACCACTCAACCACACCACTCAACCACACCACTCAACCACACCACTCAACCACACCACTCACCCACACCACTCAACCACACCACTCAACCACACCACTCAACCACACCACTCAACCACACCACTCAACCACACCACTCAACCACACCACTCAACCACACCACTCAACCACACCACTCAACCACACCACTCAACCACACCACTCAACCACACCACTCAACCACACCACTCAACCACACCGTCACCCACAGCACACCACTCAACCACACCACTCAACCACACCACTCAACCACACCATCACCCAGAGCACACCACTCACCCACACCACTCAACCACACCATCACCCACACCATCACCCACAGCACACCACTCAACCACACCATCACCCACACCATCACCCACAGCACACCACTCAACCACACCATCACCCACAGCACACCACTCACCCACACCATCACCCACACCATCACCCACAGCGTACCACTCAACCACACCATCACCCACACCATCACCCACAGCACACCACTCAACCACACCATCACCCACAGCACACCACTCAACCACCCCATCACCCACAGCACACCACTCAACCACACCATCACCCACACCATCACCCACAGCACACCACTCAACCACACCATCACCCACACCATCACCCACAGCACACCATTCAACCACACCATCACCCACAGCACACCACTCACCCACACCATCACCCACACCATCACCCACAGCGTACCACTCAACCACACCATCACCCACAGCACACCACTCAACCACACCATCACCCACAGCACACCACTCAACCACACCATCACCCACAGCACACCACTCAACCACACCATCACCCACACCATCACCCACAGCACACCACTCAACCACACCATCACCCACACCATCACCCACAGCGTACCACTCAACCACACCATCACCCACACCATCACCCACAATGTACTACTCAACCACACCATCACCCACACCATCACCCACAATGTACTACTCACCCACAGCACACCACTCAACCACACCACTCAACCACACCACTCACCCACACCACTCAACCACACCACTCAACCACACCGTCACCCACACCATCACCCACAGCACACCACTCAACCACACCACTCAACCACACCACTCAACCACACCATCACCCAGAGCACACCACTCACCCACACCACTCAACCACACCATCACCCACACCATCACCCACAGCACACCACTCAACCACACCATCACCCACACCATCACCCACAGCACACCACTCAACCACACCATCACCCACAGCACACCACTCACCCACACCATCACCCACACCATCACCCACAGCGTACCACTCAACCACACCATCACCCACACCATCACCCACAGCACACCACTCAACCACACCATCACCCACAGCACACCACTCAACCACCCCATCACCCACAGCACACCACTCAACCACACCATCACCCACACCATCACCCACAGCACACCATTCAACCACACCATCACCCACAGCACACCACTCACCCACACCATCACCCACACCATCACCCACAGCGTACCACTCAACCACACCATCACCCACAGCACACCACTCAACCACACCATCACCCACAGCACACCACTCAACCACACCATCACCCACAGCACACCACTCAACCACACCATCACCCACACCATCACCCACAGCACACCACTCAACCACACCATCACCCACACCATCACCCACAGCGTACCACTCAACCACACCATCACCCACACCATCACCCACAATGTACTACTCAACCACACCATCACCCACACCATCACCCACAATGTACTACTCACCCACAGCACACCACTCAACCACACCATCACCCACAGCATCACCCACAATGTACCACTCAACCACACCATCACCCACAGCATACCACTCAACCACACCATCACCCACAGCATACCACTCACCCACAGCATACCACTTACCCACACCATCACCCACAGCATACCACTCAACCACACCATCACCCACACCATCACCCACAGCATACCACTCAACCACACCATCACCCACAATGTACCACTCAACCACACCATCACCCACACCTTCACCCACAGCGTACCGCTCGCCCACACCTTCACCCACAGCGTACCACTCACCCACAGTGTACCGCTCTCCCACAGCATACCACTCAACCACACCATCACCCACAATGTACTACTCGCCCACAGCGTACCCACAGCATACCGCTCGCACACACCTTCACCAACAGCGTACCACTCGCCCACACCGTCACCAATCCACACCATCACCCACACTCACACCATCACCCACAGCGTACCACTCTCCCACAGCGTACCACTCATCCACAGCGTACCACTCACCCACACCGTCACCCATCCACACCATCACTCACACCATTACCCACAGCGTACCACTCTCCCACAGCGTACCACTCACCCACACCGTCACCCACAGCGTACCACTCGCCCACACCGTGACCCATCCACACCATCACCCACACTCACATCATCACCCACAGCGTACCGCTCACCCACAGCGTACCGCTCACCCACACCGTCACCCATCCACACCGTCACCCACAGCGTACCACTCACCCACAGCATACCGCTCAACCACACCGTCACCCATCCACATCATCACCCACAGCATACCGCTCACCCACACCGTCACCCATCCACACCGTCACCCATCCACCCCGTCACCCACAGCGTACCACTCTCCCGAACCGTCACCCACACAGCCTCCCGCGCTGTCACCCGCAGCGTACCACTGCAAGTGCGTGGACCCGTGGCTCACCGGCTCGAAGCGCACCTGCCCCGTGTGCAAGCGCCGCGTGATTCCCTCGCGGCGGCGGCGGCGCCGGCGGCTCGGCGCCCCGGAGAGCGACTCGTCGGGCTCGGAGCCGTCGAGCGACTCGTCCCCGCCGTCGCCCTCGTCGCCCTCCGACTCCGGGCCGGAGGAGCCGCGGGAGGGCGAGCGCACCCCGCTCCTGCGCTCCGGCCGCTCCTCGTTCGGTTCCATGGCCCCCGGGGCCCCCTCCCCGGCCGCCGTCCGGCGGCAGGAGGAGCGCCGGCGGCGGCGGCGGCGCCGGCAGCGTCGTCACGGCGACGGCGACGCCTCCGACGGAGGGGACCGGCGGCGTCCGGAGCGCGAGGACCCGCGGGGTCGGGCGGCGGCGGCGGCGGCGGCGGGCGTCCTCTCCGCCTCTCCGTCGTCGTCCGTGGCCTCCTCCACCTCTTCGTCGACGGTGTCCACCTCGTCGGAGTTCGACAGGAGCGAGGGGCGGGGGGCCGCGGCCGAGGGGGGAGGGGACCGCGGCGCCGACGCCGTCGTTCCCGCCGCCGCGCCGGCGCTCGCCGGCGGCGCTCCGCCGGGAGCCGCCGGCGAAGAGGAGCGCCCGGCTCCGGCGGCGCCGGGCGCTCGCGACGTGGTCACCGTCCAGGTGGAGAAACACGAGGATTCCCTCACAGGCCGGGGCCAGCTGCAGCACGTGTGATGGGGGCTGTGAGGCGTACGCGTCTGCGTGCGTGCGGTTGCGTGTGCGCGCGCACGTGGGGAGCGGTGGTGCAGCGGTTAGCGCGCTACGCTGCGCTACGAACCTGGCGACCCGAGTTCGATTGCCGCTCACGGCCACCATCGGTGACGATTATCGGAACCGGTCCTGGGCTTCCCCGTAGGTCGACTCCGCCTCAAATGAGTACCTGGTGCGGTGTGTAAAACATCGCTACTAGGGAGACAAAGGCGGCCGGGCGTGGTGTTGGCCACCCATCCCCTTGTGTACTGCACCAGCCTTTCATAGGTGCTCGCTAACAGCACTTGCCCCAACAGTCTGTTAAGGCTACACGGGGAGGTTGAGTGCGTGTGTGTGTGTGCTTCTATCTGTGTGCATTGTATGTATGTATGTGTGCGCGTCTCTGTGTGCTGTTGTGTGTCTGCCGTCTGTAATTCTGGCTGTGTAAGGAGTGGCGTTGGCTTGGGTTCGCGCTCTGCGCTACGAAACCCGGTGGCCTGAGTTTCAATTCCCAGCAGCCACTGCCAACGTCTTTCCCTCTCCTCGGTCAACCCGGCCTTAAACGAGTGCACGGCTGCTGTGTAAACACAAGCACTGGGGGAGACAAAAGCCGCAGCTGGCCATGGTGCCGGCCACACCAACCCATCGTGAGACGTTGCCGGTCTTCGTAGGTGCTCGCTAACGGCGCTTGCCCCAACGGCCCGTGCAGGCTTCCACGGGGAGGCGGGAGGGGGCTGGGGCGATCGTTGTCTTTGCTACTCGGCCGTGTGTGAGTGTGGAGATGAAAACAATTGGGAATTTTAACAGGAATCGTAATTTTGTGTTGAAATGGAGCAAAGCCAAAATTATACCGCGTGTGATTGGCCCGTGGTGCAAATGCACGACAATAGTCGTGCCCTGATTGGTTGAGACGGATCTTATAAGCAGTTCTATTCCTACCCTGTTCACTGCTCGCAGGGGCTGTGATGTACCGGTGCGGTCGCTGCGACCTTAGCGGTGCGGTCGCTGCGACCTTACCTGTGGGGTCGCTGCGACCTTACCTGTGAGGTCGCTGCGACCTTACCTGTGAGGTCGCTGCGACCTTAATGGTGAGGTCGCTGCGACCTTAATGATGCGGTCGCTGCGACCTTAACGGTGCGGTCGCTGCGACCTTAACGGTGCGGTCGCTGCGACCTTACCTGTGAGGTCGCTGCGACCTTAATGGTGAGGTCGCTGCGACCTTACCTGTGAGGTCGCTGTGACCTTAACGGTGAGGCCGCTGCGACCTTAACGGTGCGGGTCGCTGCGACCTTACCTGTGAGGTCGCTGCGACCTTAATGGTGAGGTCTCTGCGACCTTAATGGTGAGGTCTCTGCGACCTTACCTGTGAGGTCTCTGCGACCTTACCTGTGAGGTCGCTGCGACCTTAACGGTGCGGTCGCTGTGACCTTAACGGTGCGGTTGATATGACCTTAACGGTGAGGTCGCTGCGACCTTAACGGTGCGGTTGATATGACCTTAACGGTGCGGTCGCTGTGACCTTAACGGTGCGGTTGATATGACCTTAACGGTGAGGTCGCTATTCTGTTCACGTGCAGGCCATGCTGGCAGGGGCCGTGTTCACTTGCATGTCTTACTACGCGTCGTCGTCTTCGTCGTCTTCGTCGTCTTCGTCGTCGTTATCGCGTCACACTCGGTCGCTTTTGAACGGCTTGATTATAAAATTCCACTTTTGCAGTTGGGGGAGAGCGGTGGCGCACCGGTTGGCGCTCCGCACTGGGTGATCCCCGCAGCCACCGGTGGCGAGCGATTTACATGAACCGGGCGTGAGGTGGGGGGGCACCCAGGGGGGCACCCACCCCCACCCCTCGCCAAGCCGCGCCCAACGAGAGCCGTCGACCGACGCGGCACGGGTGGCCGGGGGCGGTGTGAACGGTAACGAGTTTCCGGCGTCTCGCGGCTCTCCCCTTCGACGCCCTGCCGGCTATTCCGTTCGGCGCGGGAGCGCCGCTGCTACGCCGCGTTCGCTTCGCCGGCGGTGTGGTGGGGTTGCGCGCCGGCGGAGTGCCGCGGTTGACCTCGCCGGCCGGCGAAGTGACGGCCGGTTAAGCGTCCGTCAGCCGCGGCGGCCTAACGCCGTAGGCCACGGGAGGCATGGCGGGGGGGGGGCGGGGGTGGGGGGGAGTGAAACGGTGACGTGGGCTTCCCCTTCCGTCTCTCCGCGCCGGTGGTTCGCGAGCCTCGGGCAGCGCCCCCACCCACTGTCGGTCCCGGGTCATTTTAATTTTGAGAGCGTTGCACGAGCGGCCTGCAGCCACCGCCGCCGCCGCCGCCCTCCCGAGGGGCTGGCGGTGGCGGCGAATCCCTCGGTTGTGCCGGACCGTCGCCCCGTCCCTCCACTCTTCTCTGTTCAGGTTGCGGTGTCGGGGGGTCGTCGTCACGAGGAGGGGTTGTGAGTCCGGAGGCCTCTGTCCCCACGCTGGGGCGAGGCAGGGAAGGGAAGGCGTCTCTCTCTCTCTCTCTCGTGCGTGCGTGTCTCGAGCGTAACTGGAATCGCTGGAACTCTGCGAAGCAACTCTGGTGATGTAAGGAAATTGAGCGTTTAACACAGTGGTGGTGGTGGTGGTGGGGGTATGTTGTTGTGGGGGGGGGGGGGGAGCGCATTCGCCCGTCTAGCGTGGGCCCCGGTGCGAGAAATGAAACGGGGTTGGGGTGGGGGCCCCTCCTCAGATAGCCCCGACCCACCCCCGCGCCTTCGGCCCGTCAGGCCGAAGGCGTGCTGGCCCCTGCGGCCGTCGTCCCGCGGCCTCGGTCGGGGGCCCGGCGCTCGTTGATTTGAATGCCTCGTGGTCGTCGTCGTCGTCTGTTGCCGTGGGTCGCACGGACGCGGGTTTGTTATTGACGTCCCGCCGAGGTTGAGCCCGCGCGAGGAGCGTTCGTGTTCACCCTGGCTGAGTTCGTGTTCACCCTGGCTGTGTCTGTGTTCACCCTGAGTCTGTGTTCACCCTGACTGAGTCCGTGTCCACCCTGAGTCCGTGTTCACCCTGGCTGAGTTCGTGTTCACCCTGGCTGAGTCTGTGTTCACCCTGGCTGTGTCTGTGTTCACCCTGGCTGTGTCTGTGTTCACCCTGAGTCCGTGTTCACCCTGACTGTGTCTGTGTTCACCCTGACTGTGTCTGTGTTCACCCTGAGTCCGTGTTCACCCTGACTGTGTCTGTGTTCACCCTGACTGAGTCTGTGTTCACCCTGACTGTGTCTGTGTTCACCCTGAGTCCGTGTTCACCCTGACTGTGTCTGTGTTCACCCTGAGTCCGTGTTCACCCTGACTGTGTCTGTGTTCACCCTCACACTCTGTCCGTGTTCACCCTGACTGTGTCTGTGTTCACCCTGAGTCCGTGTTCACCCTGACTGTGTCTGTGTTCACCCTCACACTCTGTCCGTGTTCACCCTCACTGTGTCTGTGTTCACCCTCACACTCTGTCCGTGTTCACCCTGACTGTGTCTGTGTTCACCCTGACTGAGTCTGTGTTCACCCTGACTGAGTCTGTGTTCACCCTGAGTCCGTGTTCACCCTGACTGTGTCTGTGTTCACCCTGAGTCCGTGTTCACCCTGACTGTGTCTGTGTTCACCCTCTCACTCTGTCCGTGTTCACCCTGACTGTGTCTGTGTTCACCCTGACTGAGTCTGTGTTCACCCTGACTGTGTCTGTGTTCACCCTGAGTCCGTGTTCACCCTGACTGTGTCTGTGTTCACCCTGACTGAGTCTGTGTTCACCCTGACTGTGTCTGTGGTCACCCTGAGTCCGTGTTCACCCTGACTGTGTCTGTGTTCACCCTGAGTCCGTGTTCACCCTGACTGTGTCTGTGTTCACCCTCACACTCTGTCCGTGTTCACCCTGACTGTGTCTGTTCACCCTGAGTCCGTGTTCACCCTGACTGTGTCTGTGTTCACCCTCACACTCTGTCCGTGTTCACCCTGACTGTGTCTGTGTTCACCCTCACACTCTGTCCGTGTTCACCCTGACTGTGTCTGTGTTCACCCTGACTGAGTCTGTGTTCACCCTGACTGAGTCTGTGTTCACCCTGAGTCCGTGTTCACCCTGACTGTGTCTGTGTTCACCCTGAGTCCGTGTTCACCCTGATTGTGTCTGTGTTCACCCTCACACTCTGTCCGTGTTCACCCTGACTGTGTCTGTGTTCACCCTCACACTCTGTCCGTGTTCACCCTGAATGTGTCTGTGTTCACCCTGACTGAGTCTGTGTTCACCCTGACTGAGTCTGTGTTCACCCTGAGTCTGTGTTCACCCTGAGTCTGTGTTCACCCTGAGTCTGTGTTCACCTTGACTGAGTCTGTGTTGACCCTGACTGAGTTTGTGTTGACCCTGACTGAGTCTGTGTTCACCCTGACTGAGTCTGTGTTCACCCTCACACTCTGTCCGTGTTCACCCTGACTGAGTCTGTGTTCACCCTGACTGAGTCTGTGTTCACCCTCGCGCTGCGTCCGTGTTCACCCTGGCTGAGTTCGTGTTCACCCTCACGCTGTCCACGCTCGCGGTTCCCAATAAACTCCCCCTAACCCGAGAGGAGAGAGAGCGGCGGCGACGCCGGCTGTTTGCGAGTGGTGCTCCTTCGTACGATCCGGCACACCACGTCCAGGATACCACGACCAACCCCCCCACGCCATCCCATGTATTGTGGTTGCCGAGCGTCGGCCGAAAAGGCCTCCCCGAAAGGAGGAGGAGGAATGAGAAGAAGGGGAAATAAACCACGGGCCAGCGGCACGCCGGGATGGTGCAAACGGCTGGGTTGGTGATTCTCGGCAGTGAGCGCGAGGGTTTCGGGATAAGAGCTCGGGGGAGGAGAGGTTCATGGGAGGTTAATGGGAGGGAATTCCACCACGGGCGAGCCGCTGAAACTCATCACAGGCCGGCGGCGGCGGCTGCTGTTGCTGCTGCTGCTGCTGCCCGAGAGTGTTCGTCGGTGCGACGTCGACCAAACTACAAACGACGTTTTTATTTCAGCAGCTAAGGCGACACTGAGCTGGTACGTCGCTACTTCGGAAGCGACCCTGGCAAATGACGGCTGGACGAAGTGGGCTAGTCGTCGTCGCTCGGACTTGTACGCAGGCAGACAAATACTCTGAACGCGTGACGTCGATTCGAAACGTGGCCACAAATAATGGCTCAACGTCATGGCTTATCACGTGGAGATGTATTGCAGCCGAACACTCTAAACGCACGGCGATTCTAAATGTCGAGGGGGAATAAACCGAAGGAGCCGGAGAAAAATCCACGCGACCACGGGGAGAGAGAGAGACGGGCAAACTCCAAATACACAGCAGGTGTCGGGGTCGGTATCGAACCCACGAACTCCTGTATACCAGGCGAGGTGGTTAACATCTCCTAGACACCGTGATGATGATGAGAGAGAGAGACACGCAAACTCCAAATACACAGCAGGCGTCGGGGGCGGTATCGAACCCACGACCTCCTGCATACCAGGCGAGGTAGTTAACATCTCCTAGCCACCGTGGCACCGATATTGTATCCGATGTAGTAGCGGCGGCACTGGCAGCATACAGGGCCACGCGTCTCGCCTGGCTACGGGGCCCGATCCTGTGATTTGAGGGCAGGGTAATGGTGACACCGCTGACCCACGCAAGAGCCTACCGCGCCGTGCGGTCCTCATTTTTCCTGCTCGGTGTCCATGCCGCAGCCGGACTGAGGCCCACAAACGCGCTCCACTGCGCCACGGTCTGGGACCAAGTCCCCCCGGGGACTTCTGGTGGCTCGCAGCCGCGTCGCGTCCCACTTGCGTCGCCTGCCTTCCAGTAGACGCGTTGGCAGCAACGGTGGGTTTGGGTTGAGCCCGAAACGTCGTGATTTGTTTTATTTTCTACCCACGTGACTTTACCGAAAGAACCAAAGAGTATGGGTTCCTGCAGTCGCGAAAGCTTCAAATTAAGATTAGAATGAATATTATTAAAAAAAAAACATGATTTTCTGGGATTTTTTTTTGCCAGTATCAAAGTGTGATTTTTTTTTCATATTTATCATGCGCAGTAATAATAGGTGTTTACCCCTTTCTGGAAATAAAACGGCAGGTGTTAAAGATGTCCAGACACCAAATAGAAACCCTATTGAACGGAATGAAGTCAAAATTTTGATTTAAAGCTTTCGTGACTGCAGGGATTCATATTCTTGGATCTTCTACGTGACTTTACCGAAGGAGTGAAGTCTGTCGGTAACACGGCACTTGCGGGGAACATGCGAACAAACGTGCTCCGATTATACATGGCATTGTCTTCAATAAACAATCCATATATTCTTGGTTCTTTCGGTAAAGTCACGTAGAAGGGAAACACAATAATAAAAAATATAAAAAACAATAAAATTATCACGACGTTTCGACTGCAACACAAGCAATCATCAGGTGTGAAAACCACAGAAAATTTTACAATTTTTCTTGCTGTAGTTTTCACACATGATGATGATTGCTTGTGTTGCAGTGGAAACGTGATAATTGTATTGTTTTACATTTAAAAATTTTCTTGCTGTTGTTTTCACACCTGATGATGATTGCTTGTGTTGGAGTCGAAACGTGATAATTGTATTGTTTTATATTTTGTATTATTTTGTTTCCCTTCTACGTGACTTTACCGAAAGAACCAAGGATATGAATCCCTGCAGTCACGAAAGCTTTAAATCAAAATGTAATCCATATATAATTATAATTTATCAGAGCGTTTTTGTATGTTCACTACAAGTATCGCGTGTGTTTAATGCAGTACTTGATTCCTTGCAAAAAGGTGTCCGTTTGGTGTTTGAACATCTTAACACGATCTCGATTTGCAGCTTTCGTGACTGCAGGAATCCATACTCTTTGGTTATTTTGGTAAAGTCATCACGTAGGTAGAAGCAGTGCCAATACATGATCAGTGTTGTCTTTTTGTTTGCATTTTGACTGCAAGTGTTGTGGTTAACGCAAGCATGATCCCTTGTAAAAAGGTAACAGTTTTGTTGCCAGATAAAAGGGTAAACACCTATTATACGTTTTATTGCCAGAAAGGGTAAATACCTAATATTATTATTAGTCATGATTGATTGCCTACAGTATAAGTTCGACAAACTCCAGATGTGCTCTTTTGTTTCTGTGCGGCGGTCTGAAGCCCCCTTTGTTGGGGTCTGATGCGCCTTATTAAAACGTAAAATAGATAACCATCATCACCACCATGGCCAGCTGAAGCGGCACAAGTATCTTACTGCAATAAATAAAAGTGTGTCGTTAACCCACCACCACCCGACACGGCCAATTCACTCCGGGGTTGTCACGTGAAACAAAACGGGGCGATTGGTTTACAACAGCGCACACCGGGTTGTGTGTTTTGAGAGTTAATCCACGACGCACATTCACGTGATCTGACTCAAAACACACATTTTTCACGAGTAATATTGGTCGCAAAACGCCGTCGTTTTGGGGGCATTGCAGGATGTGTTTGGGCGCGGTTTGTGCCCTTATGCCTCTAAAAACCGAGCTCCGAGACAGCCGAGGTAGCCGTCCGTAATTGACGGGAGTGCGAAATTTACCTTTGGTTTGTTTGAAACCGAGAGCGAAAGAGAGGGGTTTCGTCTGGGAGTCTTAACTAACTCCTACTAACATTTAAGAAAAAAAAATGTTTAACCAGGTAAGGCCCACTGAGCTATACACGGCTCGTTTTCAGAAGCAACCTGGCCGCATATGATAGCTCAAGGAAGTGGCTTGCCGTTGTCATCACCTGGAAATGCACAGCAGCAACCAAATAATCGCGTGATGTCGATTCCACACGCGGAGGGGGAAAAACCGGAGGACCCGGAGAAAAATCCACGCGACCACGGGGAGAGAGAGACACGCAAACACCAAATATACAGCAGCAGCAGCAGGCGTCATCATGGTCGGGATGGAACCCACGACCTCCTGTACACCAGGCGAGGTAGTTAACATCTCTTAGCCACCGCGGAGTCCGGGATTGAGCTGCTGCTGCTGCGTCAGCCCCTGGGAGGAGGAACGACGCAGCCGGCATCACCGCGGCTCGTTTAGCAGCCCTCCGCTCGATATCTTCACCATCGTCGACATCGTCGACATCATCACCATCGCTACGTCCACGTGGGAGACAAGCGAGACTCGAAAATCCACTGTCACCTTCCGTGTCTCACCCCTCGCTGGCGTCCCCTCCTCCTGCCCCCCCCCACCACTCTCCTCCCTCCCTCTCCCCACTCCCCCCCACTCTCCTCCCTCCCTCTCCCCACTCCCCCCACTCCCCCCCCACTCTCCTCCCTCCCCCCCCCCACTCTCCTCCTGCCCCCCACTCCCCCCCCACTCTCCTGCCCCCCACTATCCTCCCTCTCCCCACTCCCCCCACTCTCCTCCTGCCCCCCACTCTCCTCCCTCCCTCTCCCCACCCCCCCCCACTCTCCTGTCCCCCCCCCACTCTCCTCCCTCCCTCTCCCCACTCCCCCCACTCCCCCCCCCCCACTCTCCTCCCTCTCCCCACTCTCCCCCCCCCACTCTCCTGCCCCCCTATCCCCCCCCCACTCTCCTGCCCCCCACTCTCCTGCCCCCCACTCTCCTCCCTCCCTCTCCCCACTCCCCCCACTCTCCTCCCTCCCTCTCCCCACTCCCTCCACTCTCCCCCCCCCCACTCTCCCCCCCCCCCACTCTCCCCCCCCCCCACTCTCCTCCTGCCCCCCACTCTCCTCCCTCCCTCTCCCCACTCCCTCCACTCTCCCCCCCCCCCCACTCTCCTCCTCCCCACTCCCCCCACTCTCCGTCCTCCCTCTCCCCCCCACTCTGCTCCCTCCTCTCTCGCGCTCGGATCGTGCAAGGCGCTCGCTCGGGCTGCTGTACGAATCTTAACGGTGAGACGAGTTCCACCATCACTACCATCATCATCACTATCAGCATCATCATCACCACCATCATCACCATCATCACCACCACCACTATCATCACCACCCTCATAATCACCACTATCACCACCATCATCATCACTACTATTATCACCACCATCATCACCATCATCACCACCACTATCATCACCACCATCATCACCGCCACCATCACAATCACCACCATCACCACCACCATCATCACCACTACCATCATAATCATCATCACCACCATCATCACCACTATCATCACCACCATCACCACCACCATTATCACCACCATTATCACCACCACCACCACTATCACCACCACTATCATCACCACCATCATCACCACTCACCACCAACATCACCACTATCATCACCATCATCACCACCACTATCATCACTACCATCACCACTGTCATCACCACCACTATCATCACCACCATAATCACCACCATCATCGTCTCGGCACGCGTCCCTCCCCCGATCGTCACCAACACCACAACCGCGTTCAGTGACAAAATGGAGCGGAGATTTCCACTGCAGCATCGCCACCCACCGTCACTACCGTCACCATGGCAACCAGCATCACCATGACTACCATCACCAACTGCCAGCACCACCACCAACACCATCATCACCAACACCATCATCACCAACACCATCCTCGCCAACATCAACGC